CCTTTAGAGCCTGTCCTAGAACTATGTACACCAGGCCTCCAACGCACAGAGATCCACCTGCCTCTGCCTCCCGAGTGCAGGGATTAAAGGTATACACCATCACCGCCTAGCTGAGCCTGATTTCTTAATGCACCCTAGGAGCACCCCAGGGACAGCACTGCCCCCAGTGGACTGGGTCCTCCCCTATCAATCGTAAATCAAGAAAATGCCTTGCAGACTTGCCTGTAGGCCAGTCTCACAGAGGGACTTGCAGTTGAGGTTCCCTCTTTTGAAATGACTCATTTTTGTCAAGCTATAAAAAATTAGCAAGGCCCCTTGCCAATCTGACATACATACACATCACTGTTTAGTCATAACCCTCTCTTGTCTATCACCCAAATAGCATGTCAATCACAATATAAAACACAGTGTAACTTTAGCTTTTAAATATTTCAAAACTGCATTTAAAGTCTAAGCTTTCTTTAAAAAGCCAACACCTCCTAACTATGGGTGCCTTATGGAGGAGGGATAAATACTTATTCAGCCAGGTGGTGGTGGCGCATGCCTTTAATCCCAGCACTTGGGAGGCAAAGGCAGGCGGGTCTCTGTGAGTTCAAGGCCACCCAGGTCTACAGAGCGAGTTACAGAACAGCCAGGGCTGCACAGAGGAACCATCTCAAAAGAGGGAAGAGCCAGGGCACAGTTGCAATCAAGGCAAAAACAAAATCTTGAACACTGTATTTTAAAAAGCTCGGTGTCCAGTGTCTGGGACTCACCATCCTCGGGTTGCAAAGGGCTTGGGAAGCTCCACTTCTCCACTTCTGCCATTTGTAGTATATGCAGTTTGTCTTGTCGTCTCAGGATGGCTCCACTCCACACCTGGACTCTCTACAATACAACTAAGGCTGCACCTTCAATGATCTCTCCTAGCGTCAGCTTCTCTCTAACCTCTTCTGTCCTCAAGTATCCACTGCAATTGAGGCTGCACCTTCCCAAATTTCTTCCTGACCTCACAGCAGGGTCTCCAGCCCTGTTACATGACACCAAGCCTCAGCTTCTATGACCCCTTCAAGTCTTGTAGCTTTCATGCCATCAAAAACAGTACCTTGTGGGAGACTTCCACATTACTAAGTTACCAGCTGGAGATGCCTCTTTGACACCCTCAGGATCACAGCTTCTGGGTGCTGAACCTAAGAAAATACTTCCCAGATTTCACCTCAATGATGCTGGTCTTTTCTTAATCAACTAATTTCTCAACACAAGCTAACCAGCATCAACTATCTCTGTAAAAAGAGTTTCGTGTCAGTGGTGCCTCAGTTGTAGCTAACCAGAAACCAGATTCTTAATTTTAAAAACTGCTCAAATGCTCTGAAACCTCACAAACAAGGCCTCAATCATTTGCATTTCTATCAGCATCCCTAAGTACCCACAGAACAGCTTTGAAAAATTCCAAGAGTTCCAATCCTCCCCCCATAGGGAAACATGTCTAGATCTGTCACAGAAATACCCAAGCTTCTGCTACCAATTTCTGTACTAGGCAGGTTTCTTACTGTTGTGCTAAAACACATGATCACAAACAATTTGGGAAGAAAAGGATTTATTTGGCTTACCCACAATGGTGGTTTGATAAGAAGTTCCCCATAGCTTTGGCATTTGAATGCTCTGGTAGCTGTTTGGTAAGGCTTAGGAAGTGTTCTTATTGGAGGTATGTCACTGGGGGTAAGGCTTAAGGTTTCAAAGGCCTCCCTCCATTCCCAGTGCACTCTGCTGTTTAAGGATGTTGAGTCCTCAGCAGCTGCTCCAGTACCATGTCTGCCTGCTGTCATGTTCCCCACCATGATGGTGATGGACACCAATCCATGTACATCTGTGAACTCCACTTAAGCCTCTTTGGGTTTCCTTGGTTAGATTTCATCACAGCAATAGGAAAGTAACTGATTCACACACTCTGATCACAGTCCATCACTAAGAAAACCAAGGAAGGAACTCAAAGCAGAGAACTTAGAAACAGGAATCTATGATAGAGAATGTTCTTCTGTATATGTTTTTCTTATTGGTTGAGAAATAAAACGCTGATTGACCAGGCAAGATAATAGGTAGGACTAAGATATGAGGAAGATTCTGGGAAGTATCTGCAGAGAGCAGTTGCCATGGGATCCCAGGAAGTAACATAGCTGGGAAGAAACTGCCACTAGCTAACCAGAGGTCTGGAGGTCTGTACAGACAGGCAGGAAGTGACATAGCTGGGCAGAATCAGAATATAAGCAGGGACAAACAGGAACTCACTCTCTATGGACATGCTGAGCAGTCAAGATGTAGCAAGCAAAGGAGTTACAAGCCTGGCATTCCCCGGTAAGACCATGTGGAAATACATAGATTAGTAGTTATGGATTAATATTATGACAAAGCTAGCTAATAAGAAGCCATAGCCAGCGGCCAACAATCTCATAATTAATATAGTGTCTGCGTGTTCATTTTGGGACTCCAGGAGGCTAGGACCAGGCTGGTGGGAAGGATCACATTACAAACTCATAAGAAACTCTATTAGCCTGCTCCTCACAGCTTGATCTGCCTGCCTTTCATGTGACCAGGAGCCACCTGCCCAAGGGTGGCACCACCCATAGTAGACTGGGCCCTCCCACCTCAATAATCAAAAAAATGCCTGACAGACTTTCTGCAGGCCAAACTATGGGAGGTATTTTACCACTTTCCAAATGCCCCTGGTTTGTGTCAACAAAGACTAACTGGCACATAAATGAATGCAGTACTGTATAACACTTTCTCTCGTTATTTATTAAGTCTATGGAACCCATAAAACAGAAACTTTATAAAGCAACCCTGAAAAGGGGGAGGAGGCATACTGTTTGTTGACATGACATAATGTTCATAAACACGGGTATTTGGACCATGTTATTTATCCTTACATTCTTCAAGTCTCACACCACAGATATCAAAATCAGGGAACAAAAGTAAACACTAGAAATTAGTTTTCATACTTTTATTTTAAATAAAAGTACATTTTGATAACCAGCCTCAAATGGCAAATTATTACAGCCAACTCCCAATTACTCATGAGAAGTTTTACTATGAAGCAAAGACTCAAAACCACAAGTAGGACTGACTGCTGTTTCCAAGACTGTTAACAACACAACCTAGTGTAGTTAATAATGGGATTAACAGGTATTTTTCTAAATTTTAAGCTAAAATTAGAAAAACTCAAACATTACTTTGAATGTAAAACTAAACTTTCACTAAGGGCAGCAACTTATTCACCTATGACTAGCTTGAATTCTGTTAGGGCTGTCCACAGAAAGTGTTTAAAATAGACTGGAAGCAACTGCTCACTCTTCAACACAGAAAGTGAATCACCATATTCCACATTATTTCATAGGTATTACTTACTAGTGCGACATGCTTCTCCCTTAGATCATAGTCCCAATACCACGACAAGAACATAACATATTTAATGACTCAAGAAAAGTGTCCTGAAGAACTGGTTGTTTCATTAACATGAACAAAACTGTCCTCTGTAACAAGAACTGAAAAACTCTTAAATTAGAGGCAAATATTTGAGGATTGTATATAGGCCAGTCATCAAAACAGGAAAGCAGTCAACCAAACACAGTCTGACTGCAACAATAGAACTATTCTGGATACGAAGATAGAATTTCCTATTTTCTCATCAGCTTCAAATTATTTCTTTAAAAGTTCTTCCTAATGATTTAAAACAAAGAACAGGAAGTCGAGCTGGAAAGGCAGCTCAATGGCCAAGAGAACTGGCTACTATTCTAAAGGACTCAGGTTCCATTCCCAGTACCCACATGGCAGCACACAACCATCTGAACTCCAGCTCCAGATCTGACGGCCTTTCTACTGGCCTCTGTAGATACTATATGCACATGGTGCACAGATATAAACAAAGGCAAAACACCAACACACACACACACATACACACACCAAAAACAGGAGTTAAGGCAGTTTGTTCTGTGCTATGACTAGATCATCCTGCTGTACTTTGGTTTCTATAAATCAACTTGTTTCTTTTTAGAAAATTCTTATTTTATAAAAAATGTTTTAGATACTTCTTAATCAACTATGCACAAAAATAGTTTTAATGACCTATTTGTTTAATGACACACTGAACATCCTAGGTACATCTCTTTCATTAAGAACCAAGGCTTCCTTTTGGACATTTACTGCTGGAAGTATAGTCAAAGTACTGAACTGGACTAGCTCTACCTTCCAAGGCTATAATTATCACAAGCCACAGCACTCCCTTGATTACATATTTTAAAATAATCACTCATGTTAATTGTGAAAACAACTCCAGTACTTTTCAATGAGAAAAGCATTCAGGCACCAATGGCTATTTTCAAAATATAGGACTGCTTGTCCTTACATCAAATGGTTTTATCACCAAATTTTGACTGAGTGGTGGTACACAGTTAACACCTACACTGAGAAGTCGGAGGCAAGCAGATCTCTGTGAGTTAAAGAGGCCAGCCTGGTCTATATAAGGAGCCAAGCCTATAACAAAACCCAGTCTCAAATGGTTTTTTGGTTGAGGCTAGAGGATTACCCTGAATTTCAGGCCAGTCCTGGCAAGGAAGTAAATTCCATACCAGCTGGGACTGAAATAAGACTGTCTCAAAAACAAATTCACCTCTCCTGTCTTCCTCTCTCCACTGTATCACTTCCTGTGCACTAATACGCATATATTTAATGTTAAAAAGTTGGTTTTGTACTCAATTACAAACCACCAAAGACAACATTTCTTCTGCTACAACTGAGGCATAATTTACCTAGAAGAGGTAGTTCTTTTCAACATTAGAAGTTTTAAAACGCTGCCTAAATTATCAAGTCACATCAAGGGTCCATATTTTATACTAGTGGTACTTTTCCAAAAACATAGGTCATGTCTGCTTTTAATTAAGACAGGGAAACAAAATTATGACATTTGCCCATCTATTCCAAAAACTTAAAGCTTTTGCAAGAGAACTTTTACAAAATAACTACAGATCTTAAATTTGAAAGACATGGACTTTAATGGATATTTCCAAAGAGCAATATATAAAGCCAGGTACATTAACAGACATAACCATTAACTGAGTCATCAGAAACCTCAAAATCAATTAACATGCCTTTAATCAAAACATTTGGGAGGCTAAAGCAAGTGTTGCTTGTGGGTTTGAGACTAACTGGTCTACAAAGTGAGTTCCAGTCCAGTCCCCAGTCAAGCACCACCCCAATGACAATAGCTGTTCTATAGCCTGACTTGGCGAACAACAGGCTCTAAAATCAATCACGATAATGAAATGAAACCTGAGCATTCTCAGAGAGAAGCAAGGCACTGCAGTAAGGGACAGTACTGTCAACCAGCACTTTATTATTTTCATGTTTTTGCCTTACACCAAACAAAACCCTCCAATTAACATTTACAAAACATAACATGAACTTATATATTTTAAGACCCTACTTTTCCCCTGTTTTATGGGTTTAAAACAGACTCTTATTCTGTAGACCAGGTTGAACTTAGCACAAAGCAATCATCTGCCTAAGCCTCCCAAGTATTGCAATTACAGGGCACAAGTTACCATCATGTTCAGTGTCTAATCATTAACATTTTAAATGACTGACATTCCATTGACCCGTAAATATGTTAGTGGATTCCTGGATAATTTCAAGTTGTACTGGGGGGAAAAAAAACAAGAATCCAAAGGCGATGTCATTGAACAACTGTGCTTTTAAGCTTTAGACTTAAGTCCTATTTAACAACTGTACTAACCTAATTAATCGGATTCATCATCCACATTTGAAATTCAGAGTAAGATCCTTTAGTACTGAAACAGAGCAACATCTTCAGTTATAAACTCAGTTTGATCAAACTCCACTATGTTCAGACATGAAAAATATGCTTTGCATACCACTAGCTTCTTTTAAAAAAAAAGATTAAGATGGCTCAGCGGTTAGAGCACTTGCTGCCCTTTCAGATGCCATGGGTTTGATTGTCAGCACCCACAGGGTTGCTCACATCTACCTATAACTCTGGTTTTCCCAGGGATCAGATGCCTTCCTCTGGCTATCATGGGCACCAGGTATTTACATGGTATACATATGCAAATGCCAAGTAAAACACTTATGTACAGAAAGTAAGAATGTTTTTAATTGTGTGTATGTGTACACGTGTGTGCACCATGTCCATGTAGAGGTCAAAGGGGCAGCAGGGGGTCTCTGCTGGAAAAAGGAGACCTTAAACTACAAAAGACTTTACAATTGCAGTGGAGGTTAAACTAACTTTGAAACTAAGATTACCCACTGATTTTATTCAGAAAAACAGGCAAGATACATCCTTTGGAAAAACATAAAACTGCATGGTAGCAAACACCTGCAATCTCGGAACTCTGGAGGCAAAGGCTGCAGAAGGATCATAGAAGTTTGTAGGAGAAACTGCGGCCAGCCTACCCAAGACACAGTTGCCCTGCAACGCTCCTGCCCATCCTCCGCCCGCCCCCAGGCCAGCCCACATGAGCATGCATGGCAGGCACAGAGACTGCTGACTTCCAATGAGGAAAGGACAACACAGCAAAGTCAGTCTGGGTCAATAGGACCTTGGAAGGACGTATAATGGCAGGTCTAACTTCCTGAATAAATGAGTCTACAGCATACTATACTATATACTACTCACTGACTCGAGGTGCCTGAGTTGTTGGTGCAGTGTCTCCTTACCCCCTCCTAGCCTGGGATACACTAAGACTATATCTCAAAAACAAAAAGATAAAACATATGTGAAGACAGGCATTAACGATTTAGTAAAATTTACAAACGGTTTAATTATATATCCTATTTTTTTAACTAGACAAAACATACATATAAAAAGGGCAGTCTCAAATTTCTTCCACGTTTAGTTTTCAGTGTGTAATTAAACCAGTTATCTCTATAGACGTTTTACAGTACAATTCTGCAATGAAAATATCCATGCTAACTCTCCATTAAGAAGAAACATAATGAGGCACATTTTCTAGCGGCTGGGATTCTCTTCCAAACCAAAAGAAAACAACACAAAAAGAAAAAACAAAAAGGTAGTGGCATGTAAAATTTTCTGGTTCCAATAATTTTAATTACTCTGGACACTTAAGAAAATAAACTCATGTCTTAACTTAATACAAAACTACCTGTTGCTTTATTTGTAGATAGACTCCTACAAATATCCACAGTAAGTCCATGAAGTACTTTTACTATCCATATGGATATTTTGATATTAAATATATACAAATGTTTCTATTAAACAAAAAAAAAGGTATTCACAAGAAGCTGGAGAAACTCATGCAATCAAGGAAAGTTGAACTTTATAAATTAAAAAAGCAGTCTTCTATACACAATGTACAAACAGTCATGCATTTAAAAGTGAACACTATACCTCATAAGAGCACATTTTCACAGACAAATGCTGCTGGCACAAATATTTGTCAATGCTAAATGCATGGAATGTTAGTAAATTAAGCATTTTTATTTTGCACCCAACAAGTTGAAACTTGGTATTTCTCTCAAAGGTTTTCTACAGGTGTTATCTGAAGGAAAAGCTCTCATTTTTTTGCATCTCAGTACAGGTGTTTCACCAGGCACAACAAATATAAATATTTTGAAAAGTATAAACACCTTTATCAGTTCAATACATTGTAAATAAAACTTTTCTATTTTAAAATATTTGTATTATGAGCTACACCAAAATATGCATGAGTTAAAGTATGAAAAAAAGTATTTATATCTCGTTAGCTTTCAAGTTTCAGTAACATTTAAATTTCTTACAAAACTATGTATACTGGCCAAGAAAATACAGTAGGGAATATCTTTACTAACGAACTTAGAAAACTGACCTAATAATTCATTCTCTTTCAGGATTTGATATTCTATCGACTTTGCAAAGTTTCCTTTTTAAAATGTTGCCAGGTATTTTTAAAAGCCAAAAAAATAAAATCTGATGTTGAAAAAGCTTTATATTTCTCTTTAAAATACTAAGAATTTTCATGGGCTGGAGATCTCCAACGTGACTGTAGATTTCTTATTATTGAGTTTGCCATGGTACCAAGTTTCTCATGCATTTCAAAAAGCTGGCTTCCAGAGTAACTGTAGAGATCTTCTGAATCCAGTTGAAGAGCAAGAGCACTAATTTGTGCCATAAGATTTTTAGACAACGGGGTGTCTAAAGTCACAGGATCAATCAAATCTAGGAGAAAACAAAATACCACATTATCTATACCAGTTTTTTTTTAATGATCTGTATCTACAATCAAATTGAAAAGGAGAGAAAATAGGCTAAGATACACTTGTTCAAAAAAACAAAATGCCAGAAATATGTATCACAGCTTGGTATCTGTGTATGATGTAATTGAACAAAATTTCAACATCCTTATTCTACACTTTGATGGACTAGAAAACTGACACAATAATTAGAGAAAACAAAGTAGACACACCTAAAATTATAAATTTTCTCCCCCATGTACTTAGCATGAAGGATGGGGCACAATTTGGTTAATTAATAGTTGTATTCAAATTAAGAAAAAAAATTGGGCTGGAGAGATGTCTTGGAGATTAAAAGTCTATTCTTCCAGAGGAGCAGGATTCACATGGCAAATCACAGCTGTTTCTAATTGTAGTTCCAGGGGGCTCCAAAGCAAGGTAAAACATAAATACTAAAAATAAACATAAAAAAACCTTTTTCCTAAACTAAAGGTGTAAAGAAAGTTAAATTTTTTCAAGAAAGTTTCTCTTTCAAATTAACTATTGTGCTTGGCTAACATACCTGAGGCAAGCCTTTCTTCATCAGTTGAGAGGGGCTTGCTTTCTACTCCATTTACTGCCTTCTCAGAAATGTCAAAAACTGGAATCTCTTCAAGTCCACGAGATTTCATCTTAATTATACATTTATAACAGTAAAGAGAAATAACAAAACTTATTTTCAACTGGAATGACATGAAATGGCCACAGTCCATAATCAACTCAGTTAATACTGCTTAAAAAGCCCGCTATTACTAAGTGCACAAAAACAGTATCACAGCAGTCATGGTGGAGCAATTCTGTAATCCCAGCATGCTGGAAACAAATGCAGGGAGATCTGAAAGTTAGAGGTCAGACTGGTCTCTATAATGAATTCCAGGCCAACCAGTGGATACATAGTGAGCCTCAGACAAAGTATTAAACCAACAAGCATAGAAATTTATAATATATAATTTCTTAGAAAACATAGTAACAGTAGTTGATAAAATTAATTACCCAAGTTGAGAATTGTAGAAAAGGCAACTCTTAGTAATAATAACTATGGTTAAATAATCAGTGGCTATCTTTTATTTTCAAAGCTACAGAGAGCTCACTGGTAGAACACTGCCCAGCATGAATGATGTCCTGTACAAGGATCAAAACCAGAATAAACTCTCATAAGGTAATTCCCAGGTTTGATAGACCACTGGCTCAAAATTACTATGAAAAAGGTGTCATGACTCAACAATCCTATTCAAAAGAATAACAAGATGAAAACATGACAACATAGAAACTTGGATATCAACAACTGTAGAAGGACTTCTTATTAAAACCAAAGGAGAGCAACCCATAAGCCATAAACCCATCGTTGAGGAATGGATTAAGAAAATGTGAACCAAAGGAAAAAAAAAAAAAAAAAAAAAAAGAAAAGAAAAAAAGAAAAAAAGCCGGGCGTTGGTGGCGCACGCCTTTAATCCCAGCATTCGGGAGGCAGAGGCAGGCGGATCTCTGTGAGTTCGAGGCCAGCCTGGTCTACAGAGTGAGTGCCAGGACAGCCTCCAAAGCCACAGAAAACCCTGTCTCGAAAAACCAAAAAAAAAAAAAAAAAGTGATATATCCATGGAATACTGTTCAGTGATAAAGAAAGTAAACGTGCTTCAGACAGAACCAGCATGTAATGTTCAGTTCCAAGGGATCTGACACTGACACTCTATTCTGATCTCTAGAGTTCTGCATGCACATGGTACATATTGGTGTGTGTACAAAAGGCACACCCACACAAACTAAAAACGTTTAAAAAGAGAAAACAATGCTGGGTGGTGGCGCACGCCTTTAATCCCAGCACTCTAGAGGCAGAGGCAGGTGAGTTGGAGGCCAGCTTGGTCTAAAAAGAGAGTTCCAGGACAGCTTACAAAACTATACAGAGAAACTGTCTCGAAAAACCAAAAAGGGAAGGGGGGTGGAGGGAGGGGAAGAGAGAGAGAGGAGAGAGACAGAGAGAGAGAGAGAGAGAGAGAGAGAGAGAGAGAGAGAGAGAGAGAGAGAGAGAGAGAGAGAGAGAGACAGAGAGAGAGACAGAGAGAGAGAGAGAGAGAGAGAGAGAGACAGAGAGAGAGACAGAGAGAGAGACAGAGAGAGAGAGACAGAGAGAGAGACAGAGAGAGAGACAGAGAGAGAGAGAGAGAGAGAGAGAGACAGAGAGAGAGACAGAGAGAGAGACAGAGAGAGAGAGACAGAGACAGAGAGAGAGACAGAGAGAGAGACAGAGAGAGAGAGACAGAGAGAGAGAGACAGAGAGAGAGACAGAGAGAGAGAGACAGAGAGAGAGACAGAGAGAGAGACAGAGAGAGACAGAGAGAGACAGAGAGACAGAGACAGAGAGAGACAGAGACAGAGAGAGACAGAGACACAGAGACAGAGACACAGAGACAGAGAGAAATTCTACCCGAGATTCCAAATTAGCAGCATAGTTTTGCTTGGGTTTTGCTTGCTTTTATACAATTAACATGTGAACAAAAATATTTTAAGCATCATAAACAATACAGAAACCAAATCATTTCAAGAATACAGTAGTACACCTTGTACATGCCCTGAATAGGTGGCAGAATTAGGAAAAGTCACAAATCTATGTATAACAAGTTAAAGCTTGATATCTCAACTACACACATACATTAAAAAAGTGATGTATACATCTGTAATAATTTTAGGTAATAATTTTAGATATATTTGGATTTGAGCATCTAGATTATAGGAATGCTATAGCCATGGAACCACCAGTTGGTAGAAATGAAAGGGAGAAAAGATTAACAGATTCTGAAAAAGTAAAATGTAAAGTCTAGGTTACAGTATATATAAATAAAAGAGCAAACTTCCCAGTGAGATACTGCAAGGGTTTTTAACAATAGTTGAGAAACAAGCTTTTATTCTGTTGGTAAGTAAGCACTGGGTCTTTCTTTCCTTTGCTTTGTTTTTTTTTTTTTTTTTTAAAGGCAAGGTCTTGCTCTGTGGTCAAGACCATACAAAAAAGTACTGATTCAATTGTCTCTGTTTCCTAAGTACTGAGATTAGAGAGGCACGACATCACTCCCACCTGGATCACTTATTAAAAATACAATTCCTGGGGGCTGGCTCAGATGTTAAGAGCACTGGATGCTCTTCCAGAGGTCCTGAGTTCAATTCCCAGCAACCACATGGTGGCACAAAACCATCTATAATGAGATTTGGTGTAAACATGCAAGAATACTGTGTACATAAATAAATAAATCTTTTTAAAAAATTGATTCTTAGGCTAGAGTAGTTAACAGCACTGACTGCTTTTCCAGAGAGCCTGGGTTTGTTTGTTAGTACCCACAGAGCTGCTTACGAACATCTGTAACTCTGTTTCCAAGGAAGCTGATGCCCTCTTCTGGCCTCTGTAAGCAATGCACACATGTGGCACATTAAGACATACATGCAGGCAAAACACTCAAATATCAAGTTTTTACCTGTTGCTCATGGTACACTCTGAGAGCCTTTTTTACATTAAACACCTTTGGAGAGCGAATAGGAAGAGTTTTTATTTCAGATGCAGTAAGAGTACTCAAATCACCAATTGTTTTTATATTCTTGGCTCTGATAAGTTGTCCTAGACCTCTTGCCCTTTTAAAGAAAGAGAAAAAGAGAAAACATAATTATGCTTTTACTGCAAAGTACCTGTGATTATTTCTCCACCTAGTCCACACAATGTAATGAGCAAATATCTGGGGAATTCAAAATAAAATTTGAATCCTAATGTGTATCTGGGCTTAAGAAATAGTGGAAATCTAATAATTCTCTTTATTCTATACTTCAATAACATCATAGATGTGTTCTCACTGTTGGATTTATTATATAGAAACAGGCACACCAGGGATAAGAAACACATTTTCACACCAGCTTTCTGTCTATTGTTCAGGTTCTTCATCAGCTGTAAGCTATTTTCATCTTTTTAACCTAGATGTCTTTAATGTGACTTCCTTCTAGCTCTATGTGCATGTCTGTCATACTTCTTTAGAGGAATATAAGAAATGTCTTACTGAGGAATTATGCAGTTACATTTAACAATTCTCTAAAGATTTGGTAACCTGGGGCTGGAGAGAGACCCAGAATCAATTTCCATTACCCACGTGGCAGCTAACTAATGTGAATCCAGTTCTAAGAGATGTAATAACCCCCTCTTCAGGATTCTAAGGGTACCAAGGATCACATGGCATATGAAGACATACATGCAGGCAAAAAACTCATAAATTCAAAAGCATGCAAGTGACAAGACTAATAACAAACAAAATTTAATTAAAGTACAAGAGACCCTCAAAGAGGTCTCTTTATGTGAATCTATGACAACTTATTTAGTTATGCAATTTTCATGGAATATTCTTTCTAATCTTTTATTTTACAATACTTCTATATTCCTCAGAGGGTTTACAATGAGACAAAACAAAATATGTATACAAAAAGAGGCAAACACCTGGGAAATCCTAAGCTATTAGGATATATGCATGGTTTTACTTCTCAAGTTAAATGTGTAAGAAGTATATGCCAATTAATTCTAAATATGAGAAGCCTGACCATTAAGACATTCCTCATAAGGCAAGCCTGGCAATCCAATCCTGTAATACCAGAAAATAGCGAGGAAGGGGGCAAGAAGATCCAAAATCCAAGAACTCTTTGGAACAACAGAACCTGTGTGTGAAGCATGGAGTCCATACAGGTAAAGCTCACTAATGTATTTTACTTTTGTGTCCCTCCACATGTAAGTCTTGTAAATTTAATCCTTGTGGGTCAACAATCCACAGGGTAACAAAGAGCTCAGGCTAACTTCAAACTATGTGTATCAATAGATGCCCTTGAGCTGGTCCTTAAGGATCACAGAGCTCAGGATGACCTCAAGCTCACAGTGCAGTCAAGAATGCTCTTGAACTGTCCTATCCTCCTGCACCAGCACCTGGTTTATGCAGTACTATACTGAGGACAGATCCATACCTTCATTAATGTTAAGCAAGTACTCTACCAACTGAGCTTCAACCCTAGCCCCAGGTTACCCCCATCATTACTACAGAGAGCCAAAACTGCATCCCAAGCAGGCCATGAACCTTCGCTCCTCCTGCTTCAGTTTCCTTAGTAGCTGGACTCCCTCATCAAACTGGGAAATCTTAGCAAAACTATGCCTCAGAATACAGCTGAAAAACAAAAACAAAAAAATCCCAGCACTGCAGAGTATACCCCATAAACTTAATCACTCACCACATGTTTGATGTAATCTGAGGTAAAATGATGTCAACTGATGCTGCACAGTTCACCAAAGCTGGGTAAACACTCTCTGTTGTTGGAGATAGCATGGATTCTTTAGCCATTTCTGTAATCTTAAATTTCAAAAGCCGTTAAGCAGAAGCAACAGGACTGAACATGAAAGTATAAAGTTACATAAAAACTAAAGCACTTCTTACTAAACACTTCTTTGAGCTCCTAAATTTAGGGCTCTGGGATCCTGGGGACAGAAATCCTTTGGCTGAAGTGGTATTATGCTAGACAGAAGAAAGTAGAGAGAGAAAAAAAACTCAGAACCCCAGACATGATAATGTTACAACTTAAATTGTACAATTAACATTATGATCACCTCTGTAAAACTTTAGGAAATGAAAATGAACAGGATAAACTAATGATTTACCTGTGAGATAGCTGACTGACCTTAGCCCTCTCCATGAAAAGCAATACATCAAAGAAGTCTGTCTCTTAATCTTCAAATACAAGTTTGTATACAGACATATGTATATTTTAAAGTCCACAGCTTACCTTAGAGTGTGAAGTAGGTGAAGTTTTAACACTTTTTATTATGGGAGAGCTAATTGAAGAATGAGACCTAACAGAGCAACGCCTATCAATGTCATCTGCCAATCCTGCTTGGTATATTGGGTCTGCAAACGAGACACGTCTAACCTGAAAGTACAGGACAATGTGTTGACTTTGTGCAAAAGACAGGTTCCAAACAAGCTTCTTACACAGTTGTTCCATCATTCAGATATTGCCTATTTTAATTATATCCTCCACTATATCTCTGCAGTGATAGAAACTTTAAACAATGTACAATATACAGAGGGTAATGGTACAACCCTTTATGCCAACACTCAGGAGGCAAAGGTAGGCAGGTCTCTGTGAGTCTGAGGCTAACCTGGTCTACATAGAGTAGACTTACAAATTCCAGGCTAGTCAGGCCTATATAGTGAGACCCTATCTTTAAAAAAAACAAACAAACAAAAAAACAAAAACAAACAAAAAAAAAAAACCAGGAGTGATGGTGCTCGTGAAATCCCAGCAATCAGGAGACTGAAGCAGGAAATCTCCAAATTGAAGACAGTCTGGGGATACATAGCGAGACCTCTGCCTCAACTACCATAACAGGGCCAAAGAGACAGCTTAGTGGTTAAAAGCACTAGCTGCATAATCTTGACAGCCAGAGTTCAAATCCTAGCACCAAGGTAACAAGCCAGTTCTACAAAAGTCTGACACACACACACACACACACACAGTGTTGTGGAATATTCCTTTACACTATAAATGTGTCACTATGGTTGGTTTAATAAAAGGCTAAATGGACACTAGCTGGGCAGGAGGTATGACAGGACATCTGAATAGGAGAACTCTGGGAAGCAGAAAGGAGAGTTGACAGCCAGACACGGATTAACCAGGATTAAGCATAATGGAGATGAGTGCATGGAAGAATGTAGATTTAAAAAAATATGGACTAATTGAAGTTATAAGAGTTGCTTAGAAACAAGCCTAATCTAAGGCTAAGCTTTTACAATTAATAAGTCTTCTTCATACATCACCCTGTGAACTGGAGGCCCAAAGTCTACACACACTAAAATCATTAAGAATCCTGTATAATTTGATTTCAGTTAGCCAATAAGCCTATATACATATAGCAATAACTGACTTCTTATATAACTGATTGATCATCATCCTAAACTTGTTTGTGATGTGTAGTATGTGTACACAGACACACGTACATGTGGTAGTCAGAGAAAACTTTGAAGGCAAGGGGGGGTCATTCCTCAGGTGTTTGTTGTTAAATGTCTTTTTGTGAGATGGCACCTCTCATTTGCCCATAACTCCCTAAATAGACTAAGCTACTGAGCAGAAGAAACCCCAGGGGTATGTTTATCTCTGCCTCCCCATCAGTGGAATTATTAGCAATGCCACCAAAGCACAGGATTTTTCTTAAATGTAGGTTCTGGGAACAGAACTTGGGGTCCTCGTGTTGGCCTTACAATCACTTTACCAACTAGGCTAACTTCCTAGCCCCTGCTCTAAACTCTTTGAAGTCAACACAAGTATCATAGCCATAAGGTAGTGATTTTAACTATATTAGCCTCACTGTGGCTAATTTGGCTTCTTCTAAAGGTCTACAATATTTTCACATTTAGTTATAAGCTATAAAAATATAACAGAGAACTCTGTATCACCTAGGATTGATTTTCAAGAATGGGCAACATATTTATTTACCATAAAAACAATATTAGCCTGTTTTGTCAAACATTAAATTTGCCCTCAGTGGGATAAGAAAATTTTAATCCCAGCACTTAGAAGGCAGAGACAGAAGAATCTGAGTTCCAGGACAGCCTAGACTATACAGAGACCGTGTCTTCAAAAATAAATAAAAAAACACATACATAAATAAAAAGAGCCAGGCACTCTCCTTTAATTCCAGCACTTGGGAGATAGAGGCAGCTGAATCTCAGTTAGTTCGAGGCCAGCCTGGTCTACAAATAAGTTCCAGGACAGACAGGACTATTATACAGAAAAACCCTGCCTCCCAAAAAAAAAAAAAACCCACCAACAAGACACTCAAATCTAAGTTCCTAAGTCATCTGAAGAATTCTGTAGCAAATCCAACTCCAGGTGTGTCTCATCATCTAGTTACTACCTACCTCACTGCCCTTTGCTTATTGATAGCTACTGAGATGTGAACTCCAGGTCAGCCAGGGTTGCATAGTAAACCCCTTTGTCATAAAAACAAACCGGGGGGGGGGACCTGTTACATCTTCCTAAATGACTTCATCTCTTAAGTCTCAGAAGCACTTTTCAATGTATCTTCCCAGGTTGTAAAACTGAAGCTAGAAAGAGGATCTAAAGAGTTCATGATGCAGCTGGACAGTGGTGATGCATGCCTATAATCCCAGCATTCAGAAAGCAGAGGCAGGTGGATCTGAGTTCAAGGCTAGCCCATGCTACAGAGTAAGTTTCCAGAACAGCTAGCTAGGGGTACACAGAGAAACCTGTCCAAAAAAGGAGAGAGAGACAAAACGCACACTGCACTTACACAAGGTCCCAGCACCCACAACAGCCAGCTTACAACTCCTACAACTTGATGCCTCTGGTTTCCATAGGCACCTGTTCTCCTGTGCACACACCAGAATACATACATGTAACTAAAAGTGTAAAATCTAAAATGTACTTGCTAGCCAATCACGAGACTGTAACACTAGATAGCTAAGGCATAAATGACAGTTCATTACAAGGTCAGCATGGATATCATAGAAAGGTTCCCACACCCAGGAAAAGGTGCATCCTTTCTAAAGGCAAAGATCAAAGCACTGTGTGTGTGTGTGTGTGTGTGTGTGTGTGTGTGTGTCTGATTCAATCTCTTTAACAGAATTAGAGTGACCTTTAAGGCATCATGTCCAAGAACATGTAAGTAAGGGCTGAGCCTTCTCAATCAACAGCAATCAGTTGCTTCTTAAATCTGGTTCTACATATTGTATTATAGAAGAAAGGTCCTAATAGGACCCACTCATTATGTTAACAGTGGCCTCCATGCACGCTTGCATCAAGTTCTTGAGTGTGAGATGCAAGACTACAATGAAACGCTTCCTGTACTTTCCACAGCAACCAAGGCAAATCATCAGTGAGTGACCATGACCCTAATACCCTATACTTTGCTAGGATTCACCCAGTGGTCACATAATACCAGCAAACAATAGACTCATTACAGTCAGTATCATTCTTACCTTGTTAACTGGTGATGAGATCTCATCTTCGTGGGATCTTTTAAGTCCTCTCTTTAAAATGCTTGTGGATGGTGAAGCCAAAGGTGACCAGACACAGCGTGCCTGCATACCACTAGGACTTTCATTTGCTGATCCAAATGAAGGATCCAGCTCTCTTAATTTTTCAGGAGAAACATTATTATTGCTTTCTGCTACCAGTTCAGAAGCCACTTCAGATGTCAGAGACTGTGGTAATTCCTCCACTTTCTCTGAAGTGGGGCAAACTTCCTGCAGATTATCATTACCCACTCCAGTTGGATTGCCACTCAATTTTGTTTCATCCAATTTATTAAGTTCAATGTTTCTTTCAATTTTGTGATAAAAACTTTCTTCTTCACAACTCTTTTCAGGTATGTCACAAACAAAGTTCTCAGTTTGGACATCTAGTCTTCCAACTGGTTCTTCAGATGTAGAGGAGCTAACAATCATGCTCCTATCCTTTTCCCCGGTGTTGTCGGTTTCAGTCAACTGAGCTATCACTGCTTTGCAACTTTCCATTTCTTTGCTCATTTCCTCACACGAGCCTATCCGCTCTAGTTTCACTCTTGCTAGATGCTCAGTCTGAACAGGTGTGGTTTTACCAGAAAGATCTATACCAAAATTAGAGCCTTCAGTGGCTGTTCCTTCACCATTCACTTCAGTTGTGACTGCTTCAAATTCATCTTTTTTATTATCTTCCTCCATTGCCATATCTACAGAAACATCCAGTTGGCCACTCTTCTGTTCAGAGGAGGAAGCTCCAAACTTGACATCTCCTACATCGAATTCCATAGCTTCAACATCCTCTGAGTTGGATCCAGCTATTACTTTGCATACATTCCCTACACTGCTGGTGTCAAACTCCTTTTTCAGAACAGCGCCTGGACTTTCTACTTGGTTATCTGAAGAATATTTTCGTGAAGTGTCCTTAGAATCACTTAAGCATGGGTCTTCAGCATTAAATGATTCATTACGTGGCTCTTGGATTTCAGATACTATTTCACTAGAATCTGTATTTACTATTTCTGATGGGAGAATGTTTTTCCTATCTTCTTCCGATGCAGTTTCAGACCTAGTTAAATCACCAGCAGTAGAATTCTCTTCTTTAGGACCCAAATAAAAATTTGTGATAGGTTGTTCATCTACCAACTTAGTTTCAGTGTGCTCATTAGCATCACAAGTTTCAGGTATAGTCTCTGGTGTTTGCATCTCTGTGTTTGTCTCCATGCTCTTTATAGCACAACTCTCTGTGTCCTGTAACCCAATAAATGACTTTTCCTGGGACAGTGATTTTTCCCCACAGCAGTCACAGCTCTTCGATCTCCTGACTCGCCTGCTTCTCTTATGTTGACATTCAACTGCTTGTGTCCATTTCTCAGAAGGCATTGAAATGTCTGATGTGTCCATTTTTGAGCATTCACCTACAATATCAATATCTCGTTTATGAAATCTCTTACTGGCATTCCTAGTTCTGAGATTTGATTCAGGCATAGGTGAACTTGCAAATGAGTTATCTACACACTTGCTAGTCTTACTTGAGTCCTCACCTGTAACTGGTGTATCAGTAACTTGGAGTGAATCTGAAGACCCAGTAGACTCCTGAAGGATTACCCTATCTGTACTTTCTTCACAAATCTGAGCCACTGCATCTACATCAACTTCAGGAACTGTCTGACCATCATGTGTCTCATTTGCAGTTTTTATACATTCCTCTTGGACCATTTTCTCTTCTTGTTCTCCAACGTCAACACTGTCACTGTTTTTGCTTTTCCATTTTCCAGATCGTTTCTTCCTAGTAACTTCTTCCTTTGCCTCAGAACTATCAGATTCTGAGTTTTCAACACTGGAAAGCAACCCCTGAGATGCTCTTCTTGTCTGGTAACGTGTACGTCCTCTCAAAGGTTTCTCGGATGACTTTTCTACATTGTCCTGGGTACTACCTCCCTCAGAACTAACATCCTCAAGGTCTGATTTTCTTTTATTTTGGTCAATTTCAGCATTCACATTTGGTTCCTCTATAGTTTTCTCATGTAAACTACTTTCTTTTTCAGTTAAATTATCCTGTATAGGTAACTCAGCAGTTAGTTTTTGCTTGGGCAACTTGTCATCTTTTGTATGCAATGGACTCTTTGGAACTGCTTTTTCTTCTTCCTTCCGTCTTTCCTTTTTTGGTTGACCATTATCCTTATCTTGGCTGTCAGTTGAAGACTCCACCATTTCTGAACGCCGCCTTGAAGACCGTCTGAGGGTTTTTGGATTTGCAGCTACTGCAGCTTGACTATCTTCACTTACTGTTTGATCTGCTGGTGTTGGAACCGAAGGTGTATTTTCTTTAGATTCCATAATAATGCCTATGTTTTTCTCTTCTGTAGTTGAGTCTTCCAACAAAGCATTTTTTACTGTTGGTTTAGGAGTTCTACCTTCATGGTCTAGGACAGCTTCAGAAGGATGGTCGTGATTTTTTGACTCACATTCTGTTTGACTAAGCAAGTCAGGAGAGGTATTTTCTGATACATGTTCCTCCTGTTCAGACCTCAGGGAAGGCTTACACTTTTTATTAGCTGACGGCTCAGCTTTACTCCACCTCCGGCCTGATTTCTTACCTCCATTCACTAATTTTTCTGAATCAGATTTTGAGTGAGTCATTTCTCTTTTCCTTGCTTTTGGTGGCGTATCAGTTTTAGTTGTGTTTTCCTGGTTATTTCTCACTGTAACAGTGGAGGACATGTTATTTAAAGGGGATGGGCTAAAAGGTCTATTTTCTGAACCATCAAATTTCTCCAAAGTAATAAAAGTTTGCCTCCGACTTGTAGGCTGTGGAGTTCCAGAAACAGTGGTATTAGAAACTGAACTACTGTTGACCAGTGAACTTTCTGTAGTAGATGAACATTCAGCTGACATTATCTTTGATGCAATTAACGTATTTTTTGTAGCATCAATACCAGAGCTCAGCATTTCTGAATTGGTTTCAGCAACAGAACCACAGTCATTTGGTAATGAAGTCTTTTCAGGATGTTCATTCATACCACAGTTTTCCACAGCATCTTGAGGGATGAAAGCTGCACTCTCTGTTTGCTCTTCCTACACAAAAACATACAAATTACATACTAAAACATTACATTCTTAGGAAATTTAAATATAATACTGTGATAATTAAAATTTTCTTGGAAAACAAGTATAAACTTTGGTAATTCAATATACTTTCAAAACACTGCCCAAAGGATCAGCAAAGAAATGTTAGTGTGCTTTAAACTGCTGGTGTTCAGCTAAAGCCACACTGGAGCTCCAAGCCCTCCTGAGCTACATGAGACACTGCTTGATCCCTTCAACTCCAGGTGCCACTTACAATGTATTTTAACTACATGTATATGTACAATTCTGTTAACTGTATGGTTCAGAGCTAGGAGATTGTTATTATAAGTCCTAATTAATGAAACAAAGATCTAAGATAACCTTACACTTTTCTACATCACATAACAGAAACGTGATTGTAAAAAGTATCAAACAATGCTTATACCTTTATTATCTTGGTATCTTCTTTTGGTTTTTCAGTTAAAGTGGGGCTTTCCCTAAGAAAGGTAATTGTACAAATTAGATAATTTTTAATTATATAATTTAAGAAAGTAGTCATAAAAGCTTTATACTTACATAGATTCTTCTTGACTAAACTGAGCAGAAAATAAAGTGTCTTGTGAAACATCCAGATTATTATACAAGGCAGGAATATCACACCTAGGGGGGGAAAAAAATCTCATACATAAATTTCCCCAAACCTGGTGAAATTCCCACCATCAAGCATTAAAGTTATGGCTGGACGGTGATGGCACATGTTTATCCTAGTAAGATTTCCAAGGCATCAAAAAAACAAAAAGCAAAAAACAAAACAAAAAACACACCAGGCATGATGACCCATTATCTTAGTAGAAAAACAAAAAGCCCACAAACCGTTTCGTCTTGAGAACTTCTTTCTGGTGCTCAGTCAGAACCCTTGCCTTTGCCTCCTTTCCTTCTGGAGGTATGAACACAAAGTCCGTAGACTTTTCCTCTTCCAAAAGCTTACTGTTCTTTAGTTTTGGAGATGAAGATTCTAATTTCAGCTGTGAGTTTTAAAAAAGTAAACATGAGTTTCCACATTGTTTTCTAATTCTTCTATGTTTTCTAACACACTGATATTATTTTTCAATACTGGTAAGGAAATTTAAAATCAACACACATCCTTCTCATCTGCACATAAGGTTTATTTATGCAGTCCAAGTTGACCTGAACTTATGATTCCATCTCAACCTACCAAATGTTAAGATTACAAGCACATAAATAAAACAATATTTACAATAAGAAATTAAGCCGGGCGATGGTGGCGCACGCCTTTAATCCCAGCACTCGGGAGGCAGAGGCAGGCGGATCTCTGTGAGTTCGAGACCAGGCTGGACTGACAGCCTCCAAAACAATACAGAGAAACCTTGTCTCGTAAAACCAAAAAAATTAAATGCCCTATGCTTTCTCCTAACTCAAAAAGAAGGGAAGTCTACAGATGTAGAGAAACCTAGGCAACACACAAAAGTTCTAATCAAAGCACCAAAACTACTGTCATGCACTATGTTGTGTTTTCATCTCTTGTCCTCAGGAAAGCTGCCCAGAATAACTATATGTAATACTGAGAATGACCATGAGGCTAAGCATCACACAGATTTGCCATTACTAAAAAGAATTCACTCCAAACCTCTCATCTACACATTATCAGCGCTGTTACTATCATTCTAACACAAACCAAAATTCATGTGGACTTCCATAGCTCTTCCCTTCAAATAAAGAGTTTTGTGTACTTAAGCTAACATTATTTAAAATACACTTTTGAAAACATACTTTCTGGACCCTACCCAGAGTGAAATGACAGACTCTAGATATCCCCTATGTGGAAGGATTTGGCAATGGGGTGGGAGGGTGGGGGGGAGGGGGAATGCGGGAGGAGGGGAGGGAGAGGGAACTGGGATTGACATGTAAAACAAGCTATTTAAAATTATAATAAAAAAATGGAAAAAAAAAAAGAAAACATACTTTCGCCGACAGCTTCGTATTTTCTTTTTTATCCTTTGTCTGTGCCAAAAAGGAATCTCTTTTTCCACTTGATTTTCTTTCCATGCCACTTATCTTGACATTTAATTGTGAATTTTCTGTCTATGAAGATAAAAATGAACACATTAATTATATGCCTACTCTATTTGATTCTCCTTTTCAGATGCTAAAAATTCCAGTCTAATGATTATTCATTTAAATGGTATAAAATTTCAGACTATTTAAGTCTACTGAAAACAAAGGAAAGCCACTATGTGAATACACTTACCTACTTCTACAATCTTTACTTTTGTGAATTCTTAACACTTAATACATATCGGTCATGAAATTAGGAAAAAAAATAGGAAACATCCAACATTCCAGAATAAATGTTAATAAATAAACCCCATGTCGAAAGGAGAACATAAAAGTATCTAGCACATTTTTCTTACACCAAGACATACAATCTTGACATACTAAATTATGGTGAGCAAATTAACTACAGTGAAAATTCTTTTGGAAAAAATATCCCACAAAAAGACACTGTATTTTTTTATGATTCTAAACAGAAGTACACACTTATTCTTGAATGAAAAGCTACATGTAGGACAAGGAAAAGGGGATGTTACTGAATTCTTTGCTGTTCAAGTTCTGATTATTGCTGCTCACTCATACCAAACTACTCAAATTAAAAAAACTTACAGCATCTGAATATGGTACGCTGGATTCATCCATCATTTCAACATTTTCCAAACCAGGCAAGAGAAGCAATGTTTTTTGTTTAGCTTCTCTTAATATCGGTCTGTAGAAAAACACATTGGTATTTAGTAAAGTACACTAATCATGTTAGCAATATTACTTTAATTATGAGACAGGTTCTAATGAATTCCTGGTTGGCCTCAAACTTGTGATTTAGCTCAATGACCTTGAACTTCTGCAGCCATCATATCCAATTTATGCTGTGATGGAAGTCCAGGGTTTCATGTATACTAAGGAAACAAACACTCTACCAATATAGCACCAGTCCTATTTATAATTTTTTATATAGCAACTTTACCTGATTTATGCTTACCTGCACATATACAACACTGGAAAAATTAGAAAATATTTAAATTTTTTCTCTATATTTTTCCAATCTTCCTTAACTTTCAAGCAAAGCATAACAGGATTTGTGTCTGTAATTCTAGCACACTGGAAGGTGAGACAGATCACCCGGTGTTCAAGGTCAAGCTATGCCACAAGTGTGAAACCTTTCTCAAAAACAAAAAACCCCCAAAACCTCAAAATCTATTTTTAAAAAACCTATTGTGGAGGGCAATGTAGAGTGATAAGTTTTAAGAGTTAAAAGCACCAGTTGTTCTTCCAGAGGATCCAGCACCCACATGGTGGCTCACAACAGTGCTATGTTATCCAATTCCCTCTTCTGGCCTCCAAACCACCAGGCATACACATGGTAAATAAATGAAGGTAAAATACTCATACACACACACACACACACATACGCTTTTCAAACTATCAGGAAGTAATGAAGAAGCTCAGCATTTGGATTAATAAATCATAAATATATCACCCAATTCCTTTTTATCTGATAAAAAAAAAAGACTATAACAAATCTAAAACAAAAAACTACATACAACAAGATCACTGACTGCTCTTCCAAACGACCTGGAAGCTTCACAGTCTAACTTCAGTTCAAGGAAGACCCAATGAGTGCCCCACAGAGACAAGGACCAGACATGCAAGTGGTACACAGAGCCTCATCCAGAGAAAACACTAATTCATATAAAATAGTCTTTTCTCAATTTGATTTTAGGATATGCTAGACTTTGTGGCATATGCCTTTAATCCCAGTACTCACTAGGCAAAAGCAAGTGAATCTGTTTGAGGACAGCCCGGGGTTATACAACAACCCTGTCTAAATATATTTTTAAAAAGTTAAATATTACTACCCATGTCTGGCTTCATTAATAACCTTCAATTCATATGTCCTTGCTTATTTTAGGGATTTTCCCATTGTATATACTGGTTCCCAAAATGTTAAGTCTAAGAGAAGTCCACCCAAGTTTAATGGCTACTACATAGTCTGATGATACAATTAAGAAACTCTCTGTGCAGTTTACATGACAGAGCAAGCAAACAGCTATAGGAAGTTGTGATATTAACTTACTTTAATTCCTCAGGATAAACCAGAGCTGTTGCTTTAGCAAACGTAGCGTTCCACAACAGAGCACTTTGTTTCCGAATCTGTTTATTCTTGTGAAGAAACACTATGCACAGAAGTGGAGAAAGTTGTCCAAGAAGTTCACTGTCATAAGCTCCAGAGTAGTTGTACTGGAGACAAGCAACCACTTCTCCTAAGAGCTTTTCTAACTAGAAAAGAATGGGAGAAGCAAAAAGTAAACTAAGCACAAATTTAAACAACATGTTACTATTTCAATTTTTAAAATCTGAACTATCTTTAAGCAACACCATTGTCACAATATACACTCCTCTTTGTCAATGAACAAACAATTAGGTAAATTTACTTTAAGTACTAATACTGTAATTTGATTTGAAGTCGTTTCTTGTTAGCAGGCTATAATTTATTGATAAACTGTGTAGACATCTATTATTATTACAATTAATAAGAAAACAACTGTCAATACAATTTATCAATAAATTATAGCCAACAATCCTCACATAAAGAAATAAGACCTGAAGAATTACATGAATTTAAAATAGTAAAAAAAAAAAAAAAATCAAGCTCCCTAAAAATGTATCCATACTCTATTACTTTATGACAGCAATGGGGCTGGAGGTCCAGTGGATAATACACTTACTGTTCTTCCAGAAGACCTTAGTTTATTTAGTCCCAGCAACCAAACTGTCTGTGACTCTAAGTGGAAGGGATCTAATGCCCTCTTCTGACCTCCAAGGTAGCATGTATTTATACATATAATAAACACATGCACATAATTTTTTTAAAAAGAACATTTTTAATGCAGCAAGATGACAGACACGTCAGTCCCTGAAACTTACATGGTAGAGAGAACCAACTCCTGAATATCCTCAGACCTCCACTCATATCATGACATGCATGCACACACATACACACACACAAAAAAATGTACATATGTAAACAATGACCACTTAAAATCAATATTTTAAAAAGATAACTGCATAAGCCATTTTCCTTGATCGACAAAAGCATATTTTATGGATACTATCTACTTACCTTGTTGTTCAAACTACTATACACTTTAGGAACTTCATCAAGCCTGAGAAGACAGATACAAAATCATTACCATTTATATTCTAAGACAACATCACTTGCACTACTTATCAAGCCACTTCTCAAAAAGAAGGAACAGAGACACAATAAGGAGAAACATTCACATTGTAATGTGAAATATCCCAATAATTAGAAAAGATTGCCAAATATCAAGCATGAAGTAAACATATAAACATTTAGAAAATGAATCTTTAAAAATGACTAAACAGACTTCAAAGTGCTCATGGTAACTACTTGTCCATCATCTGTCTTTTTCTTTGTGCAGGGTAAGGAATTGAAGCCGGGGCCTTTGTGTACACTAGGCTGGTGCTTTAATAAACTATTTCACCAGACCCCTCTACACATTTTTTAAGTGTGGGCAGGTGCCGAGGCCCAGGTAGAGGCAGAGGTCAGAAGTTTAAGCCTCCCCAATGTGGATGCTGAAAGCTAAACTCCAGCCCTCTATAGGATTAGCAAACACTCTTAACTGCTCAGCCATTGGCCTAGCTTCTCCCTGTATATTTTTAGTAAAAATAATGACTTTAAAAAATAATAATCTGTGGCTGGGGTTGTGAAGATGCACACCTTTAGTCACAGCACTCGGGAGGCAGAAGCAGGCAGATCTCTGTGAGTTTGAGGTCAGCCTGATCTACAAATTGAGTTCTGAGTTCCAGGACAAAAAGAACCTTATTGAGCCAGGCATGGTGGTACACGCCTTTAATCCCAGCACTAGAGAGGCAGAGGCAGGAGGATCTCTGTGAGTTCGAGACCAGCCTGGTCTACAAGAGCTAGTTCCAGGACAGCCTCCAAAGCTGCAGAGAAAACCCTTGTCTCATGGGAGAGGGGGAGGGAGGGAGAACCTTATTTAAAATAAAGAACCTTGTTCATCAGACATAATGGTTAATATAAACAATGATATATGGACAAATAATGCTTACATGTATCTTGATGGGGAAAGCTGGAGCCCACAGATCAGAAACTGGGGTAAGAGTTTAAGAAAAAAGGTTTTCTGTGTATGTAATTGAACAGTGTGTTCAGTTGCACAGAATCAAGTCAAATAGATCTATATTACACATTTAATAAGCATGTTTCTTTGTATAAACAATTACAAAATATCACTTGCAAAACTGTAAAGTGTAAAGGGGAAAAAAAAGTCAAATGAAGTAGTTCTAAGTCTTTTCTCAAACGTATACATTCTAGAAGACATATAGATATATTCTAGAATACCATCTAGGACAACAAATCTGTTAAGACAAAAGTTACTAATCATACTTCAATTACACATAACAGAGCTGAGAAGATAGGCTCAGATGGTGTGATTGTCACACAAACATGAGGACCTGAAAACCTGAATGAAAGCCAGATGTGAGGACACACATTTGGCTTTTTAGTGTGACTTGCAAATGTCACACTAAAGAGGATACCCTAGTGCTTCCTAGAGTTTGCAGCTAGAATTGGTGAGCTCAGGGTTAGTGAGCTCTAGGAAAGCAAGGTAGACAGTTAATAGAAGGCAGTCTATGACTTCTACATGTATGTGCATATATATGAACACATTCGTGAACCATGTACACATGAACAAAAAAATCATATATACTTAATTCAACATGGATAAGCTGAAAAATACTTACTTTGAGTTTTCATACAGTAAAGCCATAGGTCTTGTAAAAGTTGCAAATATTTCTCGGATCATGGAAGGCAAGGAAATATGTCCAAATATATTGGAAAGCATGCTTATGATAGAGTTACCAATAGGAAACAATGCATCAGAACACTTTTCCTTGAAGCTCAGAGTGTGGAAAGAGTTGATCACTCTCACAATTAGCTTAAATAAAGAAGCCAGCTTTCCAAGGGGTTCCTTCTTCTTTCTGGACCAATCTGAAGATCTCTGTGGTGCTAAGACAGAATTGGATTGATTAAAAACTTATGTACTTTGGTATGTGTCACTATCACTTATATTTTGCATTCAAATATTAAATACATCAAATATGCATGTTCTTGCTGTTAATTAAAATTTCAGATAAGCCTTCAAACGATAAAGCATTATTGAATGTCACAAAAGTAGCTTTAAAAATGAAAGCCAAATTCAACAGAATGAGCTCACAGATCTCAAATAACACCAGCAAAAAAATTTCTAATGAAGGGCCGGGCATTGGTGGCACACGCCTTTAATCCTAGCATTTGGGAAGCAGAGGCAGGCGGATCTCTGTGAGTGAGGTCAGCCTGGTCTACAGAGCTAGTTCCAGGACAGCCTCCAAAACAATACAGAGAAACCCTGTCTCGAAAAAAACAAAAAAAAAAATTTCTAATGAATTATAAAAATACACTTCGATTTCTTTTGTTTCTCAGAATTTCAACAACTAGTTTAATTACTAAATCACATGCAGAAGTACCAAAGTTAAATTATCATGGATTTTCAATAAATTATTACAATAGAAATATCCTTGGCTCATCTACATGTAGTTCATTGATCCCTGCAAATAATGAATGCAAAGAAACACTAGTAGTCATTTTCTAGACTGGAATATTTACTTTAAAGCACATTTCCCTTTTTAGTTCCTCTTAGATCAATCATTTTTCTCCAGATCCCAGGTACAAAACAAAGCCCATGTTTCTCTTACCCTGAAAGTTATTCTTATTCCAAAATGTATCTGTTTCTATAAAAACAATCAAATCTTAGGAAAGTTAAGATTTAAGGGAGGGGTAAAGTCTAACACATACCTTACAAGCCTCATAGTGAACTCAAACCAGGGTTGCTACTAAAACACATTCTATGCTCAGTTTCTTCAACATAAATGTTTAAAATACTATTCAAAACTTCTTGTACAAAATGTTGAGTCTCAGGTGTCAGGATATGGCAGCAATGAGACAATGGATGTCAGGAAGCTGTCCCAAAATTGTCTGACCAAATGTATGTAACAAAAACTTATCTGACAGAACTTCAAATATATACTTAGAACCTGCAGCAAGGTCCTCACTTAAATCAGGTAGACACAATGCAGCAAGACCCATGAAGAGTCCGACGGTTGTGGTGCATGCCTTTAATCCCAACACTAAAGAAAGGCAGGCAGATCACTGTTAGTTCTAGATCAGGGTCTACAAGAGCTAGTTCCAGGACAGACAGGCTCAAGCTACACAGAGAAACCCTGCCTTGAAAAACCCAGAAAAGCAACCCTGAAGAATCATGATACCCAGAAGCATATCCACAGAAACAGGTAACACAGAACACATACACATTCGTGTCCCAACTTTCCTCAGTAAGAAGATCCAGAAACAATGGTACCTTAGTAACAATGAACTGCTCAGATAAAAATAACTACGTTTCTGGGGGAAATAATTCCAGGCTATATAAACAGTAGAAACTTTACAAAAAAAAAAAACTTTAATAGATGTCATTCAGTAATAAAGTGCTTTTCTAACAAAGATTCTGGGTTTGAATCCCCCAGTACAAAGGAGAAAAGAATTTATAGGAGGTAAATGGTATCTACAAAACTACAAAGAGAAAAAAACAAAAAGTGAGGTAGCTTGAACACTATTATATAATCCCAATGACGGGAGGAGGAGACAGGAATATGAGGGTGGAGGTTTTGCTGGCCAACCAGTCTAGCCAATCAGTGAACTCAAGCTTTAGTGAAATTCTGTTTCAAAAAATTCAGTAAGAAATAGAGTAGTGGTTCTCAACCTTCTTAATGCTGTGACCCTTTAATTCACTACCTCATGTTGCGGTAATTCCCAACCATAAAATCCAAGTGTCAACACTGATAGCTGGAGCTGTTTGTTATGTTGGAATGTGTCATCTACACTTCTAGAATTCAAGCTATAATTCTATTCAGCAACTAAAATAAGATAATGACAATTTAAAATAGGGATTTCATGTTGTAACTGGTGAGAAAATAACTTTGTGTGTGTGTGTGTGTTTTTTTTTTTTTTTTTGAGACAGGGTTTCTCTGGATAATGGCCCCTGCTGTCCTGGAACTCACTCTATAGACCGGGCTAGCCTCGGACTCACAGACCTGTCTATCTCTCCCATGCACCCTAACCAGGCAAGAAATTGACTGACTTCTGATACAAACTAATTTAATATAAGCAAATGAAAACAGTATGCCTCAAACAAAAAAACAAAAGCAAAGTGGATATTTACAGTCTCTTATGGTAGCCACCACAATATACCATTTATTACATAGCAATTACAATGGAAATTCTGCACAACGCAACCAATATATGTAAACATTATCAGGAATGAGTGAGGTATGAATTAAAAGCACCACATTAGTCTCTGATGTTTGTTTAAAAAAAATGAAACTAAGTCCATCCTTGAAGAACTATAGCAAAAGAATAAATAGATGCTGGCCAAGTACCTCATCTGTGAAGACCATGAGACAATACTGAGAAACTATTCCAAACTGTTCAAGCTGTTTGCTTGTATACCACACTTTCAAATAGCAAATAAAACTTAAATACATTGGGAGCAGCAATAAAACAAACACAAATTTGAGTTGTCATTCCTTTGGGACTAGGTCACGTAATATAGACTAGGCTGAGCGGGTGGTAATCCTCCCAGGTAACCCTGCTAGCTACTAGGACCATAGGTATGCATCCATCCCGTGGACTGTTACTGGAGAATCTAAAGATCTGGTGGTATTAACAAAACAATCTGATAAAAAGTTTGTAAGTGAAAGGAAACAATGCATTAGGAATTTTCCTTGAATGCTATGAAATACTGTATAAACAAGTAAAGGTAAATACTTACATTTGATTTTGGGCTGATATTTAATATTATATGGTGAAAAGTCGATACAATCAACCATTACAATAATAATTTGAGAGATCCTGTCCAAGAATAACAAATCCTAGGAAAGAATTTAAGTACCATAGTCAGAAAATCTTATTACAGGAATAGTACACAATTAAGTCAGTACACACCAAAATTTTATTTTTTATGCTATAAATGCATGATCGTAAGTACTTCCCAGTGAGACCTTCTATGGCAGACACTGTGCCTCTTAACACTCAGGAAAATTTATTGATCTTTACAGTATCAAAAATAAGGCATACCCACCAATAAACTCCTTTGTTTATTTGTTTGTTGCTTGGGATCTATGCAAGGTCTTTGTCATAGCTCCAACTAAAGACCCACTGTCACATGAGTGACAAGTGAAATATGGAAGGACTTTCCGATTCAGAAAAGATGCACCTACATGAGCAAGTTCCATGGGATTAAACAGCCACGCCTACCTTCCCTAGGCACTCACACACATGCACACACATTTTTAAATGAAATAAAAGATCTAGATCTACATGTATCCTTGAAAATTATATTAAGCCCTGTGAATTCAAACATAATTCTCAGGGCATACAGAGTGCCTGACAAAGAAGGGTACAGAAGAAAGTGGCATTATCACCAATGAGATGAATCATCAACCTTCATAAGGGTTCCATGGAATGAATAGGATTCAGAGACTACTTCTTAAGTGCTCATGAGATCCAAACACATTCCATGACAGACAAGATTCCACAGTGGGAACTGATAGCAGGCTCAACAAAGCAGTCTAGGCCAAAGGAATCAAGAATATATTCAACATTGTATCAGAATGTTTGTCCAAAAACTATTAGGATAAGGATTCACCCAACAGGCACTGTGCTTAATTGATGTCACCATTACAAAAGGTGGTAGCCCATGCCCTTAATCCCAGCACATAGGCGAGGCACACAAATCTCTGGGTTCAAGGCCAGCTTGGTCTACAGAGTAAGCTCCAGGACAGCCAGGACTACACAAAGAAATCCTGCTTCATAAACACAAAAACAAAAGTCTACTAAGAAGGCTGGTGAGATGAACTAACAATCTGAATTCAATGCTAGGACTCATATGGTGCAAAGAGAAGTGACTCCCACAACTAACTTCAAAAGGTACACTGACATGTATACATAGAGAGAAAATTGTGTAATAAAGGAAAATCTAGTCAGTGTAGATGAGAACCACTAAGTGTCAAGTTATAAAAGTTACAAACCAAACAGAAGGGCCAAGAACAGTAACAAAGGAATGCCAACAGTGGAGTCTTATCTATGTAAATTCTATTAAGTTGGGGCCCAGTCAAGGCTACAATATTTCCCTGTCTCAAAACACACACAGCTGGGGATGGCTGCAAACACCTGTAACCCAGCACAGTGGAGAACAGAGACAAGAAGATAGCTGGGGCTTGCTGGCTGACAGTCAAACTTAAAATAGAAAGCTCCAGGCTCAGTAAGAGGCCCTATCTTAAGGGAATAAAGGAGAGTTATAGACCAAGACAGCCAATGTCCTCTTCTGACCTCTACAAGCACTACTATCACACTTTCACACACCCCCATCCCACACACATATCCTCACACCCACAAAGAATGGGGCTCAAAGTGGCTCAGGAAAGGAAAGCAATTGCCACACAAATCCAGAACCTACTGTGGAAAGAAAAGACCAACTCCTAGAAGTTGTTCTCATACCTCTAACAAGTATTACAACACTGCTTTTCAAGTTCCCACCCTAATGTTAATAGTAAATTTTAAAATGAAAAAGAGTAACTGAGGTCAATTGGTATGATAGAGTCCCTGCATAGCATGCATGAAGTCTGACCAAGTAAATCAGGTACAGGTCACACTTATAATCCCAGCACTCAGGAGGAAGGGAGAAAACCACAAGTTCAAATTTCAACTTCCATAGTACCCCAGTCACAACACACTGACAAACAAGTGATCTCACAATTACCCAGTCCTCAGACCCTCAGCGCTACAACCAAGCTTCCATTCAACTAACTACACATATGCTAAGTCCCACACAAAAACAAAACACCAAAAGTCCAAGACAGCATTAAGAGATCCAAATAACAATCTGGAATGACTTTCAAAAAATAACAATATACTATGAGAGAATGAAACAAAGAGATGATTGAAGTCAGGCTGTGGTAGCACATGCCTTTAATCTCAGCACCCCCAGGAGGCAGAGCCAGATAAATGGATCTGAGTTTGAGACCAGACTGATCTACAGAGCTAGTTCCAAGACAGTCAAGGTTACACACAAGAAAACGGGGGGGGGGTCTTAAAACCATAAAAGAAAGCATATTGAAAAGCTACAAACAGGAAAATCCAAATCTCAAACACCTAATTATATCACAGAAGTACCTGGAAAGACACATTTCAAGTTCTGAAAACTCTCCACTATCAAAAAAGACTACCATACCCAACAAAACTATATAAATTCAAAGGGATGGATATGGTGGCATCATCTTTAATCCTAGCACTAACTAGACAGAGCAGAAAGATTTATTTCAGTGAGTAAGAAATAAAAACCTTTCATGATAAACACAGTACAGATATACATGCAGGCAAAACACCTACCCACAGAACACCAACTCAACTTTGCAAAATGGGAAAAACCTGAGTAGCACATGGTATTAGAAAATAGGATCCGGGCTGGAGATGGCTCAGAGGTTAGGAGCACTGGCTGCTGCTCTTCCAGAGATCCTGAGTGCAATTCCCAGCAACCACATGGTGGCTCACAACCATCCATAATGACATCTGGTGCCCTCATCTAGCCTGCAGGCACACGTGAAGTGCTGTATACATAATAAATAAAATCTTTAAAAAAAGAAAATAGGATCTATCTCTGCTACCTCCAAGAAACGCTTCAAAGAAACAACTTTAAGGTAAAAGGAAGAAGGTAGGGGGCTGGAGAGATGTCTCAGAGGTTAAGAGCTCTGACTGCTCTTCCAGGGATCCTGAGTTCAATTCCCAGCAACCACATGATGACTCACAACCATCTACAATTCAATCTGGTGTCCTCTTTGGCATGTAGGCAGAACACTGTATATGTAATAAATAAATAAATCTTAAAAAAAAAAGAAGGTATTCCAAATAAAACGATTTAGGAAGCAATCAAGCATATTCTAGTATCTGGCAAAACAGACTTCAAACAACTCAAATGAGATAAGGTCACTCATTGCATACAATACACCAAAAGGATATTACAATCCTAAGCATGCATACAAAAACAGGTATACCCATTTTTAGAAAAATTTTCAATGTAAAATCAGATCACTCCAACACAGTGATAACAGGTGATTTCAATACATTTTCACCCATAGACAGGCTATCTAGAAAAAAACTAAACAGAATACTAGCTAGAGTTTAATGACACCATACAACAAATGGATTCAGCACTACACACTGATAAAAGGTGTGTATGTGTATAGCAGTCCATGGAGCTTCCTCCAAACTGACTACCAACTGGGACACAAAGCAAGCACTAACAGGTAACAAAATTAAAATAACATCCTGTATTCTAAAGCTGCGTTATCAATAGCAAAACTATAAAGAATGAAAATTCATGGAGACTAAACAGGACTACTGAATGACAACTGAATCACTTAAGAAATCAGAAATTAAATTTTAAAAATTGCTAGAATTGAAGGAAACGGAATATGGAACATAAAAATGACTATCATGAAGAAAGTTTATAGTATTAAGGGCCTACATCAAAATGTGAGAGTACCAATAACTTAACTCAGGAAAAACATTAACAATCCAAACTTCAAAACAGTAAATAGGAAGGGATAATCAAAAATCAGGTAACAACAATACAAAGAATCAACAAAAGGTGCTTTGAAATGATAAGCAAGACTGACCAATGGCAGCTGTGGAGCAGAGCATGCCTTTAATCTCAGCAATGGAACAGACAAAAAACAGTTATTGTCATTAAAATAACTAGCTGCTTTCTGGTTGGATTTGAGGTGTGCTTTACAAGGAGGTAAGTTCATGCTGGTCAAGAAATTCTGCTCAAAAGTCCTTGGCTGGGAAAGTCATATGGTTCAGGCCTGCTTACCCGAATGCCAAACCTCAATGAAGTGGCAGAGGAGAACATATTGAAGCTGCCAGCCCAAGTGCTGCAGGAAAAGTCTGACTCGGCATTCCGTAATGACCAAAGCCCACAAATTTTCTCTCTACATGTCGTGGAAGGACTGTATTCCCTCACCCACCCACCCAAGAAAGCTGCTTGCTTTGCTCTGAGCTCTGTAATTTTGACCCATTCAAAGGAAAAAAGTTGTTCAAGGTGCTTTCCCTTCCATGCCAACTACTTCTACCTAGGAAGTTCTATAAAGGAAGATGATCTCACATAGCCTGTAGCAAAGGGGGAGACAACCACAGCTCCGTGCAGCCACACACAGCAGATTGAGTTCTCCTATCATTTAGGCATTTTTAATTCAGACCTAACCAAGATTCATGCTTCAGTGGACAGAAAAATTTCAGAACTAATCAATATGAAGGTGAGCTGTAGTACAAAGGTATTTTATGGAAAGTTTAAACTAGGATCAAGATAAAGACACCCAAGGTAAAGAGACTTGTTTTTCTGCATTAACTGAACCTCTTACACAGAAGCTTCAATAAACTGTGAAGTGTTTAATGCTATCTCCAAATTACAATAAATATGTACATAGTACAAGGGCAACACTCACTGAAAGGACTTCATCTTCCAAATTGCACATTATTTTAGAAGAAAGTTCTTCACAGCACAAATTCTCTTCTGCTGTTGCCACCAAAGCAGCACAGCGTGTAAATGCTCTATACAATTCAGACCAAGTTTTAAGTAAAGTCTTCATAGTGGCCTAATAACAAAAAAGAAACTTGTTAAACTGGCACACCACATTCCAAATATGTAACAGGATTAATATATTTTTAAGACTGAAAAGAATAGGGCTGGGAGGTGGTAGCGCAAGCCTTTAATCCCAGCAAGCCTTTAATCCCAGCACTAGGGAGACAGAGGCAGGTGGATCTCTGTGAGTTCGAGACCAGCCTGGTCTACAAGAGCTAGTTCTAGGACAGCCTCCAAAGTCACAGAGAAACCCTGTCTCGAAAAACCAAAAAGAATGAAACATATATGAACAGTATCAGGAATTATCAAAGGTCAAACAAAAGTCAAAGATGCCTCATTTCAGTGTCTTTCTTCAACCCAAACATTAATTCAAAAAAAAAATTAGAGTTGATGCTATTCATATATAAAGACAGTAATTCCAGAAAGGCATGAAATCCTTATACAAACAATATACATTCTTACCATGGGAAATGATTGAGCTGAAAAAATATGGTTTATTGGTAAAGTCAATGCACCATAGATGGCACTAAAATTGTGTTCTAAGGCATCACCTTGATTTACTTCATTGGTCTGAAATAAAAAATATGGAGTTAGACAAATTCTAATCCTACCTGGTAACATAACTCATATAAAACAAACGGTTATTCTAGAATATATTCCAGAGATGTTGCCACTTCTAGCCATACCAGTATGGCCTCGGTGAGATAGAATCAAAGACCTGTATGGAATTCAAGATGAGATCATACCCAAGTATGGTGAAGTCACACCCAAAACCTGTCAATCTGACTATCAAGGGAGATAGCTGAAATTATGTTGGTACAATTCAAGGTCATGGACTGCTGGCTACCTCTACTAACAGAGGAAGGCAACAGATTCTCAGGGCTCTAAAACAGAAAAAGACTTTTAGTCTTCAAAACTTATTGTTGGAGCTAGAAGTACAACCTAGTGATTATCTGGCGATGTACTTCTTTTCCTTAGGCTTGACTCTCGCACTTAACAAGTTAATTTAAAAAATAAACATAATTCTCTTGTTTTTACCACCTAGTCATGTAAACCTATTGTTCTCAGAAACCTTCAGGAATATAAAGAGGGGGAAAGACAGGGGAGAGTGAGAGAAAGAGAAAAACAGGGACAGAGACCCTGAGATCCAATAGAAAACAAGTATACCGATTATGTTGTTTTGAATGAAAATGGGCCCCAAAGAGAGGGGCATTATTAGATGTGGCTTTGCTGAAGGAAGTGCATCACTATAGGGGTGGGCTTTGAAGTCTCTTGTGCTCAAGATCCATTCAATGACACTCAGTCCACTTCCTGTTGCCTTCTAATCAAGATGTAGCCAGCACCATGTCTGCTCCCACACCACCATGCTCCCCACTGTGATGATAATGGACTAAACCTCTGAAACTATAATCTACCCAGTTAAATGTTTTCCTTTATAGGGGCTGCTGGGGTCATGGTGCCTCTTCATAGCAACAGAAACCCTAAGATGTTAACTCTAAGTTCTGAAACAACCTTAAGATCCCAAGCTACAAGTTATAATTCATACATGTAATCGCAGTATTTAGTAGGCTGAGGCAGGAAGAGTTTGAGGCCAACCTGGGTACTCTGAGTTCCAAGGAAAGATGTTATAGAGGGGCAACATCTCAAGACAAAAAAATCCAAACACACAGAATCTCATAAAGGGCCTCTACTACCATTCAAGGTGAGATTCTTAGAAATGCAGTCAGTCTAATATCCTTCCAGGAGAGTACTAGCTTAAGAGGTTGACTTTTGTAAAAATCTCCTGGAGCTTTCATTCCATGAGTTACTTGTATCAACCTAAAGAATACTCAAAAGCAAACAAAATATACCAAAACAAAGAAGAACACAAAAGTGAACTTGTGTCCCATATCATATATTCAAAACTTTATAAACATCCAAATGTAAAAATAATCAACTCTTTACAGATTTCAAGATTCAGAAGGCTAAATGTTGCAGAGGAACAGCTTGACACTGAGAATATAACCTATGTATAGTAATTACAGGTTAGGTGTGAGAAGCTACAAAATAAAGCCAGCTTGACTGCAACAGAGTAAGTTTGTTTCAAGGAGAAAACAAACCAAAGACTGTCTTTTATTGTTCCCTATCCAGAACACTTCAATGTAAATATTAAAACGATCCAAATATTGGAATGGGGCAAAAAGTCCCAGGAGGCAGAAGGCCAGCATATACTACACAGAAGATGCTGACACAAACCAAACCATTAAGAAAAAAGGACCCAACCTAGATAAATACATTTATCAATACAGAGGCTGGTGTTATCAACACTGTTGGAGGAGAAGGAGCTGTTTGGCCTACACTTACTAACAATATGGAAAATGGAATCAAATACAAAGATCAATCACAAGCTGTTTTTTAAACTAGTGATTTTATTGGGGGGAGCTTACATGGTGGGACAAGCCTGTAACCTCCTAGCCCTGAAGGAACAGAGGCGGGAAGACTGTGCCAAGCAGAAGTTCAGGCTGATATACAAGTATTCTTTCTCAGTATTAGTTCAGACCCCAGTGAGAGAGGGAGACATAATACATGTCAGTACCTGATGGATCACATCAGTCAGGGGAGTGACTATAATACTCCACATTCTCCAGAGATGCTCTTTATTTCCCAACTGCTTTGCATTCTGATTAATCACACTTAATACAGAATCACTAAAAGCCAAAGGTGAAGTTGGGCCAGAAAGTACACATTCTACAAGTGTTTCTAGATTGAGAAAAAACCTAAAAAAAAAAAAAAAGGAACAAGAATGAGTGTTTCTTCCAGAAAGACATTATGTATTAGCAAAATTCTAAAACAGCTGAACGCAAGACATGATGAATTTCTTTTATTATTATCCACCTAGCCTCTAACACCACTACAAGCCTCTTATCTCGAGTTTGCATTTATATACCACCACAACCTTCTTCCCAGACACAAAATATTAAATTTATGATGCAAGACCTGGAGAGGAAACTCTATGGTTAAGAGCACTTGTTCTTCCAGGATCTGGGTTACAGTTCCCAGCCTCCACTCTGTCACCATCCATGACTACACATCCAAGGGATTTGATACCCTCTTCTGGTCTTCAAAGGCACTAAGGCATGCACATGGTACAGACACATATGCAAGCAAAACACTCACACGCATAAAATCTTGAAAAAAACTTATGGTACAAGATCTGATGGCAAACCCTGGTATTACAGAATATGACACAAAAAGATCTACAATGAGCTGGGTGGTGATGGTACACACGCCTTTCATCACCGCAGAGTCAGGCTCCCTGTGAGTTCAAGGCCTGCCTAGTCTATGAGTTCCAGGACTATACAGAGAATCCCTGTCACAATAAACTAAATCTACAAAGTCACATCACAAAACACTAAATGACCAACTGAGTTTGGTGGCTTATTACCTGTAATCTAGCACTTAGGAATTAGAGGCAGAATTGCCACAAGTTTGACGCCAACCTAGACTGCATATAGAGAAAGAGTATCTAAATAGTAAAATCTTTTTTAATTTTAAAACCAAATTTGTGAAATACTGTAAGAAAATTTTCATTCATTACATAATCATCTTTCATAGGAAAAAAAGGAAAACAGGAAAAATCAGGCTGAGAATGGATTAGTGGCACACTTTAATCCCAGCAGAGGTAAGAAGATCAGAGTTCAAGTACAGCGTGTTCTACAGTCAGCCTAGACAGGGCTAAATAAAAACAACAACAGACAAAAAGATCATGGTGACACCTAGAAATTGGTTCAAATCAATCTCTTTACATAGCAATTCTAAGCCATCCTGAGACTCATGCAACCATGACAGGACTTAAAATAAAAAACAAGGCACAAACTTACTTTTCATCTGCTACACCACATTCTACAAGGTTGTTGTTGAAAATTAACTGGATTAAGAATAATGCTGGAGTACCCTAAAAGGGAAAGAAAAGAAGTCACAATTCCCAATAAAAGGAATAGTTTTTTATAAGACTCATTTAACAGGATTTATTTTGGCATGAAATAACTTTTAACATTATTTAATGTATGATGACAACAGCAAGTTTATTTAAGACTACACACAATACCAGGCACAATGGTACACACTTGGAATCATAGCTACCAGTAGGCTGAAACGGAAGGATCCGGAGTTCAAGGCCTGTGTGAAATACCTAGAGACCCTTGTCTTCAAAACAAAACAAGCCAGGTATGTTCACAGCACTTAGCAGATGGAGGCACAGAGATATGTGAGTTTAAGATTTAGAAGCAAGAATGGTTTATAGATCGAGACCTAGGCCAACTAGGGCTACAAAGACAGTTAAAATTTTTCTCTTTAAAAAGAGGCTAACTAGGTGGCTCACTGGTTAAGAGTATGTTATGTTCTTTTTTTTAGTATTTATTTATTACATATACACTTTTCTGCCTACATTCCAGAAGAGGGCACCAGATTGAATATTAGATGGTTATGAGCCGCCATGTGGTTGCTGGGAATTGAACTCAGGACCCCTGGAAGAGCAGTCAGTGCTCTTAACCTCTGAGCCATCTCTCCAGCCCAAGAGTATGTTATGCTCTTATAAAGGACCAGGCTCAGTTCCCACTACCCACACCAGGTGGATCACAACCACCTTTAACTCCAACTTCTGACCCTCTGAAAGTACTGCACTCATACATATCCAGGCACAAAGACGTAATTACAAAATAAAATGAATAGTAAATAAGAATACTTAACATTAAAAAATCAAATCCATCTCTATGCTCTGATCATAGTTCTTCAGAATCCACAACTTACTGGACTCAGAACAAAGTATATTTCACATTATTGTGTTTCACATACCAAACCATATTTTACATTATTAAGCTAATATTAACTAAGCTTTCAGCTATTTTAGCAGTAGCCAACATTACTCCATACAAACAGATCTACTATTCAAACCAGGGTAGAAAAATGTTCATTATTTTCGATACAAGTTTAACTTAATCAACCAAATCCAATTAAGGGTCATTTTTAAGAACTCTAAAGGAATTTGCTTCGCCAATCTTTATCATATTGCTACACTACATGTAAGATACTTGCATTAAGAATATCCATATTAGAAACCTGATATGCTGGTGAACCTAATACTTTCTGAGGAAGTCCTTTAACTGTAATTTCCATGAGGACCTAAGAAAGAAAGATTTTACAATAATTAGCCATAACAACCTGTTACTCAGTAAAAACATGTCATCTCTATTTGACAGTTTATAAGTAACCGTCACTCATGATTCATTACATATATTCATCAACTAAATGTGTATATGCTCGCATTATTTCAAAAGCTCAAAGACAGAAAATAACAAAGATATAACCTTGATATAAATTTATGAATATCCACAATTTAACTGTTTTTCTATACATGAAAATACTGAATTTTTTTACAGCGCTGTTAAGAAATTCTGCTGCCTTTAATCCCAAAACTTGGGAGGCAGAGGCATGTGGATCTCTCAGTTCAAGGCCAGCTAAACTACAGCGCAAGACAGGCTCAAAAGCTACACAGAAGAACCTTGTCTTGAAACAACCCATACACCAAGAAAAAAAAAAAGAAAATCTGCAATGAAACACATACTAAACAAGCCTAGAAGCAAATATTTCAACAGCTTGCTAACTGTAAGTCAATCTTCAGATTACAAATGCAGAGATGCTTGAGTCTTCTAAACTGTTCTCCAAGTCTTTCTGTGCTTATATGAACTATAAGGTGTTAAGTGTCAAAATAGTTACCTTAGTAAATAAAAACATTTTGAAGTTTTGGAAATACAATGAGGTTGACAGTATTAATTTGTGCCTTGTCCAGAGTGTTTTGCAAACATAGACCCATTTAGCTATTTAAACTACTAACTACACTCTACAACTTCAGAAGTGATAGACCAAGAAAGCTATATTGCCCAAATTCCCTTTGTTGAACAAAGATTCAACCTCAACTGCACTATAGTTCTTGAAACCATCTACGTTCCACCAGCATACTGTATTTAAGTAAAGATATTATTTGTTCATTATAAAAATTACATACAACTTTTCTTCTTCATTTCTATTATAACTTTAAAGACTACTTAATAGACAAGTGGCAATGTGCTATTGTCACCAAGCACTCTGAACATTAAAATTCTTCAGTTCAAGTTGTATGTTCTTTATTCCTCTTTATTCCATTTTTTTTTTGTATGAAGCTGATCCCTCTAACCACTTGGCAGATGTTTGCAGCTGCCACTACAAATATTCACTATACAGTTTTCAAAGGGCATTTGAATGGCACTTGGGATCCTGCTAAATTACAAGTCAATATTAGGTTTTATAAAGATCTGTGCCAAACATTATCTGAGCAAGTCAATAAAAACTGAATTTCAAAATGAGACTTTAAGGCAATTTATAGATATATTTACCAGTGTTTTTGATACAGGAAACACTTCTGACTTCACTATGTTTTCCAAAGATTTTAGTAGGAGAGTCAAAACTTCAGAGCCTGATCTTTCTTTTCTGTTTCCTATCAAAGAGTAAAAGAAACACATAATTCCAAATATGTTTTTTCAGGTGAGTATATGAAAATTTTAAGTAGCAATTTCTAGTTAAGTAACTTTGATTAAAACGTATAATTCCAGACACACATCCTGACACAAATAAGCTTTACATCAAGTGAAGCCTGCACTCTGTGCTATGAGGACCACTTAGTAATGTAATGTAATATGCTTACCTGATTCAGTAACTGACTTCACCAAGCTAATTAGTTCCTTCCAGATAGCACTGACTACAGCATCTATCAAGGAAATTAAGAACTTTTAAGAAAGAGTTCAATTCCTAGTACCCCATATATCTGCAACTACAGTTTCAAGGAATCTTTTTTTGTTTTGTTTTGGTTTTGGTTTTTCCAGACAGGGTTTCTCTGTATTGTTTGGAGACTATACTGGAACTCACTCTGTAGACCAGGCAGGCTGGCCTCGAACTCACAGAGATCCACCTGCCTCTACCTCCCAAGTGCTGGGATTAAAGGCATATTGACTTTACATTTCTCATACTCATTTCTTTTAGGCCATGAACATAAATTTAAAAGCAGATACTAAAACCACAGAGCCAAAGCAGACTGGAGTCAGAGCTCTACCAGTCCCTATATGATTTTATGCATTATCTCTTGGTAAAATCCATTTTCTTTTCCTATGTAGCCTTGGTGTCTGGAACATACAATGTAGACAGGCATTAAATATCAGAGATTGGCTGCCTCTGCCTCCCCAATGCTGCCAGTCACTCCTATCTGCACATTTAGAATGGTTTAGCACAAATTACCTCAAGGAAAAATAACACAAACTTTTTACTGCGTAATTTGTCCAATTATGCAGTAAACATAAAGCAAATAAATATTTGCTTTTTGTTAATTGAGAAAGGATTTCCTTGTGTAGCCCAGGCTGTCCTTGAACTCAAGAGATTCACCTGGTTCTGCCTACTGAGTTCTGAGACTAAAGGTATGTGCCACACCACCCAGCAATATTTGCTTTTTATGTTTCATTAAAGGGCTGGTGACCGAAAAAACAAAAAACAAAACAAAAACAAACAAACAAAAAGAAAAAGCACTCAGGAGGCAGAGGATCTCTGTGAGTTCGAGGCCAGCCTGGTCTCTACAGAGCAAGTTCCAGGACAGCCTCCAAAACAATACAGAGAAACCCTATCTCAAAAAAAAAAAAAAAAAAAAAAAAAAAAGGGCTGGTGAGATGGCTCAATGGAAGGCACCTGCTTCCAACCCTGATAGCCTAAATACCCAGGACCCACATGGTGAAGAACTTGAGTCCCAAAATGTCCTGTGCCACATGTATGACCACACACATGCACACCCACAAATTACATGAATGCTTAAAAATGGACTTTTGTAAAAAGACTTTCCTAAACTTACCTGAAGCATCCCTGCCAACTGCGACAAAGCTATCATGAACAGCAGTGATAAGTGTGTGTGCGTGCTTGGAGAAGAAAGAAGGGCTACTGATTAGTGGGTGTTCCAGGGGCTCTGAAAGGGAGAACAAGACAAGCAGGTCAATGATTTGTAAAACAAATTTCTCAAAATTATTTTTTTAAAAATGTTTTACTTAAAAGATTTAAATTCATTTCACACACAAATTTATCACTATTATTGAACTGTTGTGAAACAGAGGCCTCTCCTCCATACAGTAAGTTTTGGATTGTTTCAAACACATAATATTATTTCAAAAACATACCTAAGCTCAGTACAAGTTTGTGTTGCTTAGCAAAATTCAGGACTTCTGGACCCAACAAAAAATGAAGCATCATTTCCAGTCCCAAAAGTTGAATGGAAGGAATTGAAGCCATTCCACCTATATTTGAACTTGGGTTCACACGTGGAGTTGCAGGAACTCCATAAGGAGAAGCACCTTTAAAAGAGAAAGATCAATTTATTCAAGTTATAGCTCCTGTCCATAAAATACACCTTTAAAACCATGTCAATTTCTCAGACATTTTACACACCCTGAAATTACCAAGCTTTTCTGTACTTTGAGCAGGAAATCTAAAATCCTGAAAAAAGGCTAACATAAAGTAATGACGAATAATTGCTTTTGAATGCTGTTATATGTTTATCTTTTAAGATCCATTTTCTATATAAGCATGTAAGTTTTGGCTATTTTCCTAGTCATTCTGAGCTGTTTATTGGCAATCAATTCATGTAGCATGAAAGGAGCTGGGTTTGGTTCGTAGATATTTGCAATCTTAGCATTTCGAGTAGGACAGTATCAGTTCAAAGCAAGCCTGATCAACAGAGTAGGTTCCAGGCTAGCCAGAACTACACAGTAGTCTCAAAAACACAAGAAGTTCAACTTGGTCTACAAATAGGGAACCATTGTCTCAAATAATTTTTTAAAAAAATCAAATTTTCTGGGTTACATAGTGAGACCTGGCAACAAAGCAAGATAAAAAATAAACTGAAAAATAAAAATATTTATTTTCCAACTACCCACAATAATCCACTTAAAAGTCATCAATACAAAAGATAGTAGTATAGATAAAAATGCATTAGAGGTATGACCTCTAATCCCAGTATGACTAGCTCAAGAATTCAGGACTAGTCTGAGACAGGGCTAGGTTATGAGATCCTGTCTCAACAAAAATCAAAAACATAATAAAATAATAAAAAGAATTTTTTGTTTAAAAGACCTAGTCTCCAGAGAGTGTGACCACTCCTTCAAAGACTTTTTTTAAAAAAGGAAATTTTTCTCACCTTTATGTCCAGGAGTCAGTGGACTTAAGCCAGGAGAAGTAGACCCTCGGGATGAACCGCCTTGTGGTGTAGCAATGCTATCAACACTTATTGTGCTCTGAATCAGAGGCACACAAACCTAATAGATAAAAAGACAAACCAGCAATAATTTCACTGACAAGTTTGTAAAAAATTTTATGAAAAAAGGTTTCTCTGTATATCTATCCCTGGGTGTCCTGAGTCTCACACTGTAGACCAGGCTGGCCATTAACTCAGGGATCTACCTGACTTGTGAGTACTGGAATTAAAGGTATGCCACCACCACCCAGCAAGACATTAATTTTTTTCAAGAAGCGATCTTACTTCTTCTCATAGAGGTAGATAAGGCCAATTAAAAACTTAAGATCTGGGGCTGGAGCAATGGCTCAGTGGTTAAGAGCAATAACTGCTCTTCCATGTATTTACCTGAGGTATTACCTGTGTTTCAGTTAGTTCTAAATCCCAAACAAAATTGCATACAATAACTTTTGCAAATAAATTGAGTTAGTTAAATATGCTAGCGATATGTTTATGTAGTTTTTCTCCCCAGACAAGGTGTCCTGCAGCCCAGGCTGTCCTTAAACTCAACATATAGCCAAGATGACTGACGTCTTACTCTTTTGTCTTTACTTGTCCAATGCTGGGGATACAAACATGCACCAGCACACTCCATTTTTGAGTCCAGAAGTTTGACTCTAGGGCACCAAGCATGCTGAGCAAGCACCCTGACACTTTACCTACATCCCCAACATGTAAATTTTTAATTCTTCTTTGGTCTTGACTATTAAGTTTATGGTGCGGCACAGACTAAGCGTACTCCCTATAAGCAGTATTTCCCTAGCTGAGCAAAGTTTCTGTGAAAAGTCACATTAGAAATATCAAGGCAGGGCTGGAGAGACAGCTCAGACGGCTCAGAGGTTAAGAGCACTGACTGCTCTTCCAGAGGTCCTGAGTTCAATTCCCAGCAACCACGTGGTGGCTCACAAGCATCTATCATGAGATTTGATGCCCTCCTCTGACGTACAGGCATACATGCAGACAGAACACTGTATACATAATAAATAAAATCTTAAAAAATATAAATAAGTAAAAAATTTTTTAAATTTAAGAAAAAATGAAAAGGACAATTAAAGCTTACTTCTAAAACGATCCACTACACGTCCCATCTATGTTCTTCCAAATAAATAAGTTGTACAACTAGATTAGACTCTTAGGATCTTACAACGACAGAATTTGGAAATCACATTCATTTTTTTTTTAATGCTGACTTTCAATTATGTTCTATCAAACTTAGGAGGCCAGTGATAAAGCTCAGTGGTAGCTTCTCTAGTATATACAGAGGATCCAAGTTGAGCCCAGGACTGGAAAAGACAAGCACTATTAGGCTGGGGATGCAGCACAACTGGTGCGGATGAAGCCCTGGTCTGAACCCTGGTGCTAAAGCTGTGAACTCTATAACCCAGCACTTAAGGCAAGAGGATCAGAGGCTAGTCTTGGCTACAAAGCAAGTTCTAGCCCTGGACTCCAAAAAATAAAAATAAAAAATTATATGGAAAACAAAACAGCATAGTGGCTCATGCATCATTCATATAGTATCCATAACTCAAAAGAATGAAGAACACTGCCTTCAAGTTCAAGGCCACCCTAGTTTAAAGTGTGAGAGCCTGTCTTTAAAAATGAAGGATACCAAGCTAGAGAGATGGCTCAATGGTTAAGAGCACTGACTGCTCTTCCACAGCTCCTGAGTTCAATTCCCAGCAACCACATGGTAGCTCACAACCATATGAAATGAGGTCTGGTGCCCTCTTCTGGCATACAGGTAGAACACTGTATACATAATTAATAAAATCTTTTTTAAAAAATGAAGGAGCCGGGCGTTGGTTGCGCACGCCTTTAATCCCAGCACTCGGGACGCAGAGGCAGGCAGATCTCTGTGAGTTCGAGGCCAGCCTGGTCTACAGAGTGAGTTCCAGGACAGCCTTCAAAGCCACAGAGAAACCTTGTCTCAAAAAACCCAAAAAAAAAAAAAAAAAAAAAAAAAAAAAAGAAGGATACCTTGAAAAACCAAAAAGAAAAAGGGAGTGAGGGAATCAATGGGGAAAAGGCTCTAAAACAAACAACTTCCAAGAAAGCAGTTCCTGCTTTACCAATATTTAGAATGTAAGAAATACACTATAGATCTATAAGTTATCTTTTAGTATTTTAATTATAAACCAACAATAGAATTGCCACACAAAAATGGCTCAGACCAAATTAAATTCAGTCTTTGGTGTCAGTGAATGTATTAAATGACTGCTTATAACTATACCATCTAGAAGAAAAAGGGGAAAAAATAGAATTTTTACTTCAAACCTTGTAGTACGATGCTTGCTATTTCATTATGTTCATTAGCTGACAGCTAAACACTAAGAGAGTTCACCTTTACAGATAAAGAGCTGGTGAAAGATGGTTCAGCAGTTAAAAGTTTGGTGCTCTTCCACAGACCCTGAGTTTGATTCCCAGTGCCCACATAACACCTTACAACTAACTATCTGTAATCCCAGTCCCAGAGATGTAACACCCTTTTCTGGTCACCCCTGGCACCAGGCACATAAGCAGTACAGACATACACACAAACAAACCACCCATACACATAAAACAAAAAAAAAATTTTTTTTTTTGGTTTTTCCGAGACAGGGTTTCTCTGTATCGTTCTGGAGGCTATTGGTCCAGCCTGGCCTCGAACTCACAGAGATCCGCCTGCCTCTGCCTCCCGAGTGCTGGGATTAAAGGCGTGCGCCACCACCGCCCGGCTATAAAACAAAAAATTTAAAGGGCGCAGGAGAGATTAGTCAATTAACAGCATTGGCTGTTCTTCCAGAGGACCTGGATTTGGTTCCCAGCACCCATGATGCTCACTATGATAACCCCAGCCTCTTCTGGCATCAGACAGTACAAACATGCTATACGCAGGCAAGACATTCATACATATTAAAAAAATAATAAGGTAAGTTTTTAAAATAACAAATTAATGTTCTATACTGATATGTTGGAATTTGCTGATTGGAGGTTTATGGGTACTCCATTTTAGGCCATTAGGTGGTACATGCCTTTAATCCCAGCACTCAGGAGGGGAGGCAGAGGCAGATGGATCTCTGTGAGTTCAAGGCCAGCCTAGTCTACAGAGCGAGTGTCAGGATAGGCTTCAAAGCCACAGAGAAACCCTGCCTCGAAAAACCAAAAACAAAGAAAGGAAAAAAAAAAAGACAGCCAAGTTTTTATAAAGCATAAAGTCCTTAAATAAGACCCTATCACAAACAAAAACTACAACAAAGACACATGAAATTTTAAGTTAATACTTCATAATTACGTTACCTGCTCAAAATTGCCAGGGAGCTGAGGTCCAAGTCTCATCAGTAAATACCACCAAACTTCTAATTTTGTTAATGCTAATGTTTCTGTTCTCACATGGATGGAACTCAAAGGCTGCATTAACAACTTGAGTCTTTTTGCACTACAAAGTATATCTTAAAAGAAATATGAATAAGATTACTACAGCAAAAGATGTCAGGCTAAACTTCTTACTTGGACAAACTCTAATACAGATGCACCAAAAACACAGAATAGATATTTTAATATCAGATACAGCATAACATAACAGGGTTACTATTCCCACCAGGAATGTGGACATGTGGCAATACCTACAAATTCCAGGTTGTTACTGAAACCAAGGATGCCAGTTTCCTAAAAGAAATGGAGGTAAAGAACCATAGTGGTTCATGTCTACAATCCCAGGTCCCTAGGAGGTACAGGCCAACGTGGGCACACTTTTATATTACTACAACAAAGGTATTTTAGAAATCAACTAGTAACTTAAGTCAAGCACCATTACAACCAGTGCCAACAAATTTTCAAAAAGGTACACATTTAGACAGATCTACCCTACTTAATGATTGTTAGAACTCAACCTACAACTGAAACCCATTTTGTGTTTCTGTTTTTTTGGCTTGCTAATTTTTAATGTTTTTTTTATTATTTATTTATTACATATACAGTGTTCTGCCAGAAGAGGGCACCAGATTGAATTGTAGATGGTTGTGAGCCACCATGTGGTTGCTGGGAATTGAACTCAGGACCTCTGGAAGAGCAGTCAGTGCTCTTAACCTCTGAGCCATCTCTCCAGCCCCCTAATTTTTAATGTTTGTTTTCATTTTTACATGTAAGTGTATGTTTTTGTGAGTATGTCACATGTGTGCAAATGTTCTTGGAGGACAGAAGAGGGTGTCAGACCCCCTGGAGCTGGAATTATCCAAGCAGTTGTAAACCTCCCGATGTGGATGTCGTGTTAAATAGCAACAATAGCACTCTTAAGTAACTAACCAGTTTCAGTCCCTGAAACTCAATTATTTGAACAATATTTTTAACTAGATGTATACATGACATGGGTACAGAAAATTAAGACAGTCTTCACTCACTTTTTTGTTTGTTTTTCGAGACAGGGTTTCTCTGTGGCTTTGGAGACTGTCCTGGAACTTGCTCAGGTAGACCAGGCTGGCCTCGAACTCACAGAGATCCGCCTGCCTCTGACTCCCGAGTGCTGGGAATTAAAGGTGTGTACCACCATCACCCTGCCCACTCACGTTATCTTATCACAAAGGATTTTGAAACATCAGTAGAAAAGGTGCTTAATGTTGAATCTCCCATTAATATTTCTTAAAACTATTTTATCATTTAATTCAATTACCACTTCTTAAGAGTCTAGATGTTGTACAACAATGAGACTACCAACAAACCTAGGATTAAACTACCACCTACCTGGTTTTTTGTGTGGAGACAGATTTTTACTTGTAGCCTTGGTTGGCATAGAACTCACTATGTAGATCAGACTGACCTCAAATTTATGAGATCCACCTGATTCTACCTCCTGAGAATTGGGATTAGATGGGTGTATTAAATACTTATACTAACGTTTTAGGCTATTTTCTCATCTCATACATACATTGCAAGCACTCCACTGAGCATTATAAGGTAAAGACAAGACTAAAGAGTGCAGTTTGGAACACATTTCTAGAACTATAGGGAGAAAAGCTAAGTTACTGATATTTTCATTTCATGGCTACCATTTTTCTTGTCATCTGTTGTCTGTATTGCTCCTGATAAATCAGGTTTTATAAAATAGTTAAGTCAGGCCTACTGTAGTCATTTCAGAGACACAGCACACATGATACTTAAAACTCAGGTTAGAAAGCCACAAATAGATTTTGTCCAGCTTATGAAATAACAGGATAAATATAAAAATTCTTAATGTCTCTCAAATACTATTTACATATTTATTCCCATTTCCTATTAAGGTAAAGTTAATAAAAACATTTCAATATAAATCCCAAAGAATCAGAAAAGGCTTCATCACTTAATCTTTACTAACACCAAATGAATTCATACAAAATTAAAAATTTGATTAGTTTCACCTCATCTACCTTTTTAGAATCAGCCTTAAAACAAAACATGGCCAGCAAGATGTCTTAGGCATGCTGTAATTATGCTAATGTTTAGTTTGATTCCCAGAACCAATGTAATAGTGACAACAGATTTCACTAAATAGTCCTCTATCCTTACCACGGCCTAAATGGCCTCCTTCATCACACACATACAATATTAAATTTACAAAGAAAATAAACTAAAAGCCTTAGAAAGGGGGAAGGGGGAAAAGAACTTAAAACTATTTACATACCTGGGTTTAAAGCAAAATTATCTATTAAGCTTTTCCAAGCAATGAAGGCTATCTTTTTAATCATGGGTATTCCACTACGGAAGCCCAGTTCTTCCAGCTGTAACAAAGAATTGATGAAACTCCCACTTCGGTGCAATGTCTAAGAAAAGAAAAAAACATAATCACAAACTAATTCATTTATTAACTTTTTGTAAGTTCATAATCAATAAACAAAGCCACACTGCTTGCAAACATAACCTCTAACGTGAGTAATGGAGATGTTTTAAGCAAATTTAAAGAAGCTGAGAGTATGGGGAAAACAAACATCTTGTTCAATGAAGTGTTCGCTGTACACCGTTCAATCAATCCCCAGAACCCAGGTTCAAAAGCTTAGGCAGATGGATGTGTTTGCCCACCGGAGCAGAAGCAGGCAAATGTGCTTTCCAGGTCACTCTGACCTACAGAGCTCTAGCCTAGCCAGGACTACCTAGTAAGAGCATGTCTCAAGACAAAACTTGGGCAGGCAGGCAAGGCCAGTGAGATGGCTCAGCAGTACAAGTAGGTGCCACGCAAGAAGTATGAAAACTTGGGTTTGATCTCCAGTGGTAGAAAAGAAAAACTCCACAAAGTAGCACACATCTACTGCCTATAAGAGCACACGCATATAACGTGAACGCAGGTATGCATACATTGTTTTAAGGCTGGGCACAGAGGCAAACACTTGTAATCCCAGTGTTAAAGGCTAAACAACTGCCTACTTATTGAATGCACATGAATGTGAGAATCCAGCCTCAATCAAAGACAGAAGCTGAGCAGACAATGGCAGATGCCTTTAATCCCAGCAAAGGCAGCTGATCTAGCAAACTGAGTTTGCCAGGAGCCCACATAATGGGCGGGAGTGAACAACTCACCCAAGTAGTGCTGATGAGTGTCATATCTCACACGCATCATTCACACAAATGTCATAAATATGAAAAAGGGCAAATGGCACCTAGTGAGCAACACCTGAGGTTGACTTCTGACTCTACATGCATGTACTCCTGTTATGTCCATCAGTGTACACACGAGCATACCCACACATAAGCTGGGCACAATGGTTCACATCTGTAATCCCATAACTTGGTAGGTTGATATGCTGTGGAATAATCCTCTTGGGCACTGTAAGGATTTATCACTATCGGTTTAATAAAACACTGATTGGCCAGTAGCCAGGCAGGAAGAATTGGTGGGGCAACAAATTAAGCATGCTGGGAAGAGGAAGGGTAGAATCAGGAGTCGACAGCCAGATGCAGAGGACTTGAGATGAGAATGCCAAAAAGGTACCAAGCCACATGGCTAAACATACGTTAAGAATTGTGGGTTAAATTAAGTGTAAGAGCAAGTTGGTAATAAGCCTGAGTTACTGACCGAGCTTTTATAATTAATGTAAGCGTCTGGGAAGTGGCTGCTGGTTGGACCGTAACTTCCGCCTATACTGATGCAGAAAGATTGCTGCAATTTCAGGCCTGGGCTTTGAGCTACATGGCGAGTGGTAAGCTCCAGAGCAGCTTGAAGATGGGAATACTCAAAGTAAAAACTCTGACGTGTTCAAATTATGAAAATACCAACTAGTTCATTACTGTGGCACTTACCTTTCCAAGAAGTTTGACAAACAAAGGCCATAATTTTAATACATAAGTCTCGTTTTTACTCATAAATAGTTTTTGGAGTTCTGAGATTAATTTCTGTAAACAAAAGTAAAAACATTTATCAAATACTTTAAAAGAAAAAAATCCACTATCTAAAGTCTAAAAAGTATTCAAACAATTTTTTGAGCCAAATAACCTTTCTACAGTTAAAGTATACATCCTCCAAAGAAAGCAAAAACTGCATCACAGCAACAAGTAACTAACATGTGGCTTTCCATATAAATCATGGTTCAATAAAAACATCATGTGCTTCCTATGCAAGCATGAGGACCCAAATTTGATCCCCAGAACCTAGTCTTAAGAGAAATTTGAAAACCCAAAGCTGGAAAGATGGAGAAAAGAGGACTCCGCAGCCTCACTGGCTATCAAGTTCTAGGCCAGTGAAACAATCTTTAAAAAAATAAAATAAGCCGGGCTGTGGTGGCACACGCCTTTAATCCCAGCACTCAGGAGGCAGAGGCAGGCGGATCTCTGTGAGTTCAAGGCCGGGCTGGACCGACAGCCTCCAAAACAATACAGAGAAACCCTGTCTCGTAAAAACCAAAAAATAAAATAAAATAAAAAATAATAAAAACTGTATGTACCAAGATGTTATACTAACAACGGAATCCATTACAATTCTTCTTTTCAGAAATATAATCCCTTTATTCATCACTCATTATAGAAGGCATAAAATATCTACACTTTAGTAAAAACTAAAACAATCCACTTATTATAGGAGTAACATGTATAAGCTAACAACTTTTCTACATTTGTTTCTTTGATTTCTGATGCTTAAAATTGTGCACAAGACATTCTACCAAAATCTGTTTTTTTTTTTTTTTTATTCAAACCAAAACTCCTTAGTCTTGGTGTAACTATACCAATGAATTCAGGCAGAATTCAGCAGACTTACAAAAGGTAATACTTACAGTAGTCATAAGGTGCTCTGTAATCAAGGCTATTTCTTGTTGTTTCTGAAGCAGCAATGGCATCCCCATCTCCAGAGCAGTGGCTCCCCGCAAATGTACCTTTTGTGCCGAGTGAACAACTAATGGTATGACCAATTTGGCCCACCTCACAGATTCTTCTCCCATTTTAACTGGGGCTTGTTCAATTAGCCTACAATAGAGAAATCGATGACTAAATTAAACTTAAAAAGTGAGGTAGAGTTAAATTACCAAGATGCAAAGCCAGGGGATGCAGGCCTAGAAATCCAACTCTTCAAGAGGCTATGATCACAAGGCCTACATGTTAAGTTCAGCCTTAGGCAACTTTGTGACATTCTGCCTCAAATTTAAAAACAAGCAAAAAGACATCTGGTTTTGGCTGCAACTTAGTGGTAGAGTATTTGCCTGGTATGCTCAAATCACTCCCTCACACTGTAAAAGAAAATTATCAGAAAAAAATGAGCACCATATAAAGATGCATAACATGACCCACTTATCTAAGAATGTATACATTCTCAAGTGTATATATTTGTACAGACAATTAATGTGTACACAGAGAAACAGATTAAACTGTACCCGTATACATCTGTACCTTAGACAATTAAACTACACAAACCGTGCTGCCAGCATGTCTAACAGGAAGTTGCAAGGATGCTCCTGACTAACTCACTTAGGAGGATTCTGAAAGTCTTAATCTTTTTAGATCTGAACTCTGGCCAACAGGAATATAGCCAAGACTGTTTCAGTAAAAATAAAAACAGCAATTTACAGATTTTTTTCATCTTATTACCACCTTTCTCTTGCTTAACTTGGCTGGTCTACAGGATATTCGTGTTTGTTTTTACCCTACTGTTTTAAGTTTGTGTGTGTGTGCATATACCAGCATGTGTGTCTACACACCCAAAGTGTCTGAAGGTCAGAGAACTTGCAGGATAGGGTCTCACCTTTCACATGGGCTCTAGAGATTGAATTCAGGTGGTTAGGCTTGGTAGCAAACTGCAAGTGTCACTGTTTAATATCTATTTCATCTTCATATGTACAAACCCCAAAGCATAATTATTCTAATTTATACAAGAACCAACTGCATACCTGATAATAACATTTAAAGCTTCAAAATCAACAACTGCAGAATGTACCTCTCCTTTACTTAGTAGCACTTCCAATGAATCAATAATACTGGATACCTAAATGACAAAACAAATACGAATCAAATAAGCCAGGACTTGTTTTACTGGCACATAATTTAAATGCCCCAGAACTATACTCACCATTTTGCTAACAAGTTCACTAGGAAATGTCTGTTTGGATATTACCCACAGTGCCCTGGTACACACATTTTTGTCTGAACTCTTAATGATACCATTCAAGGTTAAAAGCAGTTCTTGAATATTTGCCTCTGAAAAAAAAACAAGTTTTAATTTCAATTATGTAGCATAGTTAATATCTTTAAAATCTCAAACATAAAAGTAAAATAACAAAGGCAGATGGGGGTGATCAGAAGTTGGAGATGATCAGATAGTCTGCAGAGATGCTGATAGGTATCACACGTCTTGCCAAAATACAAAATCCTGACCAAAGCAGAAGACAGTAAAGAAAACTGATAGCAGACTGTAAACCGTTCATCTTCCACAACTCAATTAACTATTGTCATCTTAAGATGCTAACAAGTCTTACACAAAAGAAAAAAACTGCAAATATTGATGGGGGATGTCCTTCTGTATGTTTCTCTTATTGGCTGATGAATAAAACACTGACTGGCCAATAGCCTGGCAGGAAGCATAGGCAAGGCGACCCGACTAGAAGACTAGGTAGAGGAAGGCAGAAAGAGGTCAGGAAGAGTAACTCCTTGCTGCCGAAGGAGTAACATGCCGGATTACGGGTAAGCCACAGCCTTGTGGCAATACATAGATTAATAGAAATGGGTTAATAATTAAGACAGAACTAGTCAGTAAGAAGCCCTAGCCATCAGACAACACTTTATAAATTAATAAAAGTCTCTGTGTTTATTTGGGGCAAAACAGCTATGGGACCAGACTGGAAAGAAACCTCCCCCTTCAAACTCTTCAATGGGGGGGGGGGGCGGGGAGATAGTAACAGCTTTGATATCCTTATTACCCACCTCTCAGTCACCTTGTATGTTTCCTTTACAATGGCAAACTACTAGCTACAAAACAATAGTATTACTTAACACTTGGAAAATTATCAGGTTCTATACTTTTTGTTTGTATGTTTTTTCAAGACAGGGTTTCTCTGGCTGGAGAGATGGCTCAGAGGTTAAGAGCACTGTCTGCTCCTCCAGAGGACCTGAGTTCAATTCCCAGTAACTACATGGTGGGTCACAACCATCTGTAATGAGATCTGGTACCCTCTTCTGGCATCCAAGCAGAACAGTGTATATACATGATGAATAAATAAATCTTAAAAAAAAAAAAAAAAGACAGGGTTTCTGTATGTAAGCCCTAGCTGTCCTGGAACTAGCTCTGTAGAGCAAACTGGCATCAACTATTGGAGATCGGCCTGCCCATGCCTCCCAAGTGCGGGGATTAAAGGCATGAGCTGGCTATATACTTTCAATATCGTTTCCAAACTGACATTTACCACTATTATGTAAGACCTCTTTATCATAATAAGTTCCTTAAGAAATATGCCTGTCACATAAATCAGATAAATTAGTGTTAACTTCAGATTTAAAAAGTATATTCTAAGCCGGGCGTTGGTGGCGCACGCCTTTAATCCCAGCACAGGGGAGGCAGAGGCAGGCGGATCTGTGAGTTCGAGGCCAACCTCATCTACAGAGTTGCAAGACAGCCTCCAAAACAATACTATACTTTACACTCAACAGACATTAATAGCTATAACAGATATTAATAGCTATAATCATTTTACCTACCTGACAGTCCGGAGGCAATTTTGGGATTATATAAGCAAAATCCCAAGGCCTGTAGAGCAGCACTACTCAGTTCAGAGTTCTGACTGGAAATATGAGCCTACAAAAACAAAATCGCATTCACAACAGAGGAACAGTTTCCAGAATCAAAGCCAGCTACAACCCAAATTCAATGCATTTTAATCCAATCAATCAGCCACCTTTTGGAATAAGTGAAAACCATTAGGAAAGTTTGGCAAAGGAGACAATAACTAGAAAAAGATCAACTGAAAGGGGTTGGAAAGATAGCTCAGCAGTTACTGTTGTAGACTAGATATGGCTCCCAGAACCCACATGGCAGCTCACAACCTGTCTGTAACTCCAACTCCTGGGGCTCTGAAACCCACCTCTGGCTTCCAAGGTCACTGCACTATGTGGTACATACATGCATGCAAGTAAATACCCATATACATAAACTTTTTTTAAATTAACTGAAAGAACATTTTTAAGAAAAGATAAATGACATCTCCCACATATCCATGCAAAAACAAAGAAATGGCCAACAAATGAGAGATGTTAAAATTATTAGACAGGAAACAAACAGGAGCATGGTTCTTCTACAATGAATAAGCAAAGTCTCAAATGCAAAGTTTATATCCTAGTTTTAGAATGGAGTAATGCCTTCTTCCTCTAAGACTAGGAAAGGGAAGCAGCTGCAATGTAGCAATTCCCAAGTATCTGTTAAGCATTTTATCTCAATCTTAAAAGTTAAAAAAAAGTTCAAGAAATGTGTGGCTGGGGATGTACTTCAGTTGGTATGGTACTTGTCTAGCATGCATAAAGCCCTGGGTTCAATCCCCAGCACTGCATAAATGCAAAGTGGTGGCACATGCCTGTAATCCCAGCACTTGGGAGGCAGGAGGATCAGAAGTTCAAGGTCATCCTCAGCTATATAGGAAGTCCAAGGCAAGCCTGGACTAGAGACCCTGTCAAGAAAAATAGTAATAATTTCAATAAGGTTGGGATATTTAGTTCCGCCTTTTTATTCTAAAAACAAGAGTATTAAAGTGTTGATGGCACTAAGTGGTCAAGCGAGGCTAAAAGACTACAGACTCTGTCCGATATTAACTAATACCACTAAATAAAACAATTAACTAAATTTTTTAAAGTGTTAACAACTTTCCAACCAGGCATAATTATCAAAAATTGAACATGAATGAAAACAAGTAACACATACTGTGGGGTTTGCCAATGCCAGCCTACAACCCCAAATACTTGAGAGGCAGAGGCAGGATTGTCACTTAGCTAACTACCTGGTTCCCAGTCAAGGCTTTACTGGGAAACTGTCTCAAACTCCCTTGACCCTACCAAAAAAAGAAAAGTACGTATATGAATACTATCTATCTCAAGAGTAGACCAAATGTAGTTGCCATTTTAGGATAAAGCAAACAGATTTTATCTTTGACAACTTTTTATAAGCGACAGGCTTTGAATTCAGGAAGCCCTGAACATTTTAATGGGGGAGGGGAGGAACGAAGGACAATTTCCTAACCAGTAAAATGGGTCTTAAAGAGCAAACTCGGGCTGTGGATATAGGTTGATGTCCTATACAGAGAACTTTACTAGCATGCCAGAGGCCCTGGAGTATAGAAAATTAAAGTGAGAGAGCACATATAAGGTATTAAGAGTACCTGATAAACCAAAGTAATCAATGAAAGGTAACACGATCCTGTCAATGTAACTGCTGATAGTGTATTCAGGGTAATGCACTGGCTAATTAATGCTACAGCCAAAGTAAAGAAGCATTTTACTAGAAAGCTAGTCAGCAGTTGCACCTGGAATCCCAGCATTTAGGAGGCTAAAGATTTCAAAGGACTCAATCTAGTGAGTTCATCCAGACCAGCCATGGCTTCAGAGGGAAACCCTGTGTGTAGTCATCAAACAAGTAAATAAGCAGACCTTTAAAACCGTGTACAGCCGAGGAAGGTTCTTCTCAATTTCTGTAATGACTTCTTTTCCTTCTTCTCCAGTCATACGACTTTAAAAGGAAATAGAACATAAGCTTGGGCAACACAAGCACAAACAAAAAAGTACAGTAATCACCTTAAGGATTACTTTCAGAGCGAAGAGACGACTCTGTGGTTAAGAACACACCCCACTCTGGAGCAGAGGACCTGAGCTCAATTCCCAGCACCCCTGTCAGATGGCTCCCAGTAATCTATACTCATGTTCCTGGATCATCCAACACCGGTACTCAGAACTTTGAAGTTCCTAAGGATTACTTTCAAGCCCTTAAAAAAACATATCTATTCCTTAAAAATGCTTAAGTGTATATAGAAAACAATCGTAAACTACGTCAGAAATAAGCGATTAACTTGCACAAAAAAAAATTGCCCTCTACAACGGATTCAATTTTAAAATTTATGAGAAAAGGAAATGGGAATCCCCTTGCCTAATCATATTTTGCTAATTTTAGTGTCATTTGCCAAAATTTAGAAGATTTCTGAAGTCTTTCAAATAAAGCGAATACCAGGTTCCGGCACTATTAAAAAAAAATTTAAGCCGGGCATGGAAGCACTCGGAAGGCTGAGGCAGGCGGATCTCTTTGAGTTACAGGCCAGCCAGATCGGCAGACTTGAGTTCGGGGACAAGGCAGGAGGGTTGGGGGGAAGCCAACTCTGGTGCCGATTTGATGGGTCGCGCACCTGTGATCTCAACCGCGAGAAGGCTCCCGCAAGGTCCTAAGTTCGAGACCAGCAGGGTCCATCCACCTGACCTGAACTAAACGCCGACCACTCGGGACCGCCAACTTTCTCCCCGGCCGGTTGGAGGCTTGCAGTGAGAGCCCGCCGCTCTTCAAACTACTTTCAGCTCAAAACTTTTCCAAACCGCTCCCGTTTGCTTAGCCGAACAACAAAAAAAAAACCAAAAAAAACAAACAAAAAAACGCTCCTCCCCGAAGAAGCCCTCGGACGCCGCCGCCGCTGCGCCCCGCAACGTCACTAGGCAGGAATGGCCCGGGGCGCCCCAAGCTGCCCGCGCCCGCCGCGACCCCACGGCTCCCCGGGTCGTCCCCACCACCACCACCACCCCGGTTCGTCCCCGGCCGGCCTCACCTGGTCAGAGTTAGGTAGGCGTCCGTCTGCTCTCCGGGAGACACCGAGGGGTCTTCCCAAGTCTCCAGGAGCGGCTCCAGGGGGCTGCGACCTGCGGCCGTCATGTCGGCCACCCTAAGGTGAGGCCGGAAGACACCAGTGACCGGTGGCACGGCCCGCGCGGAGCCCCCTCACCTGCACGCCGGGCCGCGCGCTCGCAGGCCGCCCGCCCGCCCGCCCGCCCGGCCTCCCTCCCGGCCGGCCGTCCACCCGGTTCCCGCCGCCGCTTCCCAGGCAGCGCGGCCGCGAGGGGGCAGAGGCAGCGCCGCCGGCCGAGCCTCCCGCTCCTCACCCCACGCGGGAAGCCCGCCCCGCCGCACGCCGCACGCTGCACGCCGCACGCCGGGGGCCGCCGTCCGCTCCCGGGCTCGCGCTATTTACTCACGCGTGCCGCCCGCTCCTCCACGACCAAGATGGCGGCGGGGGGCGGGCCCAGCGGCGCGCGGGAGCCGGGCAGGCCTGGCGGGAGAGGCTCGAGCCAATCCAACGGGCGGCGGCGCGCCGGGCTGCTCGATGGCCTGCTGCCCGCCCCCAGCCCCCGTCCCCGCCCCCCCGGGTCACCTTCAGGTGTGGGGTATCGCCTGGGGCGGGGGGCTGGAAGTGGGTGATGGAAATGAGCGCTCGATTCCACCTGACTCAATCCCGTGCTCCTGCGGACCAAGTTTGTAAACTCCCAAGTGCAGCGCTCCTAGAATGAGCAAACCATTGGATTCAGAGTCAATGGCAGGCTGTTAGGCTTGTTTTGGGGGTGTGGAGGGTTTTGTTTTCTGGAGGTCCGATGCTGAGCCTTGCGAGCCTGGCTTTCTGTCTTTAAGCCACATGCCCCAAGCCCAATGGGTAAGTCAGAGGCGCATCTCCAGCATGCCGGCTTTCAGGCGTTGCTCTGTGACCTTAGCAAAACTACTCCATCTCCATTTTCCTGAGATGAGAGCTACTTGCAACACATGGGCCTGCCAAGAAAAAGTGTAGGTAGAAGAGGCCAATGGCGTGCATAACAAAGGCCTGGAAATGGGCGGTATTGGTGTGCAGATTTCAAAATACCGCCCATCGGCCTTGCGATTCCTCCGAGTCTGGCCGCTGCCTAGAATGCTTTCTTCGATTGTACACGAGGTGTTGAAGAGTGTTTCACAGGTGCGGAGAAACTACAGTCAACCGTTAAAGAAGGTGGTTCTCATTAATGTCATTTCGCGTGCCTGTAAGCACGCTGTCGGCAGAATTGTCTCAACTTTAAAGACGGAAGGTCCAGGAAGCAGGACCTTGACCCACCCATTTACTCCCAACAACACGGAGTATGCAGAGGCAGGCAGATGAGTTCAAGACCTCCTGGTCTTCATAGGGCGTTCCAGGCCAACTAGAGCTACATAAGGAAACTGACTCAAAAAGCAGAACAAAACAAAAAACTGTTAATAACAATAAAGACTAATAAGTCTTCCCAGTGCCAGGCTAAGCAGAGTGCTTGCCTAGCACTCTTGAAGCCGGAGTTGTAACCTCAGCACTGCTGCTTGTTCTGAGCAATCCACCATAACAGAGAACTTCCCTGTGAAAAACCCTTGTTTTTAGAAACATTCCCTTTTCAAGCATTATGGTCAGTTAAGCACAGTTGTACACACTTGTATCCCAGCACTCAGGCTGAGGCAGGAAGGATCCCAGAGTTCCAAGCCAAACTGATTTAGAAGGAAAAAAAAAGTCCTCAGCTTCATTTAGTAGGATTTGAACCCACCTTTCAGATGAAATCTTTCCCTCATTTACACTTCTACCACCCACATTCCTTCCATAGAGATTTAAATTCTCCTGCCCCCAAGCTCAAACTCAGATTCCTCTGCCTCTGCCTGCCCAGTGCTGAGATTCAAGGCGTGCATCTCCACACCTGGTTTCTTGATCTCATAAAATGACTTAATGTTTGGTCAAAGGTACTTGCAGCAGAAATGTTGAGTGTATCAATAGTTAGATCCAGCTACAGTCTCAGTGGGTTCTCTCCACTGCACTTTGATGTTTTCCGTCTCATCTGAAAAACTGAAAGAAAGTTTGGGCTGGCTCAGAGGTTAAGAGCACTGGCTACTCCTCCAGAGGTCCTGAGTTCAAATCTCAGCAACCACGTGGTGGCTCACAACCATCTAAAATGGGATCTCTACCTTCTTCTGGTGTGCAAGCATACTTGCAGGCAGAACACTGTATACATAATAAATGAGTCTGAGTCAGGAGAATAACTGTTGAGGCTAAACTGGGCTGTATAAGGAGGTCCTGTCAGATACAGCAATAGAGGCTGTAACTGGAAGAGGAGTTAAGCATTAAAAAAAAAACCTGAAAAGTTAAAGTCAAAACAAACTCCCTTCCCCATGGAGACTCTTCCACACATTTTCCTATCTGCTTGCTACCTCCAAGCTTCTCTTTTCTAGAAAACTAGTCAACCCAAATATGTAATCCCAACACTTACAAGTTTGAGGCAGTAGGATGGCTGTGAGTCCTGGGCCGACCTGAGCTATACAATGAATACCAGGCCAGTCCCGCTATATAGCAAGACCATTTTTGTCTACAAGAAACAAGCCAGGAGCCGGGCGTTGGTGGTGCACACCTTTAATCCCAGCAGTTGGGAAGCAGAGGCAGGCGGATCTCTGTGAGTTCGAGGCCAGCCTGGTCTACAAGAGCTAGTTCCAGGACAGCCTCCAAAGCCACAGAGAAACCCTGTCTCAAAAAAAAAAAAAAAAAAGAAAAAAGAAACAAGCCAGGTGTGGTGGTACACACCTTTAATCCCAGCACTTGGGAGGCAGAGGCAGAAGAATCTCTAAATTCAAGGCCAGCCCTGAACTTGCTACAGCAAGTATAGCTGTAGATACAGCCTTTCTATGTAGCTCTGGAAAGGCCCTATTTATAAAATTAAAAAGATTATATATATCCCAGCACTTGGAAGGTAGAGGTAGAAGGATCAGGAATTCATCCTCAACTATAGAGTCTGTCTCTTAAAGAATTCACCTATGTATAGCAGAAATCCTTTTTTTTTTTTTCTTTTCTTTTTTTTTTTTAATTGGTCAGGGCGGAGTTGACTGGGTTTCACAGTATAACTTTGGATGGCCTATAGCTCACTGTGTAGACCAGACTGGCCCAAACACATAGCAATCTGCCTCCTAAATGTTGGGATTAAGAATATGTGTCTCCACATTCAGTTTTTCTTAACTTTTTAACATTTGTGTGTTAAAAGAAATGTAGGTCAGAGGACACTTTGGGGGAATTGCTTCTGTCCATCATGTGGGCTCCAGGGCTCAAACCCAGGTTGTTATGCTTGCTAATAAACACTTTTTATTGATGAGCCAACTCACCAGCCCCCTTTTTCTATATCTTAAATATATCATGGGGAATTTGTAATCTCAAGAGCTACAAAGTTAATCGAAATTGACAATCTTGAGAAGAGGAAAACTGGTGTTTTATTATGTGTCAGGCCTTCTGAAAAAAGAACATACAAACTTAAGAGAATGAACTAAAGTCCTCATCCCTAGGGAAATGAATGGGAAAAATTAAACATTGTTTTGACAGTGTCTCATCGTGTGTCCTGGGCAAGCCTTAATCTCCTGACACTCCTTCCTCCATTTCTTGAGTTCTAGAATTAGAGGTGTATGCCATCATGTCAGGGTTCTATCTTTATTTGATTGTCAGATGACGTATTTTCCTGGGCTGGCAGGTATTCCATGGGGAGAGTGTTTTCTCTATAACTGTGAGGGCCTGAGTTCAGATCCTTGGAACTTTCAAATTCTGTGTGTAGTGGCACATATACATCACCACAGTCTACCCATAAAATCTACTTTATTTCTCCCCAACAAGGAGATCTATGTGTTTCCCCTAGTTCATTCCTCTATACCTAACCTCTTTGGACCTATAGTTTGTAACTTGATTATCATTTATTTAACAGTTAATACCCACATATAAGTGAATACATACCATATTTGTCTTTCTGGGTCCGAGTTACTTCAATAAGGATGATTTTTTTTCTCGTTCCGAACATGTTGTCATTTTTTTAACCTCTGAATAATACTCTATTTTGTAAAAGTATCACATTTTCCCTATCCATTCTTCCATTCGGGAGCTAGGTTTATTCCAATCCTAGTGGTTGGATGAATCATATTTTGAATATATGCCCAAGAATGGTATAGATGGGACTTGTGGTAGATTGAGCCCCAAATTTCTGAGGAACTGTCATATTTTCATAGTGTCTGTACAAGTTTTCACTCCCACCAGCAATAGAGGAGTATTCCCCTTACTCCATATCCTCATCAGTGTGAGCCTGTCACTTACATTATTGATCTTAGCCATTCTGACAGTGTAGAGTTGAAATCTCAAAAATAGTTTTGATTTTCATTTCCCTAATGGCTAAAGAAATTGAGCATATCTTTAAGTGTTCCTCAGTCATTTGAGTTTGCTCTATTTGAGAATTCTCTGTTTAGATCTGTACCCCAGTTTTTAATTGGATTATTTGGGTTTTTTTGGTATCTAGGAGTTGGTAAAAAAAAATCTTTTCCCATTCTGTAGGCTGCCATTTTGTCAGAATGACAGTGTCCTTTGCCTTACAGAAGCTATTCAGTTTCACGAGATCCCATTTATTAATTGTTGAGCTTAGTGCCTGTGCTATCAGTAGGAGGATCAGGTAGAGAGGGGCATGAAGGAGGGAATACAGGGAAAGATAGGCTTGAGGGGCTTTTGAGGGACAGTAGGAAAACAACACATTAGAAAAATTCCTAAGATATATGAAGGCAATCCAAGTAATGAAGTAGATAGAACCCCAAATGGCCATCTCTTGACACCAAACTAGGCTTCCAATACTAGGACTGGGTTACATCCATTGAGCTGTTGGCCAAAGGTGTCCTATGGGTATCTCCAAACAAACCAGGCTGTTGGCAAGACAATAGATAGCTCTCAACAAAATGGCACAAAGGTGTCATTGCTCAAGACTACACCCATACAACTCATTGAACAAAGAGAAATAATGCTAGTATCTACATAGGACCTTCACTTCTATGTTCTAGTGTCTTTGGTATAGGAAGGTACTCTGCAGGCTATCAAAAGAGAAACATAAACACCCATCCAGCCACAAAACCTTTGATCTACAATCTGTCCAGCCTGCAAAATATTCTAGGGCAATAGGAGCACAAAGCTTGTGAGAGTAGAGACTAGATAGTCCAGAGACCTAGGGTAAATACTACTGATCTAAAAAAAAAAAAAATTAAATGACCCCTAATGATATTCTGCTATCTGTTCTCATAGATCAGTGTCTCCTTCAGCCTCCTCAGAGAGTCTTCCTCCTGTAGCAGATGAGAACAGATGCAAAGATCCACAGCCAGACACTGTGAAGAGAGACCTTTGAACACAGCTGTTCTAAATGAGATGTTGCCATCAAGTCCTCGCCTCATAGCCCAGAGAACCCTGCAGACAGGGAGGCAGAAGGAATGTGGAAGCCAAAGAGGATGGAGAACTCTAGGAGAACCAGGCCCTCCAAATCAACTGAACTCGGAGACTGAAGCAGCAACAAGCACAAGACCTACACAGGTCTTCACCAAGTCCTCTGTGTATATACATATTTGTAACAGACTTTCTTCACCAAGTCCTCTGTGTATATACATATTTGTAACAGACTTTCTTTTGGGCCACCAACCAGCTCCCGAATCAGACTTCTTATTAGTTACGAATGTTTCGCCTTATGCTTATCGCACTAGCTCACAACTTTAACCTGTTTCTCTTTTTACCTTTCTTTCATTCTGTATGTCCTACTCCATGTCTGACTGGCCTGGGGCTGGCTGGATGTCCCTGTGCATCTCCCTCTGTTTCCCCCTTGTTCTCTCTTCTTCCTCTCTCAAGCCTTGATTTCTCCTACTGCTTATTCTCTCTGCCCGCCAGCCCTACCTATCCCTCCTCTGCTTAGCTAGTAGCCATTCAGCTTTTTATTACATCAGTCATGTACCTTAGGCAAGCAAGGTAAAATAGCAACACATCTTTACATAATTAACCAAATGCAGCAAAAACAAATGTAACACATCTTTGCCTAGTTAAACACATGCAACATAAACAAATACAACACACCTTTACATAGTTGAAGTAATATTCCGCAACATAAACAAATGTAACACATCTCTACATAGTTAAAGTAATATTCCACAATATATTATAACTTTCAGTTTAGTACATTTATGGGACTTTTGAATATGTAAATAAGTGGGTCTCTGATTCTTGTGCCTTTTTCTTGGGCTCCTTTTTATTTTTGGGGGGGTTCGAGACAGGGTTTCTCTTTGGCTTTGGAGGCTGTCCTGGAAATAGGTCTTGTAGACCAGGTTGGTCTTGAACTCACAGAGATCCGCCTGCCTCTGCCTCCCTAGTGCTGGGATTAAAGGTTTATGCCACCACCACCTGAAGGGCTCTTTCTTCTGTTGGCTTGCCTTGTCCAACTTCAATGCATTGGCTTTTGTTTTATCTAATTATGTTTATTTTGTTATTTTGTTGTTTTTTTAAAAAGAATAGGGCCTCCAAAGCCACAGAGAAACCCTGTCTTGAAAAACAACAACCACAACAACAACAACAAAAAAGGAAATTAAAAAACTATATCGTGAAAAAAACAAACAAAAACCCATGCCTTCTACTGCCAATCATGCACCTGTAGTCTTCTGGGGTGTGCCTATGATTGGCTGACTGAGGAAGAGAAAACTAGGACCTGGTTTATTGATGGTTCTATCCATTATGCAGGCACCACCCAGAAGTAGAAAGCTACCGTATTAAAGTGCCTTTCTGGGGCAATCCTGAAAGATACTGGTAAAGGGAAATCTTCTCAGCAGACAGAACTTCAGACAGTACACATGGAATTACAACTTATTTGGAAGGAGAGATGGCCAGGTGTGTGGTTGTTCACTGATTCATGGACAGTAGCAGAAGGACTAGCTTGGTCAGATGCTTGGAAAGAGCATGATTGGAAAATTGGTGACAAAGACACCTAGAGAAGTATGTAGACAGATCTCTCCAAATGGGCAAAGGATGTGGAGATACTTGTGTCCCATGTAAATGCTCACCAAAAGACAACATCAGGTAAGGAGAAATTCAGTAATCAAGTAGATAGGATGACCCATTCTGTTGGCAGTCGTCCACCTCGCCCTCATATTCCTGTCATTGCTCAATGGCACATGAGCAAAGTGGCCATGATGACAGAGATAGGCATTATGCATGGACTTAACAACATGAGCTTCCACTCACCAAGGCAGACCTATCTACATCTATTGAATGCCAGACCTGCCAACAATAAAGACCCACACAGAGCCCCAGATATGGCATCTTTCCTCAGGGTAACCAGCCAATGACCTGGTGGCAGGTTGACTACATTGGACCACTTCCTCCATGGAAAGGACAACACTTTGTCCTTACTGGAGTAGATATCTATTCTGGTTATGGATTTGCCTTTCCTGCTTGTAATACTTCTGCTAACATCACCATCCATGGACTTAAAGAATGCCTTATCCACCATCATGGTATTCCACAGAACACTGCTTCTAACCAAGGAGTTCATTTCGCAGCCAGAGAAGTACAACAGTGAGCCTATGATCATAGAATCCATTGGTCTTACCAGGTTCCCCACTATCCAGAAGCAGTTGACCTGATAGAAAGAGGAAATGACCTTTTGAAGACACAGTTACAGTTCCAAGTAGGTGACAGCAGCCTGCAGATTGTGGGCAGGGTTCTTCAGAAGATGGTATATACATTTTTCTTTTCTTTCTTTCTTTCTTTTTTTCTTTTTTTGAGACACAGTTTCTCTGTGTAGTCCTGGCTGTCCTAGAACTCACTTTGTAGACCAGACTGGCCTTGAACTCAGAAATCTGCCTAACTCTGCTTCTGGAATTAAAGGAGTCACCACCACCTGACTAGCTTCAAGCTTTAATGGCATAGAATTTATGCAAATACATTAAAGAACTCCAGCTTGGCAAAGTATACCCAAGCAGGATATTAAATTAGATATACAGAATGCCAATAATGCAGGATATAAACATTAACATCTTTGGCATTAGTAATGAGTAAATGGCTTTAAAATTGCTTCTCCCCAGCCGGGCAGTGGTGCAAACCTTTAATCCCAGCACTCGGTAAGCAGAGGCAGGTGGATCCTTGTGAGTTCGAGACCAACCAGGTCTAGTTCCAGGAGAGCCTCCGAAGCCACAGAGAAACCCTGTCTTGAAGCCCACCCCCAACCAAAAAAAAAATTGTTTCTGCTCTTCCACTCCTTACACTGTTTTTACCAGTACTCACTGAGGCAAATGAATCCCTCACTGAGGAAGTCTTAAGGGAATTGTGGGCAAATAGTAAGCTTGCCTAGCATGCTCAAACCCTAAGTTTAATACCCAGCATGGGTTTTCAAGCATATGGTGCATTCTATACTTCCAGCACTTGGAAAGCCAAGCAGGATGATCAAGAGTTGAAGGTTTTACTTGGCTACAAAGTAAACTTGAGGCCACCTTGGACTACAAGAGACAAAACCAAAACCATAACCATTCATTTGGATATTAAGGGCACTACACAAGGTTTTTTGTTTGGGGGTGGGGATGGGGAGTTTGTTGGGAGTTTTGGTTTTTCAAGACAGGGTTTCTCTGTGGCTTTGGAGGCTGTCCTGGAACTAACTCTTATTGACCAGGCTGGCCTGGAACTCACAAAGATCCGCCTGCTTCTGCCTCCCAAAGTGTTGGGAATAAAGGCGTGAGCCATCATTGCCTGGCTTTCTGTGATAATGAATGCCTCTTCTACCTTGTAAGTGGTCTTGGCAGAAGGTAAGTCCATATCTAGTTCAAAAACTTCACCTCATGTTTTTACTTCTCTCTACCAGACTCTAAATCAACTTCTTTGTTCAGTTCTGACGTTGAAGTAAGTCACTTTTTTTTTTTTTTTTTTTGGTTTTTCGAGACAAGGTTTCTCTGTGGCTTTGGAGGCTGTCCTGGAACTAGCTCTTGTAGACCAGGCTGGTCTTGCACTCACAGTGATCCTCCTGCCTCTGCTCTTGAGTTCTGGGATTAAGAAGTAAGTCACTTTCATCCATATTTTCAATGTAAGGAATGACCACATTGGAGTTGGAATGCTACTGGGGATCTTCTGATAGGTTTGTCAAGAGGGTGACCCTATGTCTCCTTAAATAGCACATACGGAGGGCTGGAGAGATGGCTCAGGGGTTAACAGCACTGGCTTGTCTTTATGAGGACCAGGGTTCAATTATAGCACCCCATATGGCAGTTCCTAACTGACTGTAACTCCAGTTTCAGGGGACCTGACACCTTCACACAAATGCACATGAAATAAAAAAAATTAATAAATTATTTAAAAATAAATAAATAGATATCATCTTTAGTAAAAACTCTGAGCCGGGCGTTGGTGGCGCACGCCTTTAATCCCAGCACTCGGGAGGCAGAGGCAGGTGGATCTCTGTGAGTTCCAGACCAGCCTGGACTACCGAGCGAGTTCCAGGACAGCCTCCAAAGCCACAGAGAAACCCTGTCTCGAAAAACCAAAAAAAAAAAAAAAAAAAAAAAAACTCTGCTGAGCCTCATGCTATGACTTGTAACAGGATGAAAGGGCTACTGCCTTGGCTTCTTCCCTATGTGGAATTTTCGCTGTTGCCCATTTATTGCTATCATTTGCACATAAACTTTATACCAATATGAAGCCACGCACTGGCCACAACCTCTGTAGCAATAAGCATGGTTGGCAATGTCTGCATTGCTGACGCTTGCTGCATTTGGATAGGCAATGCAATGTGTTCCCTCAGTGCCAGACCTATGGTACCTCTGCCTGCCCCTTTGAGGATTACAAGTACAGGCAGAGCACACTGTTATGTAAACCTTTAGACTTAACCCTTTCTGGGTAAATACTCATTCCCTAGCCCTATTTTCCCTTGAGATCTAGAATGTCACGTCTTAGCTTCTCTGCGGTAATAAGACATAAGATTGAAGGCTCACCCAATGAGTGGGTGGCCATCTTTACAACTGTTGCTGAAAAACAGCAACAACAATTTCAGAATATACTTGCTATCCAATAAGATGTGTCTCATGGAAGCAAGTCTATAGAGTGGCAGCATCCAACTACCCACCTACATAAAACTACAGCAGCTCAATATCCATCTTTAGGGTTGGGGATGTAGCTCAGCTGACAGCTTGTCTAGCATACAAAAAAAATCCTGGGTTCCATTCCCAGCATCACAGAAAACCAGGGATGGTGGTGATCACCTATAATCCAAGGAGGAGAATCAGGAACTCAAGGTCATCCTCAGCCCTTAGCAAGTTGAGGTAGTTTGAAATTCTTTCTCAAACAAGCAAACACAAAATGGTGTTGGTGGTGGTGGTGGTGGTGATGGTGGTAGTACAAATATTGTACCCGACCCTGTCTGTACTAGCTGAGCACATGTCCAGGGTCTGTCTGCCAGCTATCTTTAGTTGATAGTGTTTTCCATGTCTGACCGGGATTTGAGCCCATGGCTGGGTAGCATGGATCCTCTGCGGCAGGTCCTAGCATTTGAAGGTGGATCACTTTGGATTTGGACGTGAGCTGACTCCAATTTCCTTCTCTATCATGTTCTCTACTTTCTCCACCGAAATGAGCTTCCTTTTAATTCCTGAGGATGGACCAGGAATTTCTGTGAGTTTCCAGAGACAGGAATGTCTGCTCCTTTAGGGAGTTTGTCACCAGGCTCTCTGTTCTGGCCAGTCTGTTCTTGTTGGTCTCCCTGCAGTACAGAGTTCTGTTCCTTCTGCTCCTGTCTTTCTGGGGGGCCTCTGAGGACTGTCACTCTTGCTCCTCCAACTGCATGTCCTCCTGTTTAAGCTTACTCAACGCTTTAAGCTCACATAAGCATTGCCCTCTCAAGAAGTGCTCTTCAGAGCTGGAAAGATGACTCAGTAGTTAAGAGCACTTGTTCTTGTAGAGGATCTGGGTTCAATTCTCAGCACCCACATGGTGGCTCACAACTATCCATAACTCCAGTTCCAAGACCAGGAATCCATATGGTTTATAGATATGCATGTAGCAAAAAATTCACACACATAAAACAAATAAATCTAAAAAAATTTTAAAGAAAGAATGTCTTCAACTGAGGTGGATGACAATCCTTCAAACTAACTTCATTGTCAAGTTACATTCAATTCATCAGAGTGGTGGTATGAAATTTTCCAGAGTTTGTATTTTCATTTTTTCACCTAGTACTGTAAAACACACGATCATACAGCAAATAACACAGCAATTTGTCTGGTTTCTCATTACAGGACACACAGCTCATTTTTCCAGGGGACAATAAAGTAGGCCAACAAATGTGTTGTTCCCTGGGTGGTAGTGGTGTATGCCTTTAATCCCAGCACTTGGGAGTCAGAGGCAGTCAGATCTCCGTAAATTCGTGGCCAGCCAGGTCTACAGAGCTAGTTCCAGAATAGCCAGAGCTACACAAAGTAACCCTGTCTTGAAAAAACAACAACAACAACAAACAAATGTGATTTTCAAAACTCATAAAATGGCGTAATATTCAAGCTGGACCGAACCTCCAAGCCATTTTGCTTGCTATTGAGGAAGATATTGGCTGGCTTCAGAGTTCCATGAAGTATGTTATGATCCATATCTTTTGTCTGTGAGGTTCTTTCAGCATGTGTTAATGAAATAATATACAGGGTTGTGTTAATTGGGTAATGTGATGGTTTGAATGAGTATGACTCCCATAGGCTCATATATTTGAATCCTTGGTCCCTAGTTGGTGGAAACTGTTTGGGAAGAATTAGGAGGTGTGGCCTTGTTGGAGAAAGTGTGTCCCTGGGAGCAGGGTTACGGTTTTCAGAAGTCCACACCATTCCCAGTCTCTGTCTCTATCTCTGTCTGTTTCTGTCACTGTTTTTCTGTCTCTGTCTCTGTCTGTCTGTCTGTCTGTCTGTCTCTCTGCCTTTCTCTCCTTCCCTCCCTCCCTCCCTCCCTCCCTCCCTCTCTCCCCCCCTCTCTTCCTCTAACTTGTGGATCAGGACATTAACTATTATGCCGCCCCAGTGCCATGCCTGCCTGCCTGCTGCTGTGGTCCCTGCCATGATGATAAAGGACTAACTCTCTAAAACTATAAGCAAGTCCCCAGGTAAATTCTTTCTTTTATATGCTGCCTTGTTTATGGCGTTGCTTTACAGAGATTACAGAGATAGAAAAGTATCAAAGACAGGTCAGGAATTCATACTAATGGACAACTTGTGGATATTACAATTCCTGCTTTAGAAACAAGCCTCTGGCCGGGCAGTGGTGGCGCACGCCTTTAATCCCAGCACTCGAGAGGCAGAGGCAGGCGGATCGCTGTGAGTTCGAGGCCGGGTTGGACCGATAGCCTCCGAAACAATACAGAGAAACCCTGTCTCGTAAAAACCAAAAAAAAGAAAAGAAAAGAAACAAGCCTCTGTCTCATGGTGCCAGGGCCAAGTACTTCCCACACTTGCTCTCTTGGCATGTGTCTTCCCTGGGATGGCAGCAGCCATAGGAACCCCTGGTGGCAGTGGAAATTCCCACAGTCTTGCACTCAGAAGAGCATAGCTGTATATTCTCTCAGTGTCAGAATTTATTGGATAACAGTAAATTCACAAGGTTCTGTGCTTTCAGCGGCCGCAACTTGCCATATAACACTGCTTTCCTTGGTGATCTGGTGGAGGGGAATGTAGGTTCTTTTATTCCAATCTTAATCACTGACATTAACTCATATCACACAGAACACAGCACTCAGTACATGTACATATATATCTGTATGTATTTATGTGCCTTATAAATGAATACAAGTTAAAGAAACTGCAGCAGAGTTGAAGAGGTTTCAGAAGTTGCCTGAGAGTCTGAAGGAACCAGACCAATGTGGGAAGGAGCTGCTGCTACTGGAACTCCCAAGATGCTAGGATTATGGGTACCACCTCACTGGGTTTGCTTGTATCTTTCCTGCTCCTTGCTACTCTGCTTGCATATGTTGATTGCATAATGGCTGACATTGACTATTTTCCTATAAGTTACTGTGTTGTCTTTGTCTTCTGAGTGGATCAGACTGATAGATATAATACCTGTATGCTCCAGGCCTCGATGTTCTGAATATAGAATGGTTTTGTTTGTTGTTTTTGTTTTTCAGGATAGGGTTTCTTTTTTTTAAAGCATTTTTTAATTTAAATTAGAAACAAGCTTGCTTCAATGTCAATCCCAGCTCCCTTTCCCTCTCCTCCTCCCCCGCCCCCTTTTTAAGCATTTTTAGTGATTTATTTATTCTCATTTTATGTGCATTGGTGTTTTCTTGCGTGTGTGTCTGTATGAAGGTGTCAGATCCCCTGGAACTGGAGTTACAGACGGTTGTGAGCTGCCATGTGGGTATTGGGGATTGAACTCAGGTCCTCTGGGAGAGCTGCCATTGCTCTCAACCACTGGGCCATCTCGCCAGTCCCAAGACAGGGCTTCTTTGTGAAACAGTCCTGGCTGTCCTGGAACTTACTTTGTAGAGCAGGCTGGTCTCGAACTCACAGAGATCCACCTGCTTCTGACTCCTGAGTGCTAGAATTAAAGGCGTGTGCCACCACCACCCAGCTTGGAATATAGATTGTGATTGCTTATAATAACCCAAACTCTCATCGTCATATTGTGCTTATTTTAAGCTAATTATACTTGATTTTGGGCACGGAATAATGCCAATTCTTTGCTTCATTTCATTGACCCTTTGTATGTCAGGTTTATGGAGACGGTGTGTGGATGCAGTCACATAAGGAAGTCACTGTTTCTAATGAAGCTTTCACTGCAGGGAAGGAAAGGAAGGAAAATGTGTTGAAAGGTAAATGGGGATCAGTTCTAGGGTTAAAGAAAATGGGGGAGGGGATGTACGCTTCTGCAGAGAGGGAGTTGAAATAAAAGACCCAGAAAGACTTCTATGGGACTTGTGATGGAAAAGGAGTACAGACTGAAGTAACTGGGATTGGTCACTTCAAGTGACCTGCAGCGGAGCCAGTAAGTGGCCAGCACACTCTTTGTGAGCCTTTTCTGCCCAATTGGAGTGCTGACCGTGGGTTGCTTCTGATCACGGAAGTACTCGTGAATCGTGGTCTCTTTCTTCCACTCTCTCCCAACTTGTTTTACTTGTTTTGTAGGCTTTTGATTAACTTCTCTTGCTGAGGCCCACGTACATAACTAGTTTATAATCTATGCCTCTCGTGTTAATTATTCTCTCCCATAATCCTTCTACCCTGCCCTCCCATTCCCCACTGTATTTAACCCTCCCTATGCCATTATTCTCCTTTCCCCCTTTGATACTACTGGCATTCCATATCCCTTTATGCCACCAACATCCTATACCTCTTCTCTCAAATTCAAGTCCCTGCCACTGCCCATGGTACCACCCGCATTCCATTCCCCTTTATGTTACCAACATTCTGTACCCTTCCCTTGAAGACCCCTTGCCACTGCTCATGACTCTTTACTCATGTACTGCCTTCTATGGGTATGTCAATTTAAATACAAGTATCCAAAGATATAAAGCTAATACTCACATACAAGAGAGACTGCATGGAATCTGTCTTTCTGGGTTTGGGTTACTTCACTTGCAGTGATTTTTTTTCCAGTTCCATATATTCATTAATGAATTTAATAATTTTCTTTCTCCCCCAAGCTGTGATCATTTATTTGTTACTTTTAATGACTTAATATTATTATTATTATTATTTGATTTTTCGAGGCAGGGTTTCTCTGTATTGTTTTGGAGCCTGTCCTGGAACTCGCTCGGTAGACCAGGCTGGTCTTGAACTCACAGGGATTCACCAGCCTCTGCCTCCCGAGTGCTGGGATTAAAGGCGTGTGCCACCAACGCCCGGCCCTAATCACTTTTTAAAATATTTATTGTTTTAAATAATGTATGTGTCTACATATGGATATATGCACATAAGTGCGGGTACCTATAGAAGCGCTGGATACCCTGGAACTGGAGTTACCGAACTTGGGTCCTCTTCAAGAGGAGTATGTGCCTTTAGCTTCTGAGCCACCTCTCCACGCTGGAACACGCGGATTCCATGGCAGGCGGGGACACACACACACACACACACACACTCACACACACACACATACACACACACTCACATACACACACACTCACACACACATACCACTCATATAAAAACTTAAAAAAAAGAGTTTATTTTAATTAACTTCTGATTCATATTTCTACATATAGGCCTATGTCCCCATAAAATCAAAGACATGCAAAATATTTGTCCAGGGGTATTTATTACAGCAATATTTATGAAAACAATCTAAAATCCTAATATAGGTTTGGCTTAAATAAAGCAGGAAACGATTGTATTAGGAGATATTTACAGATGCTCAAAGTCCCATTTTATAGAAAATTCAGTGATCTTAGGAACTGCTCAAGCTGTAATGTCAACATAATGCAGAATGCCAAAACCCAAATACAAATACATATAATCACATATATACACATATGCTACAAGTAGAAAAACAAATACAAGACAAACACTAAAAAATCTTAAACACCAGTTATTTCTATGGAGTAGAATTATAAGATGTTTTTTTACTCATTTGAAGTTTTCTGTATTTTCCAACTTTTCCTACATTTACATATTGCTTTCACATTTGGAAAAATAATAAATAAATGTTAATAATAAAATACAAAAGTGAGAACAAAGGAGGTCCAAAAGCTACAAACATAAATACTGTATGTTTTTAACATTTCTTTAAAAATGTTCATGATAGCCGGGTGGTGGTGGCCACACCTTTATTCCCAGCACTAGGGAGGCAGAGGAAGATGGATCTCTATAGTTCGAGACCAGCCTGGTCTACAAGAGTTAGTTCCAGGACAGCCTCCAAAGTCACAGAGAAACTCTGTCTCAAAAAACCAAAAAAAAAGTTTATAGATGGCTATATCTTCCAGCTAAGAATTTTTTATTTCCAGTAGTACTTGTAATTTTAGTTTGGTTGAATTTGGATGCAGAATCCACTGTGACATATTTAATCTGGAAACCTCCGGCTGTGACGGATGCATCACTCAGAAACTTCAAGGTCATGACGTTTCCTGGGGGTGGGAGAGGCACACATAAGAACAAAGAGTTTGATTTGTCTGACGGTTCAATGACTTATCATCTCACAAAAGAATACATAAAGATGTGAAGGAGACTGCAGAGTCCAGATGTAGAGTCTCAAGGTTTACAGTCTGCGGTCATCATTCCCAGTGGAGCTGGTGAGGGACTTGGTTTTGAGACAGATTCTCAGTGTTCCTGGTTGTCCTGGAACTCACTCTGTAGAGCAGGCTGGCCTCAGAACTCAGGAATTTACCTTCCTCTGTCTCCTGAGTGCTGGGATTAAAGGCCTGTGACACCAGTGCCTAGTGCAGGACTTTATATTTAACTCCGGGCCTCTAATCTCACGTGGGAAATGTCTTTTCTCTTTTAGAAAACTCTCCAGGGCTCAGTGCCCCTGCACTATTCTGCCCCTCGATATGAAATGAAAATAAATAATAAATTTTAAAATGGGGTGCTTACCTAGCATGTTGAGGCTCTGGATTTGATCCCTAGCATCACAAGGGGAAAAACATTCTCCTTATGGACCGATCCACAGGACTATAAGAACATGACAGTACTTCAAGTTCATGAGGTGTGGATGGGCTATGTACTATAACTGATGGGGAACAATAAGCTTTACATAATTAAGATGCAAATTTAGGGCTGGGTGTGGTAGGTAGCACATGCCTTCACCAGACACACATGTCTGTGAGTTCAAGGCGTAGCCTGGTATGCATACTGATTTTCAGGCCAGATAGGGATATATAGTGAGAAAAGTTCTGTCTCAAAAAATAAAATAAAACCAATCATTCAACTAATATAAAACAAAAGAAAAAAAGAAAGCTAAGGAATAAACCTAGATGCCTACTTCTTAGAGTGGACTTAAAATGTGGACTAAATGTGTGGACCAGAAAATACCCAAATAACATATAGGGATATTTCAAGGGGAAAGGTTTAATAAAAACATTAATTATTATTGTTACGTGAATGGGTATATAATTGATGCTTGTCTGTGTGAGAACTTGCCATGGTTACCTTGGGAGCCCAGGAAGCCTTTATTGACTTAGATCCTCAACCCATAATTCAATTCAAAAGCAAGTCTACAGGGCTGTAGAGATGACTCGGTGGTTAAGAGCACTTACAGCTCTTCAGAGGATCCCAGTTCAATTCCCAGCACCCACACAACAGTTAATAAATGCCTCTAACTCTAAGATCTGCCTCTAACCCTCTCACAGACATATATGCAGGCAAAACACCAATGCAAATGAAATAAAAGTAAATGGATTATTTATAAAATTCCTGGGTGATCCTCCTGCCTCTGCTTCCACACCCAGGACTGCTGTTTTATTTATTTATTTATTTTTGAGAAGTTTTTACACCCCAAAGCTCTAAAAGCCAACTTTGTAAAGCTTGAAAGCCAGCCTTGTTCAAATCTTCTGTTAACATAAAATATGTCCCTGAGATAAGATAAATAAGAGGTTTATAGTGGGTTTCCCTTCTTGAGAAGAATGTAACAGCAACATATTAATAAGGTTTAAACAGTAATCATTCAAGGAGAGAGTAGAAAGCGTCACAGCTTATAAAAATGACACCTCGGAAACAAGAGTGCTACATGCAGGGTGTGGAGGCCATTAAAAAGGACTTAGCACTGCCTGCCCTCTTTGGAGGCTGCTGTTCTTAGGTGCAAAGCATTGTGATAATTTTATGACTTGGAGAGAAAACAGAACCTATCAGAATGCCAAGAACTGGTGCTGGGGAAAGAAAGAAAACAGACTTCCGAGAAAACAAAGGATTTCACTAAAAAGTAAAAAGTTTCAAAAGCAGTTTGGATAACTTCAAGGGTCGTGTTGCCTATTATGATCCATTTATGTTACTAAGGAACATTTTTTTTTATCTTTTTGGTTTTTCAAGACAGGGTTTCTCTGTACTGCTCTGGGGGGTTGTCCTGGAACTTGCTCTGTAGACCAGGCTGGCCTCGAACTCACAGAGATCCGCCTGTCTCTGCCTCCTGATAATCCTGTGCTGGGATTAAAGGCTGCACCACTAATGCAGGGTTAACCAAGGGACATTTTTAAAGGGCATTACTTCCTAGAACATAAGCAGACAAAATAACTCTGGGTGTGTTTGCCTGTGTGATTTAGCAGGCATTGCCTGTTATAGCTAGCCTTTTGAGATTCACTACCTAAATTAGCATACTAAAAGTTTCCTGTGGCTGCCAATCAAGAAACCTTTTTTATCTCTGTTATAGCCCAGCACTTCCCTCTTCTCTTGCAATGGCTGCTGAAAGTATCACCAGGCACTGTGAGGAATGTTGTAATAGAAATGTGATACAATGATGCAGTTGTTTACTATAATGGATGCTGTGTTTAACTGCTTGACAATTCACTTCAGTCTTTTATCAATGACTATTTCCAGCTACTATCATTATTATTGTTGTTGTTATTTGCTGTACTGGGAATCAAATCTAGGGCCACTGCATGTACAAAATGAGCACTCTACTACTGAGCTCAGTGCCAGTCCCCACTCATTTATTACCACTCCAAAACCCTGCGGATGCCAACATCAGTGCATAGGAATTTGTGGATTCAAGCTGATGCCTGCCAGTGAAAACTGTCCTCACACACCATTTTGATCACAGAGCTGGCCAAAATCTTTTTTGTTTGTTTGTTTGGTTTTAGTTTTTGTTTTTTTTTTTTTGAGACAGGGTTTCTCTGTGGCTTTGGAGGCTGTCCTGGAACTAGTTCTTGTAGACCAGGCTGGCCTCGAACTCACAGAGATCCGCCTGCCTCTGCCTCCCGAGTGCTGGGATTAAAGGTGTGCGCCACCAACGCCTGGCTCTAAAATCTTAAAAATAAAAACTGACATTGTCACAAGCTAAGGGACTATTCTTAGTTCTCTCAGTTTTAAAGAGTGAATTTCAGATAATGACTTTGATGGTGCTAAGAAAAAGCAATTAATGTTTTGCTGTGATTTGGGACTTACCTGTGCTAATGATGTCTTCAGGAAGTTCATCACCACAGTATCTGAAAGAGAATTTTTAGAAATGAGTTCACACACAAAAGAAACACACAACTATTGATGTGGCTCTTGTTTATGACAAAATATTTTATCCCCACAATAGTGGCTCAATTTTCTCAAATAAAAAAAAATTTTTTGAGGTAGGGTCTCATTAGCTCTGGCAAGGCTGGAACTCAATATGTAGACAAGGCTGGGCTGGTCTACCTCACAGAGGACTACTTTCCTCTACCTCCTAAGCTTTTTTTTTTTTTTTAACATGGACTTATAAAGATGGAAAGAAGTATAGTTTTAGTTAATCTCAGGACCTCCCACCCTCCCCCCCTCACTGAGAAATGGTCACATAATCCTGACACCCTAGAACTCACTACATAGACCAGACCGGGTTTGAACTATCTGTCTTTGACTCTTGAGTAGTAGATTTATAGTGTGCAACACAACACCTAGTCTCACAGTCTCAGTGTCCCCCCCCCCCAGACAGGGTATTGCTTTGGAGTCTGTCCTGGAACTCGATCTGTAGACCAGGCTAGCCTCTCGAATTTACAGAGATCCACCTGCCTCTGCCTCCAGAATGCTGGGATTAAAGGCATGCGCCACCAACGCCTGGCCTAAGTGTTCCGAGACAGCCCACATTTATTTGGTCAGGCTCTAGCCTCTGACCTGCTCTCTCTCTCTCTCTCCAAATCTAAACTCATACAATATGTAGATGATATTTTACTTTGCAGCCTGTCCTTAGAAGTTAGCCAGACTGACTAATTCAGACTTCCACTCTTCTGAATTTCTTGTCTGACAGGGGTTATAGAGTCTCACCTTCTAAGGTTCAACTGTCTACTCCTCAGGTCACCTACTTGGGATTAACTATCACCCCAACAGTCAGGCTCTGTCTCGTTTTGTCAAGGCTCACCTCCAACCCACTCCTGGGGACTTACGTTTCTTAAAAACTATCACTGCCTCCTGTAAAACCTGTCAGATGTCAAACCCTAACTCCAGGTATCGTAACTCCCCCTTTCCCACCCACCAGGCTAGAGGCTTTCTTCCAGGAGCTGACTGGCAATTTGACTTTACCCACATGCCTGTAGTCAGGCGAGTTAAGTATCTCTTGGTACTAGTTGGTACTTTCTCAGGATGGGTAGAAGCATTTCCTACCACTAACAAAAGGGTCCACGCAGTCTCTGACATCCTTCTCAGGGAAATCATTCCCCGGTTTGGGATTCCAGCCTCTCTTCAGTCAGACAATGGTCCCGAGTTCACTTCTCAGATCTCTCAAACCCTAGCTAAAGCTCTCAACATTCCTTGGCATTTTCGTATTCCTTATCATCCCCAATCCTCAGGGAAGGTAGAGAGTACTAACTGTTCTTTAAAAAATGTTCTTGTTAAAATGTCACAGGAACTTCACCTTGACTGGGTAAAACTCTTGCCTTTGGCCCTTCTCAGGCTCAGGGCCCTTTCCAAACGACCCCTTTTCATCTCACCCTTTGAGCTGATGTATGGGCGGCCAGTTCTAACACCTGGCCTCTCGCCTGGACCCTCACCTCTCCCTGACCACCTGCTTACACCCTTACTCCATCATCTCCGTTCTCTCCTATGGGACTTTACTGATCGTTTTCTACCTCAACCATGTGCCAACTCCTGTACATCCCCAATTAATACTGGGGATCAGGTCCTTCTCTCCCCTCCTGACCAACGCCCTACGTCCCTGTCCCCTAAATGGCAGGGCCCCTTCAAGGTAATTCTTGTCACCCCAACAGCTGCTAAGCTTGAGGGCCTCCCCACTGGATTCGCTTATCCCACTCAAGCCCTTTACCTCACCTAAAACTCACTCCTCATACACAGCTACTGTAACAGGACCATGCTCCCTTAAGCTTCGGAGGACACCGAGATCAACCACTTTGCCTCCTATTTCAGAGGAATAAGGCTTTACTTCCTGTTTTCAGGTTAATCTAAACTCTCCCATCTCTAATTACACCCTACTCATCAATAACTTCAATTAGCTGTTGTTACAGAAATGCCAGCCAAGGCCATGGATCCGCAAGTACAAAGACCACCAAACACTTGTGCCTCCTCAGTACAGGTAACCAAAAAATCCTCACAGCTTCAACAACAATACAACACTAAGAAACCTCCATTTTTAATTGTTTTGAAGTTACATATTCCATAATATAAAAAACTGATTGTGCCTGCAATCCCAGTTGACAGGAGAACTGAGAGTTTGGGATGACCTGGACCATCACAGTGAACTCCTGGTCAGCCTGGGCTCCATAGAGTTCCTACCATCGACAAAGTAAAACACCTGAGCCTTCCATTTTTGAACTGCCCCCCTTCTTTGAGGTTCTTCTACTAAATTCCTGTCATGTGCAGTATAAAATTGGTAAGTCAGCCGGGCGGTGGTGGCACACGCCTTTAATCCCAGCACACGGGAGGCAGAGGTAGGCGGATCTCTGTGAGTTTGTGGCCAGGTTGGTCTACAGAGCGAGTCCTAGGACTACTTCCCGAGAAGTACAAAGAAACCCTGTCTCAAAAAGCCAAAAAAATTTAAAAAAAGAAACCCTGTCTTGAAAAAACCAAACTGAACCAAAACAAAACAAAGCAAAAAACAAACAAAAAACAAAACAAACAAACAAAAAAACAAAAACAAAGCAAACAAATAAAAAACATTTTGGATCATGCCTGTAATCTCAGCACTCAAAAGTTCAACGTTAGCCAAGAAATCTAGATCATCTTTAAGGTCAAAATCCCAAAGTGTCTCACGAATACACAGACAACACTGAGTCTACTGTGCCAGTGGAAAATCAGATTATCACCACTCTCATTTGACCCTCTACAGAGCAAGCTCTCCACTTTCCCACCTGCCCAGGTTGGATTGGGAACACAAAAAGACTACGTCCCACCATGTTGAAAAATAAAGGAAGTTGGGTGGGGGTGTATTTCAGTTGGTAGAGTGGTTGCCTCGAATGTCCAAGGTCTCGGGTTTCACCCTCAGCATCTAATAAACCAGACAGGGTGTCTCATGACTGTAATCCCAATACTTGGAAGGTGGGGACACAAGAACCAGGTTCAAAGTCATTCTATTCTCCGATATGCAGTGAGTTTGAGGACAGATTGGGCAACAGAAAAATCACTGCGTGCACAAGATGAGAGTGAGAACGGGAGCGACTGACTTGAACATTTAAATGGAAAATTCGTTTCCTGTGTCTTTAGTCATGTGACGGTTTGGCTAGACAATGAGGTTTTACAAGTCAAAAGTCAAAGGCAGCTTCACTGCTTTTGTAATTAGTATAGGTACAGTCAATTAAGTAGAATCTTTGTTGGTAAATTATACGGAAGCCAGAGGTGATAAACATGCCTATAATCCCAGCACTTTGGAGGTAGAGGCAGGAGGATCAGTAGTTCAAGGCCTGTCTGAACCACAAAATGACTTCAAGGCCAGCCTGCAATCCTAGCTCCCCTGATAAAGAAGAGAAGAGTTCCATGGAGCTGGTGCACGTCTTTAATCCCAGCACTTGGAAGGCAGAGGCAGGTGGGTCTCTGTGAGTTTGAGGCCAGCCTGGTCTACAAAGCTAGTTCCAGGACAGCACAGAGAAACCCTGTCTCAAAAAAAAAAAAAAAAAAAAAAAAAAACACAGAGAAAGAGAGAGGGGGGCGTGGAGAAGATTTGAAAGGAAGAATTGGAAGACGAAAAAGCATCACTTTCTGTTGGAGAGAGTAGAAATCCTGAGTATCATCAATATCATAGGAACAAGGGAGAGAAAATCAACTAAGTGTCAGATATACTGTAAGTCCCCTGATGATCCAGCGTGGGAAGCATTACCCACCTTCCTACAAAGCCATGGACATCATCATAGCTATCATATATTTCTACGTAGTCAGCCAGGCAGCCTGGGTCGTGTTCAAGGTCAAAGTCCAAAAAGCTCAGGTGAATTCGCTGACCATACTTGAGCCGAATGTGCCAATAGCAGACCTGATTGTCATCATACTCATTTGGGAAGCCTGGAGACTTAAAAATTCGCTTTGGATCTGTAAAGACACCGCCACACTCCTTTGCTGAAATAGGAAAAGAAAGTTTACTTAGACATTATTTATATTTTTATGTAAAATACTAAAATATATATTATCCTTGGTATATTGTGTATGCTTATAGCTAATAGTAATTTCTAAATTTTCTTTAAACTTGAAAAATTTAGTGTGTGTGTGTGTGTGTGTGTGTGTGTATACTACCTTGGTTGAACTCAGGTCATTAGGCTTGGTGACAAAATCCTTTACATATTATGCCATCCTGTAGGCCCAGTTCCTAAAATTTTAACATGGACCACTTGTGAAGTTTTTTTTTTTTTTTTTTTTTTTTTTTTGGTTTTTACGAGACAGGGTTTCTCTGTATTGTTTTGGATGCTGTCGGGTCCAGCCCGGCCTCGAACTCACAGAGATCTGCCTGCCTCTGCCTCCCGAGTGCTGGGATTAAAGGTGTGCGCCACCACCGCCCAGCACTTGTGAAGTTTTAAATGTGAAAATAAAAACATTTATATTTTTGTTTACATTTTTCCTTGCTTCAATTTTTTTTTTGAGACAGGGTTTCTCTGTATTGTTTTGGAGGCTGCTTCGATTTTTTAAGGCATAAAATGTACAAGCCTTTTATATAAACTTTGGTGTATTTTGCCAAATACATATTCATGTTACCAGCGGTCTCATCGAGATGATGGGGATTTTATCCTGTAGTTGCCAGACTGTTGCCTTCAGCCACCCACTCATACCAACGGATCTTGTAAATTCTGTTTGCAAGATCTTTTTTATAAAAGTCACTTTAGCTGAGTGGTGGTGCACACCTTTAATCCCAGTACTCCAGATGCAGAGGCAGGATGATCTCTGTGAGTTCAAGGCCAGTCTGGTCTACAGAGTGAGTTCTAGGACAGTCAGGATACACATAGAAACTCCATCTCGAAAAACAAACCAAAAAAAAAAAAAAAAAACCCTAACCTTTTCAGTGGAGGCAATCACTCTGGGTATCATTTGATGGGGAGTGTGTGTGCTTGTGTGTGTGTGTGTGTGTGTGTGTGTGTGTGTGTGTGTGAGACTAGAAAATAATTTTGAATTTTAGGTATTGTTCTCAGGAACTATCTTTTTTTTTTTTTGAGTCAGGGTCTATCATCACCCTGGAATTCAACAAGCAAGCTATGCTGGATGCCCATTAAGCCCCAGGATCCTCCTGTCTCTGCCTCCCCAGCACTGGGATTACAAGTGTGTGCAGCCATGTCAGGCTGTTTTTTATTTGTTTGTTTGTCTATTTATTTTTTAAACATGAGTTCTGGGGCTTTAATCTCAGCACCTAAAAGGCAGATCTCTGTGTGTTTGAGGCCAGCCTGTTATACATAGGGAATTCCAGGTAAGTCAGGGCTACATAGAAAGACATTGTCTCAAAAAAACAAAAACAAAAACCATGGTTATCACCAACAACAGAAAATTAGTTCTGGAGCTTGAATTCAGTTCCTCATGCTTACAAGGCAAGCACTTTATTTGCTATGTTATCTTTCTAGCTTCAAAACTTCTCTCTCTCTTTTTTTTTTTCTTCTTACGTTGGCTTTTCAAGACAGGGTTTCTCTGTGGCTTTGGAGGCTGTCCTGGAACTAGCTCTTGTAGACCAGGCTGGTCTTGAACTCACAGAGATCTACCTGCCTTTGCCTCCGGAGCGCTGGGAATAAAGGCATGCACCACCACTGCCCAGCTGAAAACTTTTCTAAAAATATTATTTTTATTACAAAACATGGAAATTCTATTTGTAGCCCAGGTTAGCATAAAATTCCCGATTTTCCTGTCTCAGTCAGTACATGGAGTGCTAGGATTCAGCCAGTGTCACAGGTCAAGCAAGAACATACTCAATAAGTAGCTAGTAATACTGCTACTATACTGCTACTTGTCTTTTAAAGACAAGGTCTCATAAAGCCCAAGCTGGCCTTGAACTTGCTACATAGCCAACAGGGGCCTTGAACTCTGATTCTCCTGAGTATATCTTCCAAGTGCTGCCAGGCCTGACTAGAATTCTTATTGGTGAAGACAACATTCATACGTATTGTCAATAGTGGTGCACTCTGGAATCAGAGGTAGACAAATCTCTGAATTGGAGGCCAGTCTGCATAGTCAGTTTAAGGTCAGCCAGGGATACACAGTGAGACCCTGTTGAGAGAGAAAGGGGAGGCGATTTTCAAGGCTACTCTTTGCTGCACAGTGAAACTCTGTCTTAGAAACCAAAACATTTGGGGTTGGAAAGATGGTTCAGAACTTCAGAGCACTGGCTGTTTTTCCAGTGGCCCTGAGTTCATGTCCCAACAACTACATGGTAGCTCACAACCATCTTTTGTTTGTTTATTATTTGAGACAGGGTTTCCCTGGGTAGCTTTGGAGCCTGGAACTCATAGAAATCCGCCTGCCTCTGCCTCCCAAGTGTTGGGATTAAAGGTGTGCGCCACCACTGCCTGGCTTCTTCTGCACACTTAATAACAGTATTCTAGCTTATTTCAATCACCTCTGACTTGGTGATCTTGATACAGATTGCTTAATTTTTCTGATATTAAATTTTTTTTTTATCCTCAAGGTATTTTGACAAACCTTTTTCTCCCCCCCTCTCTCTTTAATTTTTTTTTTTGAGGCAGGATTTCTCTGTAGCATTGGAGCCTGCTCTGGAACTCGTTCTGCAGTCCAGGCTGTCCTGGAACTCACAGAGATCCACCTGCCTCTGCCTCCTGAGTGCTGGGATTAAAGGCATGCACCACCACTGCCCAGTGACAAGCTGTTTTCCTAGAAGCAGTTCAGAGAGTCAGTTCTCTGTCCCTCAAGCAGATTGCATTATAAATAATCAACATGCTATGTCTAAAGCAATCCTGAGAATTGGGAAAGAGCAACTGTCCCAGGATTCTGTGCACATATTCCCAGAGTAAGAAGTACTCAACTGCCATGAGGAAAGACACCAGTTTATAGATTTGTCAGTTAAGATGGCATCCTTATCAGAGGACAATGGATCCTGGAAGCTCCCTTTCATTAACACCTCTTCATTTCTCTTATACCTTGACTTTCTTGTTTGTTTGTGTGTTTTTTGTTTTTGTTTTTGTTTTTGATGCAGGATAGCTTTGGCTGGCCTGGAACTCACTATGTAGTCCAGGCTGGCCCCAAACTCCCAGAAATCTGCCTGCTTCTGCCTCCCTCTTGACAGCTGAGATTAAAGCCATGTACCACCATTCTTGATTCTGGCAACGATTATTAACAATGACTAAATATACAGCAGTATAGCACAGGTTGGGACTGAAAGCTTAAATTGATTTGGGTCTTCAGTTTCAGGACAGCCAGGGACAAACAATGAGACCCTATCTAAAGGAACAAGGACAAAAAAACTCCAAAGCAAAGCAAACAAGCAAAACCCCCCAAACAGCAACAGCAGTTAACAAAAACAATACCCAAACAAACAAACCAAGGAACCCAAGTGATTTGTTGGTCGAAGTCCTGTGGTAAATGCCTGTACTTGTTTTGAATGAGTGTAGTATCCAGCTCTAAGCAAAATTCTTTCATCTTGGAATCCACTTCATTTTGTGCAATTAGTTGCTCATGGACACACAAGACTATTCTCTGGTGGTCAGCTCCATTAAACAGTGCTGTGACAGGATCCTAGCATGTTGCTATCACTCTCCTACTGTGATATGGAGTTCCACATAAGGTAGATCCAATACTTCGTCACAGCAGTGTGTTGGCAAATGCCAGAAAGGCTCTGTAACATACTAAATAACACTTCGCCGTGTTGTTTGGGAGAATAGGTCTGACAAGCGTCGGCTCTTTTCTCTAAAAGCATGAACAAAGAATACCTCTCCTTTAGTGCAAGGCCCTGAACAGCAAGGAAGGACCTATGAATGGTAGGTAGAATTTTATCACCACCATCACCACGTTCACTCATTTTTAGAAGGAAAAACTGGCCGGCGTTGGTGGCTCATGCCTTTAATCCCAGCACTCGGGAGGCAGAGGCAGGTGGATCTCTGTGAGTTCAAGGCCAGCCTGGTCTGTAGACCAGCGTGAGTTCCAGGGCAGGCTCCAAAGCAATACAGAAAAACACTGTCTCAAAACAAACAAACAAACAAACAAACAAACAAACAAAAAGAAAGAAAGGAAGGAAGAAAGAAAGAAAGAAAAACTGTTTCCTTCTAGTAATCTCTTGGTAGGTAACTGCTTTGCTCTTGTTTGTGCAAGTCATTTTGCAAAGACAGCATTATTGTTTTGAAGAACTAACCATGTGGGTTGTAGCAATAGGCATCCCATCGCTCACTCCTGTTGAGCCGGATTCCGTAATCGATAATACCAGTTTTCCCAAATCCACAGTTGGGCCCGGGTTTCACTATGGGGTATCCAACTCTTCCCTTGGCCATCCATCCAGCAGCACAGACATGAAATCCTGAAAGAGGGAGAGAAGCTTAAGGATTCACCCAACAAAGGTTCCCAACCTGGTAGAGGGAGGCAACCACTCCCTACCGTAAGTTTCCAAAGTGGCCAAACCCACTTTGTATAGAATGAGAAAACCCCTGTGATTGTAGCACTGGAGACTGAGTGGAATGATCAGTTCAAGGCCAGACTAGGATACATAGTGAGACCAAGCACCAAGCATTGGGCCTTAAATTAAATCCTTAGTGCCACAAACAAAGCAAAACACCAAACCAAACCAAAATTTGAATACAAATAAATCATACCTCTTTTTCTTCTTCATTTTTTTTGAGACAGGATTTCTCTGTGCAACAGGCCTGGCTGTCCTGGAACTCACTTTGTAGACCATGCTGGTCTTGGACTCACAGAGATCCCCCTGCTTCTGCTTCCTAGGTGCTGGGATTAAAATCATGCACCACCACATTTCATTGACCTTTTTTTTTTCTTAAGACAGGCTCTCATATACCCTAGGCTGGCCTCAAACTATTTAGCTAAGGCTGACCCTGAATGTCTAGCACTCCTGCCTTCACCTATGAAGTGCTATAGGATTACAGGCATGCAGCCCCACCAAGCTTGGCTATGAAATTGGAATTCTGTCTTTTACTAGCTAGTGGGCCTATTCGAAAGCAAAAACAAGTGCGCGGAGAGTAGGATTGAGTTCCATGGTGAGTATGAGAACCTTCTGATTTCAGATCGCTGAGCACTTGTCTGAGGAAACTGAGTGTGCATTTGATTAAAAACCTGTAGCCATCCGTCTGTGAATTCAACCAAAAGGGAATCAAAATTGCTTCCATACAGATCTGTGTCTGAGATGGTGCAGCACTTGCTTCACAAGCATGATGCCCTGAATTCAGTCCTGCCAGAAAAAAGTGCATTTAAACATGTGCAAACATTTTTCTTGTTGCTATTTCTTCAGAACTATCTTTTTAAAAAAGAACTTAGTTAGCTTAATTTTATTGTCAGATTCCCTGAATCCAGAATCGCAGACAGTTGTGAGCTGCCTTATGGGTGCCGGGAATTGAACCTGGGTCCTCTGGTGCTGGGATTAAAGGCGTGTGCCACCACTGCCTCACAGTTTTTAATACTGTGGTACAGCAGTACAGATACATTCTCTTCCTGTCAAATGTATTTTTACAAGGTGGCACATACCTATAATCCCACTGGGAAGATTACAAGTTTGAGGCCAGCATGGACTATATAGTGATACTCTTATCTTGAAAACAGAAAACAAAACAAAACAAAAAACTAAGAGAGACGTTCCTTAAATTATAATATTTTTACTACTTTGGAAGATGTGGAGGTCCTTGTGCTCTCAGATAAACACTAGGGGAACCAGGAATGTTAAACACACAGGGTTGTTTCTTCAGAGAGAAAGATGTACAACCCTCTTTCTGCCAGGAAGTCTGGGAATAGAAGTGCTTAATAGCCTGGTGACCTTGGTGCTATCGATGTGACTGAGACCACAGTGGATCCTTCTTCAGACCCTTACTGTGACCCTGTCAATCTATAGACCTATCTTTATGGAAGATATCACAAGTACTTTACAGAGTCTTTTTCCATGTCATCACATCTTAAGCTTTGTTGTGCACATGGGTGAATTATCACCAGCTGTGCTGTGTTTAAATATGCCTAGAATAAACTACTCAGGGTCAGCTGGGCAATGGTGGCATATGCCTTTAATCCCAGCACTGGGAAGGCAGAGGCAGGCGGATCTCTGTGAGTTCGAGACCAGCCTGGTCTACAAGAGTAGTTCCAGAACAGCCTCCTAAGCCACAGAGAAACCCTGTCTCAAAAAACAAACAAACAAAACAAAACAAAAAAACTACTCAGGGTCAGACTCCCAAAATTTGAACCAAGGTCAGCTACTAAGTCCTGTTGAACCTAACTAACTACCTTCTCTCATCATCAGAATGCTACTCTAATGGCCTTGTGGTGATGGTTACAGAGACCCCTTCTGGGTAAATATTTGGAAATTTGCATAATTCAATAGCTGAGGAAAACATGACAAGATAGATAGAACGATATTTTAAGTGAATTCCAATTACAATAACATTAATACACAGTGTTTCAATGAGAACAAGGTGGGGGGGTCTTTATTTTCCTTCAATGCTTCTTTTTTTTTTTTTGAGACAGGGTTTCTCTGTATTGTTTTGGAGACTATACTGGAACTCGCTCTGTAGACCAGGCTGGCCTCGAACTCACAGAGATCTCCCTGCCTCTGTCTCCCTAGTGCTTGGATTAAAGCCGTGCACCACCGGGCTCACTGCTTATTTTTAGGTCGCAGACCCTCTGTCCACCCCCCCTTCTCTCCTAGAAATCTTGGGGACAGAGAATTGCGGAGCCTTGCTGGGCTGTAGCCTTGTCCCACCTCCCCTTCACAGCTACAAGGTAAATTTGTGGTCCTGTCTAGGACGTGACTCACTGCTCTGCCAGGAGTCACTTGCACTAAGTCAGGCTAAATCACATGAGTGGAGCTACCCGAGTCCCCCGAGAATCTACAGAAGTCTGAAACCTCTCTTTGTTCCTGGGACTCAAAGGCCTTTTCTATGGAGATCCCTGTCAAGCTGTCCAGGGTGCTTATTTCACCTACCCCACTTGAAGCTCTCTCCAGGTCTTTTAAGGGAAGGCTCTCTGGCTCTCTCTCTCTCTCTCTCTCTCTCTCTCTCTCTCTCTCTCTCTCTCTCTCTCTCTCTCTCTCTCTCTCTCTCTGTCTCTCTCTCTCTCTGTCTCTCTGTCTCTGTCTCTCTGTCTCTCTGTCTCTGTCTCTGTCTCTGTCTCTCTCTCTCTCTCTCTCCCCATCTCCCCTATCTTGCGCTCTCTCTCTGGCATGATGTTCTATTTTTCCTTGCTGGTCCCTCACTGTTCAAGTCCCAGTCATGTCTCCCTGCAGCCCCTGATGTCTAGAGGCTCTCTCTCTTCACGAAACTCATTCTGATGGGTAGCATCATGTCAGCTCCTAACTCAAACTCCTGTATCTCTGCCATGACTTTTGTTTTCTTTGTTCTCATTGGATGCTACCCAACCCCCTCCCCCCCCATCCCCACCCCATGAGTTGCTGTTACTAGGAGCTTCTGACCCTGGGCAGGAAAAATGAAGGAATCCCTAGAAAGCAACATAGAGAACAATCCCAAAGGGCTTGAGAGAAAAGTTTTAACAAGGGTTATAGGAGAGACGGAATCCCCCCCACCAAGGGTGAATAAGAAGAAATATTGTTATCAGGTTAGTTACCAATTTTTCTGGCTGCTTCTAGCTGCTTGTAGGTGGCGAGGCGGCCACCTTCAAATTCACATACAGTCTTGGCTTCTGCATAGGTGAGCTTGTATTTGCCAGCCCGAGCTTCTCGGTGGTACACACCTGCTGCTTGTTCTGTGAATTTACAAAATGGCATCAATGCGCTATTATCCATTCTTGTAGAACAAAGGAAATTTGCCTCAGTAGGAAGATTACATCAGATACATGTTCTTGCCAAAGAAATTTCTAGGTCAGCTGCCATGGTAGTTAACTTTTTATTGTTAGAAAGCTTCGGGGAGAAAAAGAATGAGGGGGAATTTTAGGGGGAATAGAGGACATATAAAGACTGGAATTTAGGTTGTTTCTGATATCATGAAAGTTTTTTAGTACCTTATGTTTCTAGACTAACCACAAGTAATAAAGTTTTAGTATTCTTTTAGTTTGAATTCTTTTTTTGTTTTGTTTTGTGTTTTTGTTTTTTTGAGACAGGATTTCTCTGTATTGTTTTGGAGGCTGTTCTGGAACTTGCTCTGTAGACCAGGCTGGCCTTGGACTCACAGAGATCCACCTGCCTCTGCCTCCCGAGTGCTGGGATTAAAGGCACATGTCACCAACACCTGGCTTAGTTTTAAGTCTTTTAAAAATAATTAGATATATTTTATGTGCATTGGTATGAAGGTGTCAGATCCCCTGGAACTGGAGTTACAAACAGTTGTGAGCTGCCGTATGGGTGCTGAGAATTGAACTCAGGTCCATTTAGAAGAGCAGTCTGTTCTTAACCACTGAGCCATCTCTCCAGCCCCTGCTTTTAAGTCTTTTTTTTTTTTTTTTTTTTTTTTTTTGGTTTTTCGAGACAGGGTTTCTCTGTAGCTTTGGAGGCTGTCCTGGAACTCACTCTGTAGACTAGGCTGGTCTCAAACTCACAGAGATCTGCCTGCCTCAGCCTCCCGAGTGCTGGGATTAAAGGTGTGCACCACCACCGCCTGGCTCGCTTGGAAAGGTAGATGAAGGAAGCAGATGAAGGAAGGAGGCTTAGAAGGCAAAATAAACCAGTGAAAATGACTTCACTATGGAAGTTTACAAGTCAGGCAGACAAGCTGATTTGAGGGGATGATATAGATGATATAATTGAGAATTTAGTAAAGAACTTCAAAGCAGTGAGGAAATCTGATTGAACACTCAGCAAGCAAGTTGAACAGGAAAGAGATTTGAACATAGCAGAGAAAAAAAATGGCACATCTCTGCTTTTTTTGATTTCTTTGTTCACATGTTGTCCCCAACATATTTTAGGAGATGGCAAGGCACACACACCCTGTCCTCCAGTAGGTCACTGTTTCAATGAATTGTTTGGGGACTGCAGTGATGTCTCCATAGAAACAATGCGAAGAGATTCCCAGGACAATAGTCACAAGTTTGTCTCCAGTATTGCTAGCAGTACCGCCCAGCTGTCTAGATCACTACTGAGCATATTTGTATACTGATCTGCCGAGTCAGCCACTGTGGAGATGTTCCCGGTGAATTCTGGGATGCCTCAGCACACAGCAAGACATACATCCAGAAACATGTCCTGATTCAACTCATTTTTTCTCTTCCCCAAACTAAAATGGACTCTGCCACAGTTTGATGGGAAAATACGCTGGCTGTGTTTCATGTTTTCCTAGACTCCAAAGATCCCAATCTAATAAATTATATGGCAAAGGCCCATCACTTAGAGAAGACAACAGTCAATTTGACATTTTTTTTTCTATTTTGATACAAGGTCTCATGTCCCCTAGGCTGACCTCTAACTAGCTATGTAGTTAGTTGAAGAAGACTTTCAGTTCTAATCTTCCTACCTTACCCTCTGAGTGCTCTTCTTACAGACATGTAACTCTTGGTTTTACAGTGTAATGGGGAATCCAACCATGTTTTCTTTTTCTTTTTCTTTTTTTTTTTTTTTTTTTTTTGCATCCTAGGCAAGCACTCTACTGAGTTTATAGCCCACACTTATGGACCAGAAGATATTCGCAACATCAGATTATTACCAGTGGAGATTTTTGCCTTGTAAATGACCTGTTACCCTGTGCCCTTCATGTGGAAAGCCTCAATACATTCATTAATTTCCAGTTTTATTTTTTTAAGCATGTAGTTTGATGAATTTTTCTAGGTGTTGCAGATCAAGCCCTTTCCCCTCCAAGAACTTACACATGAATGAGTGGGCAACTAAAGTATATTTATCAGTTTTTTAAAAAATTTAAATTTATGTGTACACGTATTTTTTTTCTGCATGTACGTCTGTGCACCTAGGAGTCCAGAAGAGGGCATTGAATCCCTTGGGACTGTAGTTACAGATGGTTTGAACTGCCAGGTGAGTCTTAGCAATTGAATCCTCGTTCTCTGAAAGAACAGTCACTGCTCTTAACCACTGAACTGTCTCTTCAGCCCTGTTTTGCTTGTTTGATTAGTTGGTTGGTTTTTGCTTTTTACTTAGGGTCTTGGTATATAGGCCAGGCTGGCCTAGAACTTGTAATTCTCCTGTATCAGCCATTTAAGTGTGAAAATTATAGTATGTACCACCACACTAAGTATCTTTATCTTAGACACTATGCCTTTAGTTAGAGAAAGAGGATGAATGGCTTAATTAAATAATTTCTTATGAATATTGTTGTTAGGGCTGGAGAGATGGCTCAGTGTTTAAGAGAACTGGCTGCTCTTCCAAAGGACCTGGGTTCAATCCCCAGCACTCACATGGCAGCTTACAACCATTTGTAACTGCAGTTCCAGGGTATCTGGCACCCTCACATGGACATACATGCAGGCAAAACACCAAAGCACATGAAATAATAAATACTGTTGAAAACAAAAATTGGAAAAAAAATTATACAAATTATTTTAATGTATGCCAACTCTTCCTCAAACAGGTTTCCTTAATATTTTACTTCAAACATGAAATACATTTCTGGGGAGAGATTAGCAAAGAGTTTTAGAAAATAATTTAAAAATTTCTTGCTGGTAATAAAAAAAAGTTTTGGAAACTGATGATACATGCCTGGGCAATAAGATTATTATAACTGAAACAACAAACTTAATGTGCCATAATTTCAGCTTGTTAAATATTTCTATTCCATTTCTGCTTTCTGAGCAAACACACTGAGAATTCTTGATGTACATAGTTGACCAACTAAGGAAGTTAATGGAATAATTTATGACAAGGTCTCACTATGTAGCTTATGCTTTCCTTGGAATCTCTATTGTCCTGCTTCAGCCTCTTGAGTCTTGGTGATTACAGAACTTCTTTCTCAGGAACAATTCTACATGAAATTTCTTTGGATTCTTGTTTGTTTGTTTTTTGAAACAATGTTGTTTTCTAGATCTGGCTGACTTGAAACTCACTGTGTAGATCAAGTTGGTCTCAAACTCATAGAGATCTGCCTGCCTCTTGAGTGCTGGGATTAAAGGCATGCACCCTTACACTTGATCCTGCCTAGGGATGATTATAAACACAACAGTCTGAGTGTGCTTTTGTTTACTTTATTTATTTAGTTAGTTTTGATGCTATGTATCCCATGCTACCCTGGAACTTTCAATCTTCCTACCTTAACCCCCTACATACTGGAAATACAAAATCAGGACCATTATTGTTTTAAAGTATTATTTGTTACTTAAAATTCTTTTGGGTTTAGAATTTTAAGCTATTACGTTGAAACTTAGTACAATGAAACTCAAACTTTTAAAAGATTCTTGTATCTAAAGAAATGATATTTTGTTAATTTTCCTACTCTGTCACTTAATTTTAAAAAAACGGAATTTTTCTTTCTCCTATTGGCAGATGACAACAGTGACTGTAGGCTCTGGTATCAGCTGCTTCTCCTGGGAGGAGTTAGGCAAGCTTGTAGACATCGCTACCTGGGCCTTAATTTCCTCATCTAGCAAATGGGACTAATGGCAGCTGATACACCCCGCTGGGAGCTCATGGTATGCAAATTGTCCGTCTTTGCCAGAATCATTACACAGCCTGAAAATAATTGTTCTCTCAATGTTCAAGATCCATGTTGACTGACATCTCTTGTCTATCAGTTCCTTTCTTGTTAAGCTGCCATTAAGAAATGAGAAGTCACAGAGTTCAAATGTCCTGTTCTTCACAGTTGCTACCAGATCCCTCCCTTCAAATCCAACTCTCTTTTCTTCCTAAACAGGCACTAATATTATATTGACCCAACCAACTGTAAACAATTTGTGCTGGGCTGACTGATTTGTTCCAGATCGAAGCATTTGATGGGGTCTCAAACTCCTGATCCATGCCCTTAACAAAGGATTGGCTTGCTTCTCTCCACTGTTGGGGCAGAACCGCTTTTTCTCCAAGTTTACATTTTTGCAGCATACACATTCATTGCGGAAAAACAATGACTTCAAATTACTCAATCCCAGGAGAATTTGATAGCATCCTAAACTATCTCCATATGATTCTAATTCTTCCTAGCTTTATGGTGTTTTCTCCCTTTCTGACAAATGTGTATAAATTTCCTCAGTTGGACTGTGTGGACTACATTAATTTCAGAGCCCATCTTGATCAAACGGTCACACTGCAACTAGTTACTGGCTCGAGCTGGAAAAAGGAGGCGGCAAGGCTGTGCCGTTCAGATCCAGCTTTTTAATGAAGTCCTCATGGTTACAATTGCTACCAAAGAGAACCCCACTGAAAGGGGAGCAGAGACTACAACCATGTGTTGCCTAGCAAGCATGAAACCAAGATCTAGGTTAATTTTGCTTTCTCTTTATTTCTTTATTCTGTGCAAGAATAAGATGATCCCATACCAAACAGTCAAAAGAAAAATTTCTCTATGCAACATCAACTGAATCATAAGGATTCTAGTATTGCTTTGAGTGCTACAATGGGTAATATTCATCTTTGTGTTAATAGTCACTTATCAGTCTATTGTTCATCTTTAGAGTTTAGCCTAAGTCATCCCTTACATTTAACAAGACAACAAAAATAACTTTCCTCATTTAACCAAAGGCCTAGGAAAGCACTTACATGACAAAAAGAAACAAAGCATTTAAAATTTTTCTTTCCTGCATTACATTCTAGTTTTGTTAAAATAGTTGAAAGATGGTTAGAAAAATTAAGATGTACTCTACAGCTCAGAGTACATGGAGTTTAGAACTGCTGTAGAACTTCTGCATCTCCCATCTTACCTGAACTCATTACTGTAAATGCAGTTGGAATAATAATAATAATATAAAACCAAATCCTATTATACTGGCCATTTTAATTTATAAAGAAATACTCACTAGTGAGCTACCATGTCTGCTTAGAAAATCTTAAAATATATTTTCACAATGACACAATGGGGCTGTTTTTGGTTGAACAATACATTGTGTAAAAGGATGGCCTTAAGTTTAAAAACCAACCTTCCTTTGTTTAATGGCATGTCAGTCAGTATCTCTCTTTTTAAAGAATTTTTCTGTGAAAACATCAGCCTTGAACATGCTAGAAAATTTTACTCCTTCGATTCAGTCCTCTGTGATGTCAAAGGATCCAACATTCCCAACAAGAAGTTCGCGAGTGAAGTTTCTTACCAAGCCATATGGAGTTATGAAAGATTCCATTCTTGTATCCCCATCCGTGAACCTCTTCCCACAGCAAAACGCATAAGCAAATGAGGACGAACATATCTTCAGTTGCAGAGCCGTTTACAGTGTCGGGGTTACCCACGAGAAATTCTCAGAGCAGCGGCTGGAATGCAGCTGAAACATCTGGTTTCCACATCTTTTAAATAGTTTTTTTCGGCTGTGAGGTCAGCATGTACTCTCCAATGGCACTTTCCGTTGCAGAGTTAGTTACACAATTAGTTCAGTGTCTGAAGCAAGAAGCCCTCTGACTCATTTGCATTGGCAACCAGAGAGGAGGGCGCGGGATGAGCACCCACGTTTTTAAATTCACTTTCTCAGAAGCAAGTTTGTTTATTGTGCCAGTCACCAAACACTTTTCTGTTAGGAAATTTGTGTCATTTGGTGCAGATTCAGAAGCCATTAAAGAAAACCAAACTCCAGCAGGAATTCGCTGAGAACTCCTGAAGGTCCTTGTTTGCATTGTTAATTTTGGGGGTTGTGATTTAACATTAATCTTTAACTTGATCGTGATAACATTGCATACTTTTCCCTAAACGTTGCCAAGTAAGTCTGTGTAGAAAATTTAAAACAAAAGTGGATGTAGGTTGACAAATCCAGTAAGGAAGAGCATTCACGCTCCACCTCCCCCCCTTCCCGCCCCCCAGCTTTGAGAAAAAAAAAAAAGAGTCCAATTTCAGAGAGTTTTAGGACATTCAGGTAGCCTTGGAATACCCTACTGTAACAAGGAGTATTTTAAGTAGACATTAGCAGGCTTGGAGGACTTTAGAGTTGAACCCCCCCATCCTCACTCCCTTTCCCTGCTCATAGACGACAGCCCACCAGGCAATAGGCTGGAATGCTTTGTTACTGGTCAGAAGAATAGAACCTGAGTCATATTTCTGGTCCTGGGAGGAGACCTGGCATCCTGAACTGTCTAGAAAGTCATTAATGGATGACTATCTGAGCTTGCCTCCGGATCTATTCCTAAACCTCATAAGACCACTACATAACAAGAGATAAGGGCCAGAGAGGCTGGATGGCAAAAAGGGTTGTAAACTCAGCACACTTAAACTACAAAACTTCTCCTTCCAAGAGGCACATGCACCAACCCATTCAACAGAGGTGTCTATGCACCTACCCACTCAACCTGTTCTTATGCCTATCACCAGAGAGAAAAAAAATTTAAACCCAGTGGCACAGTGCTGGCCTAGCATGTATGATCCGAGGTCCAATCAGTAGCCCCACACAGATACTCATTTGAGTAGGACAGAGTCTTTCAGAAAAAAGAAGTCTTGCTAGAGATTTTAGAAAACACTATAAAGCATGTAAAACAACAACAAAACCAAATAGACTGGGATAGTAGTCACTTTGGGCCCTCTGACTATGGTCCGCTATTTCTTTTTCTTTGGGTTTTTGAAACAGGGTTTCTCTGTGTAGCTTTGGAGCCTGTCCTGGAAATAGCTCTGTAGACCAGGCTGGCCTTCGGCTCACAGAGATCCTCCTGTTTCTGCCTCCCGAGTGCCAGGAGTAAATGCGTGCACCACCACCTCAAACTCGGCTATTTATTCTTGTTTGTTGTTGTTGTTTTTAAGACAGGGTCTCTGGCTGTTCTGGAACTTGTTATATAGTTCAAGTTGGCCAAAATCTCACAGAAATAACACACCAAATGCTGGGATTAAAGGGGATTGAAGGTGTGCCACCACGGCTGGTGTGTCTCGATGGCAGGCTCGCTCTCTCTCCAGAGCATACTGTACCCTCCAGTGCACTCTGCCTTTTGCCTGCACTCCGATGCTCTGCCTGAATTCTTTTGACAGAGCTCGCCAGGGCCAGCAGAAAGAGGGAACCAGACCAAGAGTCTGATAACAGGCAAATGATAAGAAAAGTAACAGAAGTGTGGCCCAACTTCCCAAGATCAGTCTAACTTGGATGAAAAGATCAAAATAATAGGGGATGATCTGGAACAGGCACAAAAATGCAAGACATTTAGGTGACATGTCTAGTCGCATTCTCACTGCTGCTGTTGTTAAAAAGGCATTTCCTGCTGTTGGCTGATAGGTCCTTTACATAGCTTTTGTTTTTCCCTCTTGTTGGCCATTCTTTGTGATTTAGCTTCTCTATTTTTAAAATTATTTTTAGATTATATTTACCTTTTTTTTTTTTTTTGGCTTTTACGAGACAGGGTTTCTCTGTATTGTTTCGGAGGCAATCGGTCCATCCTGGCCTCGAACGCACAAAGATCCGCCTGCCTCTGCCTCCCGAGTGCTGGGATTAAAGGCATGTGCCACCACCGCCCGGCTTATATTTACCTTATTTTATACGTGTGGGTATTTTGCCTCACGTGTGACTGTGCACTATGTACATGTAGCCAGAAGAGAACATCAGATCCCCTGGAACTTGGATAACAGACATTTGTGAGCCACCATGTGGGTGCTGGGAACTGAACCTGGGTCCTCTGCAAGAGCAGCAAGTGGGCCAGGTCTCCTTCTGCCTCCTGATTAAAGGCATATGTCACCAAGCCCAGCCTGGAGACCTCTTTTTAATGTACATCACAGGCTTATGCTGGGCTCTTTCCTCACAAGGGTGTCTAGAGGATGTAGAATTTACTGGACTCTATGACTGTAGTTATCAGAATTTGAAAATTTGGACTCTGTGCGATGGAAAATGAGAGCTGGAGAAAAAGTTCACCGATCTTAGAGTATAAATTTGATGCCCATGTGGCCCACGGACATGGTCCATGAGAACTGGATGAGTAGGTAGCTGTCTCTGGAAAATGAAATTACGTGAGTGTTTTTAGTTTGTGGCTTAGGAAGCAAATCCAGCCTGACTTCTGCACTGCAGCACGGTGTCACAGCCTCCCAACTTTGTACCGTCACTTTCTCTGGTCCTGCCATTTCATATCCCTCTCAAACATCTCATCTCCCCACCTGTCAAAGTTACTCTCAGGAAAGCATCTACAAGTAGCTAGCAACACAAACCTTCTGTCTATCTGACTTTCAAAGATGCTCCAAGGACAGCAGGGTGAGAGTGGTCAAGTTGATTTTTTTTTTTTGTTTTTTTTTTCGAGACAGGGTTTCTCTGTAATGTTTTGGAGGCTGTCCTGGAACTCGCTCTGTAGACCAGGCTGGCCTCGAACTCACAGAGATCCGCCTGCCTCTGCTTCCCGAGTGCTGGGATTGGTCAAGTTATTTTAACATGAAAACTTCATGCATTTTTCTGATGGATTAACCCAATCAAAGACAGGGGATTTCTTTCCACTCTCCCATAACAGCCATACAGAATATAAATATTTTCTGACTTCTGAACAGTATTTGACAACCTTGTCCCCCTTCTGTATAAGGAAATAGGAAACAACAACTAAGCTTGGCATGATGGTAACACATAGAATCCCAGTGTTGGGAGGTAAGAGGCAAGGAAACCCCAAGTTCAAGGCAGTATGAGCAATTTAGTTAGACTCTATCCCAAGCAAGCAAACAAGGCATGCCTAAGGATGTGGGCTCTGGTTTTGAGAGTGTGCTCGGTTCCACTGTGGAAGAAATGATGAATAAGGTTATATATATGGAAAAGCTGTAGGTGGATAATTGGGGAGTTGAGAAAGAGTGTTGCCAATGAGCTTAATTTGGAAACTGCCTAAGAAATACCCAGCTTCCAGGACACACTACTCATATATGCCTTTTGGGGAGCTAAAAGAAAATACGATAGCAAAAGGCACTCTCAAGGCCAGGAGACTTTACCAGTCAAGTCCTTCCGCACTTTCCATGGATGGGTCAAACCCAGCAAGGCTGCCTTATGTACAAGAAACTGGCTTCTGGCTTCTTTTCAAGAAGAGTCCTACTCTCATAAGCCCGTGTAGTTACTGGATACTTGAAAGCCGAGAAAAGCACTACACATCTGAATTGGGGAGGTGCATAGAGCAAGCACTCAAGATCTCCCGAGCTGGTGCATTGGTCTAATGATGTCATTCTCGCAAAAATACAAAGGAAAATAACAACAACAATAATCATCATCATGCTGAGGAAGAATTCAGACATTCATTAGAAAGTGAGAAGGACATATTTTGAATTCTTTCTCCACATGGCCAAGTCTCAGCTGGGCAGGTTGTCTTGACCATTCTGTACTTAGCTACCAGGTTAACTTCCACACAGCTCCCCCATTGCCCAGATGCATTCTTTGCATATAAAAATCCCATTGAAGCCGGGCATTGGTGGTGCACTCCTTTAATCCCAGCACTTGGGAGGCAGAGGCAGGTGAATCTCTGTGAGTTTGAGGCCAGCCTGGTCTACAGAGCAAGTTCCAGGACAGCCTCCAAAACAATACAGAGAAACCTTGTCTCAAAAAACCGAAAAAAACAGAAACAAAAAAACAAAGAAACAAAAATCCCATTGAAGCAGGGCATGGTAGTGCTCACCTCTGAACAGTATTTGACAACCTTGTCCCTCTTCACTTGGAAAGTAGATTGGAGTCTCAAAGCTCAAGGTTATCTTTGGCTATGTAGCAAGTTCAAGACCAGTCTAGACTACAAGAGACCATGCCTTAAAAAAGTTAAAAATAAAACAAAAAAACAAAAAGCCTGGCATGCTATTGCATGACTTTAGTTCCAGCACTCAGGAGGCAGATCTCTGAGCTCAAGACCTGCCCGATCTACATAGTATTTGCCAACTATGTAGGACAGCCATGGCTATACAGTGAAACCCTGTGTGGGGTTTTAACAGGAATGGCCCATAGACTCATGTATTTTAATAATTGGCCCATAGGGAATGGCACTATTAGGAGGTCTGGACTTGTTGGAGGAGGTGTGTAACTAGGAGGTGGGCTTTGAGGTCTCAGAAGCTCAAACCAGTTCACTTCCTGCTGCCTGCTGATCCAGATGAAGAACTTCTAGCTCCTTCTCCAGTACTATGTCTGTCTGGATGCCACCATGTTTCTGGCCATGATGATAATGGACTAAACCTATGAAATTGTAAGCCAGTCCGAATGAAATGTCTTCCTTTATGAGAGTTGTTGCTGTGGTCATGGTGTCTCTTCACAGCAATAGAAACCCTAAGTCACCATGTCTTGGAAAAAAAAAGTAAGAAAAGAAAAGGAGAAAGAGAGAGAGGAGAGAAAGACCTCTAAGTCTCAATGACTTAGAACAGCAAAGGTTCATAGTTCATGTTACTGTAAATGACATGATGCAGGGTAGTCTTTGGAGCTATCACATCCAA